ATTGTTTACAGGAACTATCTTGGGGCTTCTCCACACTCCACAGCAGCAGAATGACTGGTTCTCTTGAGTTCCAGGCTGTGGCTTAACTCTGAACAGCTTGTCCCTCTTAGTTGTCAATCCTCCTTTCGCAGAATCTCTAACATTGAGTCTCTTCTCCACTGACATGACCATTTCCTCCCCCTCAACTCTCCAGTTTATCACTTTGCACTGAGATGACTGCAGTAGTCCACCAGCTGGTCTCTCTATTTCAGACCTCTCTCTATTCCATTTCATCCTCCACAGGCTGCCCAGGTGATTTTTCTACACTTCAGGTATGATCATGCCATTTCCCATGCCCGCTCTAGCCTGGTCCCTCCGCCACTCCACTCAGTAAACTTCATCAGTACCTCTGGGATCAAATGTTAAATTCATGTTTGACGTCTAGATGTCTGCAGATCCTGGCTTTCTTACCATGTGAGGTAGTTTGGGTAAGGAGTGGGGAAGGGGGCAAGGGGACAGGCATTTATGGAGCATCTGTTTACTGCGTCAGGCACTGTGCTGAGCACTTTTCAAATCTCATCTAACCCTTACAACCACCCTCTAAGGTGGGTCCTTTTAGTATCTTGCCCAGAGGCACACAGTTAGTGTCTGAGAACTAATTTGCATTCGGGTCTTCCTTCCAGGCCCCTGCTCTATCTAGATGATTTTATCCCTGTTTTAAGAATGAGGAGAGCTAGGTTCACAGGTACTTCCCATCAGGAAGTTGCCCACCATGGATTTCTTGTATAAAAGACTGGACAAGACAGTACATACAGTTCTTGCTTAGGTAAATTTGCATTACAGAGATTTGACTTTACTTAAAAGAATTCTGAAAGAAATCCACATTCCAAAAAAGCACTGTTAACTTTACTGTGCTCTCTTTCTGCTCCTGCCCCTTTCATCAGCACTCGTCGGCCTCTCACATCAATAAACTCTCTAAGTGAAAGCAGAAGAGACACCGTTCTGCTGCAAGCCCCTGCTTTCGCTTCTCTGCCCCTGGCCCCCATGTGTCCCTGAACCATGTGGCAGCTAGTGGCCATGGGTCTGGATCCCTTTCCTGCTTCCTTCTCTCCCTTCCTTACCTTCCTGGGCAAATTTACAGTGTGTAAAAATCCCTTTACATAGAGGTCTGGAGAATGGTCCACCGTAAAGGGAGAAGTGTCTGTACTCAGACACATCAGTTAATCTCCTTGAGTCCTTTGTATCAACTAGTGACTCACTATTAATGACTGTGATCCGTTTCACCCTGAGCTCTACAAGTAAGAGAAGGGGGGAGCAGTCACACCCAAGATGTTTCATTACTGAAGGTGGGAGAAAATTTGTGCTTCAGCTTGTGAACAAAAGTAGAGAAAGAGCTTAGGTAGGATTCTGGAGGCAGTGCGAAGATGTGGCCACTTTATATCGATCTCCCCTCAAGGACTGAGTGACCATGGCACTTTTCATTTCTGTGACCATATTAATTGTCGAGTAGGCCCTGTTTGAGGTGCAAGGGATACACACACACACACACACACACACACACACAGAGACACATTTTTCTGCACTCAAAGAGATTACAATCTTGTAGAAGAATGAGATGTGTGCATTAATAGCAGTAATCCCTGTCAGCCAGTCATTTAGCCTTTATTAAGCACCTACTATGCTAAGTAGCCACTACGCTAAGCACTGGGGATATAAAGAAAGGTGAAGGATAGTCCTTGTTCTTCAGGAGCTCACACTCTAGTGGGGGAGAAAACATGAAAATAACTGTGTACAAGCAAGATATATACATATATATATATATATACACACACACACACAGGATAAATTGGAGATAAAGGAGAGAAGGAAGGTGTTAGCCTCAAAGAAGATCAGTAAAGACTTCTTGTAGAAGATGGGACTTCAGCTGGAACCTGAAAGAAGCCAAGGATGTCAGGAGGGCTGGTAGAAGAAGAGAGAGAATGTAAGGCATGGGGACAGCCAGTGAAATGCCCAGTGTTTTGTGTGAGGAAGAGCATAGAAGCCAGTGTCACTGGATTGCAGAGTATGGGGAGCATGGGGAGGTATAAGAAGATAGAAAGGGTCCTGGGACTATGCTAGAGTAAAATAAATAGCTGAGTGAGAATACTGTTCAAACCACCTGGTCTCATCTCTTCTAATTGTGTTTACTTGCTAACTAATGATTTCCATGGAAAGCCCAGCACCCTTCTTAGGAGCAATGTAATAATAATAATAATAACATTTATATACCTCTTAAAATGTGCCAGGTGCTGTGCTAAGCACTCTACAAGTAGTATTTCATTTGATCTTTAGAATAGTTCTGGGAAGTGGGTGCCATTATTATCCCTGTTTTGCAGATAATTTGCCCAGGGTCACACAGCTAGTAGGTATCTGAAGCTAGATTTGAACTTCTTGACTCCAGGACCAGCACTCTATCCACTGCACCACCTAGCTGCCCCACAGTCTTTTTTTCTTATTTTCCCTTATCGCTCACTTTCTGACTGCTCATTTGATTGTGGTTTTCTTGAGGACTCCAGGTCGGCTATCTCAAGCTCTTACCATGCTAGGCACCATACGTCCTGGCTTCAGTCTTTGCCCTAAGAGACTTCTCATTAGACAGTGAACTCAGCTGGCTGTCAGTCGTCTGACTCAGGCTTAATGAAGTGCCAAACAGACATACGCGTGTCCTTCTCCAGTTCCCTGTTTCTTATCTCGGGCTGAGGTTTGTTGCATCACAGAGCACTCCCATGCTGTTGTGTTAGCCAGGATAAGCTTCTGCCTTTGGGGTTGTGGCTGGAAGAGGGAGGAGTAGAATTGAGTTCTGTTGCAAGCCTGTGGACAGGTTTATGTAATCCTGTTGCTGGAGCCTGGTGGGCAGTGGAGAAGTTTAGATGTGAGAGATTAGCTTTCTGTTAGTTCGTTGGATTTTTACCCTGTTTTGGATTCTTGTCAAATTCAAATAGAAGTGAATCCCTGTAGCGACATACTGACTTAGAAAACCACAAATTAACGTTATCTGTGTTATCTTGTATTTTTATTTATTTTGTTAAACATTTCCCAGGTAACAGTTTAATCTGATTCTAAGTACTGGGAAGTTTTGAAGGCCTTGTGTTTGAGCCCTCTGTCCTAAACCATGGGATAAAACAACCGAAAGTGCTTTATCTCTTGTGCATAATGCCCATTTGGGAGAGGCTTGAGGGGTGAGAGGATAGGAAACAATGTCTGGTCTTCCATCTTATTGGTCACTTGACCTGGAAGTTCGAGTGCATTCTTTATGTGGAACATGGGTAAAACTTATGCTTGTCCAGAGGCAAGAGTGATCTGAAGCCATGCAGAAGACATCCAACCCAATAAACATTTATTAAGTCCTTACTGTGTGCTTGGCACTGTGCTAAGTTCTAGGTGTACAATGAATAAAAACACAGTTCCTGCCCTTCAGGAGTGTCCTATCTAAAGTGGGGAGACGTGTACAGAAGGAGGTGGGAGAGTGGTTGGGGGAGGGGGGGGCCACACCAGGTGGTACCCAGTTTGGGGGGCATTTTGTTTCCTGCAGTTAAAACCTGGTAGGACAGAAGATGCAAAGTGGAGCGAGTTGTTGAAAGTTCGTTTCTGCCCTTTTGGGCCGAGTTTGCTCCTCCGGCCCTCCAGTCAGATGGGAGAAGAGTTTGGAGGAGGTGGGGTCAGTAAGGCTTAGTGGGGAGATTAGAGGAGGGAGTTTATACTGGGAGGGACCCAGGCAGGGTAGCACATGCCAAGCAGAGAGAGGAGCCGTACCGCTGACAAAACTGGAGATACTTGGCTGGGAAAAGAGAACAAAGAACAGGGTAGCTATTTTCGTGTGTTTTAAAGGTTTTTGTGTGAAATGGCAGAAGTAGAACTCACCAGTTAGAGAACATTTGTTTGTTTAGCTCCTATGATGTGCCGGGCCCTGGGGTGGTAGAAAAGACATTGAATTTGTAGTCGGCAGGACCTGGGTTCGGATAGTGCCTCTAATACCTAGTAGTTGTGTGGCAAGTCATTTAACCTCTCTGTGCCTCAGTTTCCTTATCTTCAAAAAATAGGACAAGAGTTGACTTGATGGATTCTAAAATCTCTTCCAGCTCTAAATCTCTAATGCCATGACACAGAGATTCAGGTTCTCGTAGGGGATATGGCATGTCTAAGGCAAGCAGTGGCTAGAGGAAGGAAGGGAGGGATGGAGGAGGAGGGAAGAGTGCTCACTCTGGGCCTTGCACTGTGCTTAAGCCCTGGGGGTACAAAACCAAAAGAAACAGCCCCTGCCCTCGAGCCGTTTACAGCCACTGTAAAGGTGGCATTTGGGGAACTCTGGAGAGAGGGAAAGGTTTGAAACAGTAGTTGTGGGGAGTGAGTTCCTCAGTGACCCAGCTGAGGTTCTCTATCCTGACCTACTGTGAAGGCCGCTCTGCTCTTCCCCTCCCCTCCCTTTCAGTTCTAGCAGGCACCTAAAACCAGATGCATCTTAAGTATTTAGTGCAAAGCAGATAGAAATTAAAAACACTACCAGGGAATCCCGGAATGCTTGCTTCTCTCCTCCCTCCCCAATTCTGTTCTTTCTCCCTCTTTCTTTCTTTCCCCCTGGCATTCCGCAGTTGTTCAGAAGAGCTCAGAAGAGACTCCAGCTGCTTCTGAAGTCTGGAATAAGGAAAGATGGAGCCAGTTCCTGTTGATTGTGGGCGTCCTCAGGCTCGTTTGAAGGCAGAGATAGGCTTGTCTGTGCCACCTGCTTCTTTTCCGTGTGGGGTCTGAGCATTCACTGAGAAGTATCTGCCAGTCTTTGCTCCCCCTTGGAACTGCACGAGACTGTGTTCTAGGCGTGGGGAAGTGGTCTTTGGAAAGCGGTGCACTGACTGGAGACCCTTGTGGAGGGCAAGGGCAGTGGGCTTTCTGTTAGAGAGCACTGTGAAAGCTGGCTGGGCCAGTTGTTCGGCCTTCTTTTTGGGAATGTTCTGAAAGGCAGCGTTTTCCGTTCTCTTTCTGCACAGCAAGGAGCAGCTGCAGGTCATCATGTCCGGAATCAAACGAACGCTCAAAGAAAATGACCCCGACTATGAGGACATTTCTGTGGCGCCCCCAAACAAACGGCATCGAGCCATGGAGGATTCAGGTAGAGCTCTCGGGGTCACTGGAACTTCTACGTGTAGAACGAACTCCAGCTTTCATCCTCACCTCACTAGACTTGGGTTTGGGGAAAACTGACACAGACGCTTCCCTAAGAGAAACCGGCCAAGGAATGCTTCGCTGTAGGCTGAAGGCTTCGAGGTGGATGGAATCTTAGTGGTCTGTCCAGTTCCCTCATTTTACAGGGGAGGAAACTGAGGCTCAGACCTTAAGTGACAGTCAAATAATAGGGTAACGTGGGGAGGTGGGATGCAGATGTGGGAAGTTGTGCCAGGAATGGAATCTGCCAGGCCAGAGGAAATCTTAGCATCAAGGCAGGCATTCTGTGGCTTCCAGGTAACTGTAATCCTAAAATCTTAATTGAAATGGACCTTAGCTAGCAATATCCAGTCCCTTCCCTGATTTTTACAGAGGGAGAATGCTGAGACCCAGAAAGATTAACTTGTTGAAGGTTGCCTAGATAATTGAGAACAGCTGATTTAGAGTAATGATCTCAACTAGAGTTTTGCATCATCCCAGTTTGCATAATATCTGAATTGATATTGCAAAATTTGCTTCCCCAGATCACAAAATAATTTATCTTAACTTAATTTGATTTAAAAATAGATGTCATGGAATACTTTTAGAAGAAGGGAGAGAAGGGATTGTAAAATCCAACAGATTAATACAGTCATTGAACTGGCAGAATTTAGGTACTCAAAACACTGTCCTCTAAATCCAGGTGAAAAGAGAACAATCCTAGTTGCATTTTAAAAAGAAATTCTAGCTGAAAAGAAAATCTGTCCAAGGATGTTAGTCTGCCCACCACCAACCTGAACCACTGCTCTTTACCTGTCCGGTCAGGTGTGCTTCCCTTCTTGCCATCTCTCCCTTTTCTTGAGTGATGGCTCAGAAACGTCTCCTGCAGAGCCGTCGTCTTGGTGCTTTCGGAGTTGGATCCAAGGATCTTTGAGAAAGCAGAATTGTTTCACTGTTGTTCTGGTTTTGTTCTGTGGACAGCTCGAGATGCTGCTGTGCAGAAGATCGAAACGATTATTAAGGAGCAGTTTGCTGTTGAAATGAAGAACAAGGAGCATGAAATTGAAGTCATAGATCAGGTATCAATCACGAGTGCTTCTCATTAGGGGTGGAGTGGAAAGTTCAATGTTGTTTGTTGCTCTTTTTAAAGAAATAAACATTTAAAATTTATTTTTAGCGACTGATTGAGGCCCGGAGAATGATGGATAAACTTCGAGCTTGCATAGTGGCAAACTACTACGCTTCTGCTGGTCTTTTCAAAGCTTCGGAGGTAAACTCCCTGCCCCCGCCCCACCTAGAGAACCTTTGAGTTTTGCCTTCTGGTGTTCCCTGGATTGTGTGGTCATTTTTGGCTTTAAAGTTGGGACCTTTTGGTCTCCTAAGTGGAGCTGTGGCTTACTTCCATCCGTCCGCAAGGGTCGATTTAGCCCTCACTATTTGGCAGGCCGTGGGCTGAGTGCTTGGGAGACCCAGGAAGAGCTTCACTCAGCCTCATTCAACCACCTGTTTGTTATGTGCATCGTCTGTGTCAACAGTCCTGCTCGGTATGGAAACACCAAGTTGAGAATAGCCCTCTTTGGGAAGAAGGGGCCTCATTTCTCTTGAATCTTTCTCCTGACTTCATGTAGTGAATGTGCACTCAGACTTCATCCCAGTCTAGACCCCATCCTTTATAGAAGCTTCTCACCTCCCGTCTCCTCTGGGTCGGGCCTCTCTTGTTCATTGCCCTCTTAGGAGACATTAGTGGGGTATAAGAGCAGTTGGCTTCTGAAACAAGTGTTTCCTTGATGAACTCAGACTCCTAGGAATGACGCTTTTGGTTCTGACAGCTCGGCCCCGTTTGCAAGCCTTAAGTGTGTTTTTGACAAAGAAGCAATAGAACAAGAATCTCTGGCTCCCACTTAGAGTTCTGGAAACTTTTCTATTGTGAAATAATAAGTCTCCTCTCCTTTTCTTCTTTTTTTTTTTCTTAACACTATTTATGGAAATTTTATTTTTATGGGTTTGTTGCCAAGGAAACAGGATTCCGCTGAAAGAGAAGAATTCCTTTTAGATTGTCATTTTGATTATCTGAATGTCCTCACATTTGTGTTGAGGAAAACCAGCTTTAGTTCAGTTAAGATAAACATGACTTTACCTGCCTTCCCCCACTGCCACTACAAGAGTGGCCCTGGGGATGAGGGAAGGGTCTTGGTGAGGGTGAGCATTGACCAAGTGAACTCCAGGCTTGTGTCATTCATTATGACCTTGATGTACAGGGGAGGATGCCATCCCCAGTGCTGCCTTGAAGAAACTGACGTTTGAAAAATCCAGTCAGTTTCCTGTGCGTTGAGAATATAATTTGATGCTCAAATGGCTGGGGACAATGCCGAAGTTTCTGGCTTAAAGTCCCTTAGCTCCAGCTGACAGCACAAAGAACTGGCCAATAGTTAAAAACTTGTACACAAAGATTTTAATGTATCTGTGGAACTCATGGTGGCAAGGACACGTTCCCTAATATATATTCCCATGTCTTTCTGCTTAGTGCTGTCAGATTTTATGAAAGTGGGTTAAAATTGTTCTTGTATACTTTGTTCTGGTGTTGCTGTTCGTTAGAAGATGTTCAAACGTACTTAATTTCTTGGACCTAGTTAAAAGTATCTGGGGTTTTTTGTTTCTTTGCTTTTTTGTTTTGTTTTGTTTTGCTTTCGCAGGGATCAAAGACCTGTGACACCATGGTTTTTAATCATCCTGCTATCAAGAAATTTTTGGAATCGCCATCAAGGTCATCATCTCCTGCTAATCAGAGATCAGAAACGCCATCTCTTAACTATTCAGAAAGTGATTCTTTATCTCAACACAATGACTTCTTATCTGACAAAGACAATAGCAGCAACCTGGACCTGGAGGAGAGATTGTCCAACAGTATGGAGCCTCTGAGGCCTGGCAGAAATACAGTGCGGGTAAGGTTAAGATTAAAGGGTGGTTTGGGGGACAAAAGAGTAGGGCAATAACAGATGAACTGGGCAATCCTTTCCATGTCCCAGATTTCTAGGAATCAAATGATGCAAGATGTTTCTTTTAATAGATTTAGGCATTTTAGCTGCTTAAAAGTACAGAGTCCTAGGTCTAAAAAGGGAAAGACCCAAGCCCCGTGATGCTCCTTGCTGTGGGCCAGGTGTGTGGGACTGGGACATGTGGCAGCTGTGTCCGGGGCTCTGGCCCAGGCTGAGGCGCTGCCCGGTGGGCCTGATGGGGGCCACTGCAGCCTTCAGCCTGCACTCAGGGAAGTCCTGTCAGTGATTCATGGGGGTTGATTTTCTGTCATTATGTCTTGCCCTGTACTGGATAGTTTGCAAAGTGCTCTTGTGTAAATGATCCCAACAAATCCTCACAACCAGCTTGGGAGGTCAGGAGGGCAAAGTATTATTTCTATTTTCTAAATGACAAAATTGAACTTGGTGACTTACCAAGATCACACAGCTCATAAAGGGTAATGATGAAATGGGAACCAGGGCCTCTTGAATCCAGTGTTCTTCCTGTTATACCACTTGCCTGTCTGTAGAGTTTATTTTAAAAACAAATTCATAATTGTTGCCAGTTGCATGCTATGATTTCTACACTCTTGATCAGAGGTTCATAATCTGAAATCCACAGACCCAGAAGGGAGCCGTGGATAGATTTTAGGGGTCTATGGACTTGGATGGGAAAAAAATCGCATCTTTCTTTTCACTAAGCTCTAACTTCATTTTTTTTGGAAACATTCTGAGAAAGCGTTCCTAGATTTTACCTGACTTCCAGTGGGGTTCTGTAACACAAAAAGGTTAAGAACCGCAATGGAAATTGAAATAGTCAGTTCTCTCATTTGAGGAACAACATTTATGAAAATAGGTTTCAGATTTTCATGGGTCTTAATGAAGATGTCTTTTAAAGAGTTACATAGTCAAATGATGCTAGAAGACCAAATGATCTTGATTATCTGGAACATTTGGCCAATGGAAAAGATCTCCTTACAGCAGAGTAATGAGAGCGAGCAAATATTTTAATTTCACAGGAGGAAAACTGTTTTATCAAACCCAAATATTTCAGCCATACCATTGAGTCTCAAGTGTATTATTTGCTGCTCATTTACTTTAATATGTTCTTCAGTTCAGCTCCTGAGCATTTTTTCAGATATAAGGCGTTGTGCTAGGCCCACTGCATGCAGGGATTGATTGGACCTGGAGACCTGACAAATGCTACTTTTAAAAAAAATTGGGGGGCGGGGAAAGAAAGGTTGCCTTCTGTTCCGATTAGCAGAAGAGTGTTTGCCGCCATACCCCTTTCTACCTTAGAGAGCGAGTTTTTTGGAATGCGCTCTACAGAGGTGCTTCTCCTACACTCCTGCCCTTTCTGACAGTGTTGGACATCACTTAGTAGCTGTTGTGGATTCTTTCAGGACCCCAGTGGTGGAGCCAGTTCCCGGAAAACAAACCAGCAGAATTCTGATCTCACTTCAGAAGAAGTTTCACGACTTTTTGTGAAGAAAACCATAGTAGTTGGCAATGTGTCGAAGTGAGTATGCAGCTGGACCCAGAAGCTTTTGTTTCCATCCCATTTTTAGTCTTTGGTTTGCACTTACTAAGGCTGGAGTAGAAATAATGCAATCTGAGTTGTAGAAGGATGGCGCTGGGGAAACTTTTTTGACAATTGAAGTGGAGACTGAAGTACGGAGGGTGATTTAGTCAAGCCTCCCAACTAGATAGGACAAAATGGTGACTGGAACCCTGGTCTCCTGACTCCCAGGTAACAGGCCTTCAGGGCATACATAACATTTAGCTATATGCTGCATACATTTCTGCATAAGCAATAAAAAGCAAAGGAAGTAACAGATTCTCTCCTGTCTGTGAGTGGACAATTGGCCTGGGTAGCCACAGGTCCCTCAACAATTTAAATACAGGATCGGAAATATCTGCTTATTTTCCCATGGACTGTGTCTCCCCATTTTACCAAGCCAGCACATTTCAGAGATAATGAGGAATAGAAAGATGATCTCTCCCACTTTAGTGGGAAGAGTGATGTACTTGGGCTCAGGAGAAGTGGGTGAGAATTCTAGTGCCGATACTGAATGATAATAGGAAAGTCACTCAAATCCCTCTGAACCTCTTTCCTCATCTGTAAAAGGGGCACAAGTGTTCTTACATTAACTGGCTCTCAAGAAAATGCTTTCTGACACTTGAGTACTCCATAAATGGGGCATGATGCCAGTGATGATCAAGAAGTGGGTACCATTTGAAGGGTGCACAGGAGAGTGGAAGGAGAGCGGGCTGTGCACTTCGATGGTCTGTATGGGAATCCTAGCTCTGCCACCTGACAAGTCACAGGACCCTGCTGGGTCTTCTCCTAGAAAAGGAGCTAATGAAACTGGACTGTCGCTGTAGGTGTTCTGCGTCTTATGTTTCTATTATCTGTGGACTGGAAGGAGCTTTAGAGACCATCCAGTCCAGCCCCCACCTTTCCATTTTAAAGATGCAGAATTGAACCTCAGAGAGGCTCCCGTGATTTACCAGAGTCAGCACAACTGTTTATTTTTCCTTTGTGGAAAGACACATTCTGGATTGGGAGTTCTACAGTGACCCATCTCTGAAGTTAAACTTTTGCAAAAATTGTAATTAGCAGCTAGCTAATTGTGCTCACCATGATCTCACATAAAGTGTCAACTTGACCTTGAAGTTAAGATTCCCTGCCTTGAATGCACTCCTTCCTCCTGTCTGCTGCCTTTGGAATCCCTGGTGTCCCAAAGCCCAGCTCAGCTCATCCCTCTTGGAATTACACTATAGAGTTTTTGTATTTACTCCTCTGCCTCCATGTTGTTTTTCCCCCTCCCCAGAGGGTGACCATTTTGTTGGGGTAATTGTAACACCAGTGCATGCTTACCACAACCTTAGACATTGCAGATATTTCATTAGATTTGTTGAAGAAGATTAAGAATCCATTGACTAAAAATTTCAAAACAAAATAGGAATCGACATATTTCACAGCTTTAACCACTCAAATGTGTGGTTATGGATATAGGCTTTTGTTCCTGGTCTTGTTTGGAGGACAGTGGAGAAGACGCTCTGATGTGCCTTGATCTCTACTTTCTTCACACAACTTAAAACTTTGTGACTTTGGGTTTTGCCCGTGAAAGAGATACTAATTTCTAGCACTGTGAGGAAGCCAACATAGACTCGAGTTGGTACTTGATTAAATTCTCACGTGTTATTTCCTCATAATCGTCAGGACCCCAGATTCTATCCCTTCATAATGACTGTCTTGGGGGGAGGGAACTCTAGGAGTCCTCATGCCTGAGAGATTGCCAGATAAATCTGGTGTACAGATCTGTGCAAGTCAACTCCTAGCTGGCCAGCTGGTAGTGAAGGGGCAAAGAGAGAATTTTCCTTCTCTTCTTTAATGTGTGTGCTTTCTGTGAATGTGGAGTGTGTGGGCATAAAGGGTGAATTCACAACCAGCAAAGAGGAAATTAAAACAATATTTAAGAGCTGTTTTGCCCAACTGTATGCCAATAAATTTGATAATCTTAGTGAAATAGATGAATCTTTACAAAAATGTAAATTATCTAGATTAATGGAAGAGGAAATAAAATACTTAACCCCATTTCAGAAAAAATAAACTGAGCAAGCCATCAGTGAGCTTCCTGAGAAAAAAATCTCCAGGGCCAGATGGATTTAAAAGTGAATTCTGTCAAACATTTAAAGAATAATTAATTCCAATACTATATACACTATTTGGGAAAATAGGCAAAGAAGGAGTCCTACCAAATTCTTTTTATGATACAAGTATAGTGCTGTTGTCTAAACCGGGAAGAGTCAAAACAGAAAGCAAATTATAGACCCTAAAATTATAGATTCTCTAATGAATGTAAATGTTAGAAATTTTAAATAAAATATTAGCAAAGAGATTACAGCAGCTTATCTTGAGGATAATATACTATGACCAGGTAGGATGTATACCAGGAATGCAGGGCTAGTTCAGTATTAGGAAAACTATCAGCATGATTGGCCATATCAACAACAAAACTAACAGAAATCATGTGATTGTCTCAATAGATGGCAGAAAAAGCATAGTTAGTTTTAGCAATGTTAGTTTTAGCAATAAGAGAAGAAAAAGAAATTGAAGAAATTAGAATAGGCAAAGAAGAAACAAAGTTATTACTCTTTGCAGATGATATGATGGTATACTTAGAGAATCAAGTAAAAAAATTACTTGAAATAATAAACAAATTTAGCGGAGTGGCAGTATATAAAATAAACCCACACAAATCATCGACATTTCTGTTTTATTAACAAAGCCCAACAGCAAGAGATAGAAAGAAAAATTCCATGTAAAGTTACTGTAGACATTATAAAATATTTGGTAGTCTACCTGCCAAAACAAACCCAGGAACTATATGAACACAGTTACAAAACACTTTTTTAAAAAATTTTGCCGGATTCTGGGCCCTGCTCCCCAGTTCTCCCCTTTAGGTAGAGCCCTAGGTAAGGCCTATAAGTATTCGTTGCAGCTCATGCACATGTGTTTACTCCTCATATATATTATTTTTCAGTGTGGCGCTCAGGGTTACACCCTCAGGCAGTGGGGGCTGAGCTCCTCTGGGGGAAAAGAATGTTTCTAGAACACGGTGATCTCATGCTGTCCTGTGATTGTGGCCCCGTTTCTGCCAAGGTCACTAATCATATACTTGTCTCCCTGGATGCCTCCTCTGATTTGCCTGCTTCTTCCTCAAGGCTATTGCTAGGGAAAAAAAAATCGGCTTTCCATTTTTGTTTGTCACTCTGAATTTCATCCCTTTCCTGGCTTTCTTTTTAAGTTCTTGCAACTTATTTGTTTTTTGAAAAAGATATAGCTTCCTCCCAAATAAAATAGCAGTAATTCTATGTAATTGATTTTCCACATTTACTTACACATTTTTTCCTTTCAAAGAGATCCAATTTTCACCTATATCCTAGGATAGCCCATTCCTATATTACTATGGTACTTTACGTTATTTAAACTGTTATGTAGTATCCTTTGAAATTTTGATTTGTTGGTTAACCACATTGTCCATAGCCTTTTAACTCTTTTAATCCTTACATTGATAGGGCCTTCATTCTGCATAGGATAACCAAAGTAGATTACTGGCAGTAGAAATTGAGGCAGCTAGGTTAACAGTGTTGGGACATGGAGTCAGGAGTCAAAAGAAGGACACCAACATTTGTTAAATGCCTACTGTGTGCTAGGAATTGTACTAAACACTTTACACATGGGATCTCACTTGATGCTCACAACAACCCTGGGGGGTAGTTGCTCTCATGATCCCCGTTTTACAGTTGAGAAAACTGAGGCAGACAGAGCTATCGTGTGTCCAGGGCTGGAAATGAACTTGGGTTTTCCTGACTCTCCGTTTCACCACCTACTTGATTTGAATCTTGCCTCATCTACTTAGAGTAAACTGTGTGATCCTAGGCAAGTCACTGAACTTCCGCCTCAGTTTCTTCAATTGTAAAATGGAGATAATAATGGAACTACCTCACAAGGTTGTTGTGAGAATCAAATGAGATAATATATGTAAAATACTCTGTAACCCTCAAAGCTAGGTATTGTTGCTGTTTTATTTACATCAATAGTGATCAGGATCGTGGTGTTCTAGGGATGGAGAGGAACAAGGTCTGGATGAGATTTAGTCCGTGGCTGGTAGTTCTCCATTCCATGATAAAGGATAACTCTTAATTTTGTCACCTGTGTACCCTGGCGGCAAAGCAATTTATGGAATTTTTTTTTATTATTATTAACTAAAAATACATGCTGACATTTTTTTTTTACCTTAACCGTAAGCTTGTTCTGTAGACATCCAGACTTCTTTCTGGAAAGAAGAAACTGAATGAGTTTTGTTGTGTTTATTCCACTGATGCAGCTTTGGAAGATTCTTGAACCCCAACTTTCCTGAAAACGGCTGAGAGTAAGTAGTTTTGAGCATGTCTTCTGAAAAGTAACAACTCAATTTTGTTTTTCTCGCTAGGTACATTCCGCCTGATAAAAGAGAAGACAATGACCAGTCAACTCACAAGTGGATGGTGTATGTGCGGGGCTCCCGGAGAGAGCCCAGCATCAATCACTTTGTGAAGAAAGTGTGGTTCTTTCTGCATCCCAGCTATAAACCAAATGACCTGGTGGAAGTTCGGTGAGCAGAATGTCACACAATAAACATGTAGTAAGCTGTTACGATGGGCCAGGCACTGGGCTAAGCGCCGGGGATGCAAATGAGAAAGACAGTCCCCACAGCCACCAGAGGCTTCCTAGAGTAGGGGGACGATGGTGCTGGGGGTGATGTGGAAACCCAACAGAGCAGCTGGTGGCCGATGGAAGTTATCCTGTTATGTAATGGAGCATTAAACATTTAATAAAATTGCGGAAGCAGAGGGAACTTTAAAGGTCATCTAACCCAGCCACTTTTTACACATGAAGAAACCGAGGCAGAGGAAGATTAAGTAATTTGCCCAAATTCACACAGCTTGTTAGTGGTAGAGCTGGGGCTTGAATGGGATACCTATTCTAGAGGTCTTTCTACTATACTCTATTATCTTGAAATGGAAGAGAAACGTGCTGACCATAATGTCTTACATTAGAAGCACTTCTCAGGGATCTAGCTCTTTGCCAGATTAATAGTTTCAGGTCCCTATTTTTGCCAGACACCTTTATATAAGTAGCAGAGTTGTAACTAGGGCAGTGTGATGTGGGCTTTGCCACAGGGTTTAGCACCAGGAGGGAGGTGGAAGGGGTAGGCTTTCTCCCTGGGGCAGTTCCCAGACCTAACCTGCCCTTGCTCTTGTAACTGACTTTGTGCTAGGCCCCAGACCTGTGTGACGGTGACAGTGATGGTGCTGCTGACTAAGGGGAGGCCTGTGTGCTGAAGTCCCCTTGTCACCTCACTCAGTGAGCTTCGCTGTTTCCTGCAGGCTTCTGTTAAGGAAGTCTTGAATGGTTCATTAGCTGTTAGTGCCGGAACTCTCACAAAACTGTGTTAGTGATTAAAAAAGACAATTTGATTTGAGGAGAGAACTTAAAATGTTTTTTCTTTTGGTGCTGAAGAAGTAGCTTTGGCTAAATGTCCAAGATCCTAGCAGTTAAGCCGATGCTCTCTTGCCTTGTCTGTGCTAAGAAAATAGTATAAACACTAATTGTGTCAGCATTTTTCTGAATTCCCAGTTGTTGTAAAGTTTATCTTTGTTTCAGAATGTTTAGCTTGCATGTTCTCAGTAAAAATAATGAACTTTTATTAGATCTCTCTCCTTAAGCATTGAAATGGAAATTTTGGAAAAATAGTGCTGCGGCAAGTAAAACTTTTGTAACTAAACTTCAAATAATAATACTTAACAGTAAGAAGAGTCATTTTAGGGGCAGCTAGGTGTTGCAGTGGATAGAGCACTGGCCCTGGATTCAGGAGGACCTGAGTTCAAATCCAGCCTCAGACACATAACACCTACTAGCTGTGTGACCCTGGGCAAGTCACTTAACCCCCATTGCCCAACAGGAAAAAAAAAAAAAGAAGAAGAGTTATTTTAAGGTCTGTTGTAATTAGGAATAAACCACTGGAATGGAAAATTAGGAAAAGGAGAGAAGAAAGAAAATCAAGAAAAATAGAAGACTTCTGTGCAGAAGGTCTAGAGCAGGGGTGGGAGACTGGCGGCCTTAAGGCCACACGTCGCCCTCTAGGTCCTCAAGTGCAGCCCTTTGCCTGAATCCAAACTTCACAGAACACATCTCCTTAATAAGAGGATTTATTTCTGTAAAACTTGGACTCAGCCAAAAGGCCGCACCCAAGGACCTAGAGGGCCACACGTGGCCTCAGGGCTGCAGATTCTCCACCCCTGGGATTCTAAAACATAGAGTAGCAGAAGTGCTTTCTCTGGGGCCTAGGAGCTTGTTTGTTCCTGTTTCTGTTTTTTAGAATTTGGATCTCTCAGTTTGATTGAGGTTTTTTTTTGTTGGGGGGCTGTTTTTATTTTTTAACTATTTGACAACATTGTCTTTGTCATTTGTTTTATCTGTTTAAAAACAAAGTTCCCAGAAGGCTTTGCCAGCCCGCCACCAAAGAGTGGGTTAAGTAGGTTGAGAAGCTTTGCTCTAGGGGAAGAACTCTATTGACCCAATAAGATCAGATGGGAAAGGTAGCAAGAGAAGAGGGAGAGGGGAAGGCAGAAGTTTGAAGCTGAGCTAGCTTCAGGAGTGCGTGCCACTCGTCATGGATTCCTGTGCCCCATGGACACTGTCTGGGGGTGAGTGGGGCTGCACCAGCATCCAGATGTGCCTGAGGTTGATAGAAGTGGAGAATCCAGCCCTCACTCCAGAGGGGGCTAAGGGGCAGCTTTTCAAAATGTGAGCGTCTCTGATTGGGCAAAAGCGAAAGGAAGGCCTTCGCGCATCCTAGCTGACAGGAGCTTTGTTCTTAGCAGCTTCTGGTGGTCGTTCTTGGGACGTTTGATTGTGCTTCTCACTGCAGTAGTGGCCATGCCACAGGATGGATCTCTCACGCAAACACGCTCACACAGACAACTGTGCTCATTTTCCCCATACTTTCTCTATTTAATCCCGTTTTCTTGATGTCTGACTTGGAATCCCTCTCCTGAGCTCTGATTTTAAATGTAACCATAGTTCACAGTCCAGTTATATGATGGGAATCTGACTAACAGGGGGCTGTTGCAGCCATAAGAAAGGCTGATGTTAATCGTATGTCTGGATCAGAAGCACAGATTTGCTTTCACACTGCTTGGAATCATGTCGTGCCTGCTGGAGCGGGCAGAGTCGGGTGGTTTTCTTGTGAAGTCTTTTTCGCATTTGACAGAATTGCCAGGTGTGCTCTCTGTCCATCTTTGTTTGACAGTTTCTGATGACACCCCCCTTCTAAATTCTACTCTTACCCATCCCATGCCCTTTCCCAACTTTCACATTGGTGCTATACTATGCCAAGGTAGCTCGGTGCATTCTGGACTGATCAGGAGAACCCTCGAATTGAGGCTGCTTCCTTTATCTGGAACCACTGAAGCTGGCCTGGGATAGTTTGGGGGGACCTGCTCACCAGCAACTCGTAAATGTCTGCTCTGGTTCTCTTTGGCCCTAACTCAGAGAATCTTCTTGAGAGCGGAGTGTATTCTTGCCTCAGGGTTTGTAGGCTGACACTGATGTTCTCCTTAGGGGGCTCTTCTCTGCGTTTACCCGTTTGGCAAATCTGAGGCTTCTCTGGAAATAGTGAATCCTCTAGAAGACTTGGCCCTTTCCCCACCTCCACTGGCCAGTTGGCAAAGTTGTTCTGAATGGACCTGGCTTTGCTGCCCCTACCTGGACTGTCTGCGGCATCAATTAGCTTTGCCTCACGGAGCCCAAACCTTGTCTTGGCAGAGACTCAGAGGGCTTGGGGAAGGAAGCGCCAGGCCTGGGAGTCAGGCTTCGCCCTTCATTTTGAGCATCTGTGTTACCTTCTCTGTGCCTTGGTCTGAAGTCAGTGAGAGTTTTTGTCCTCGTCCTTCTCACCTCACAGGGATGTTGTGAGGATCCCTCAGCATCAGGAAGGGCTGGTGTGGACATTTCTTATACCCATGCACATCAGTAATTTGTCTCTAATTTGGATCTCAGAGTTGCCACTGAGTGACTTGCCCAAGGCCACAGAAGGGGCAGAGCTTCAACTTGAGTCTTCCTTGGTCTTTCTGCTGTGGGCATGCTTCCTCCCAAATGAGATCACAGGTGGAAAAATGTTTTGGAAATAAAACTCTTCTACCACGGTGTTGCCTTCCCAAGCTTTCTTCCTGGCTGCTGCCTTGTCCAGGCCCTGCCTTCATAGTGGGACTTGTTCTGGGGCTATTAAAGTCACTCATCTGTTTTTAACAGAATGTCCCTAGCCTGACTCTCTTGGCCATTGTTTCTCTTTAACTTTTATGGGAAATTTAGCAGTGTAGTTGATAGGAACCAGCTTTTTATTGTCAAATAAAGGCATCCATGAATATAAATAGACACTTGACTGAAAAGTCTCTGACGGAAAATGTTCCTAAGCAATGTCAGCTGACGGATCTCTAAGATGTGAGGTTATGTCTCCCATATAAAACCCCACCCCTGGGGCCTGACCGTTACCTTCATTTCTCTGTAAAGGTCTAGTGCATGCAGACAGTTGAGAATACAAGTAAACTTCATGATAGTGTGACCGGCTTCCTAGATCCAAACTCTCTTCTGTTGAGATCGATTACTAGTAGTGTTGACATTACTTAGCACCACGGACAGGAGCCTGTGTCATGATTCTTTTTTAGCTCCTGGGCTCCCTCCACTTGGTTGATTCATACTGTTTCCATGCCCTGGTTCCCAGTTGATCCACTCCCTAGAGTCTCTGTTCTCATCACTGGAGGACTGATTGGAGTTTTTGTTGTTGTTGTTATTGTTTAGCTCCAAGTTTGCTTTTCCAGCTGCTGCTTGAAACCGTGCTGACTTTTAGCCAATTCCTTCGGTACTTTTGCTGGTGTCTTTGCTGGTTTTGCCTGCCTGGAGAATCTCCTCTTTTCTCTGGTCTGTAATGCAGGCCCTGTTCTTTTTATTGAAATGTACTGGATATTTTATTTTTCAGCAGTTTTCCTTTTTAGTCTTAATAGTGTTGATGATAGTAGTTTGCCCTAGTGGTAGGCTCTGTCTTCTTGCCTTGTGCTTCACATGTGCTGTCCTGGTATTTGTGAGGCTGTATATGCTTTTGGGTTCTGTCCTTTACTTTCGGTCATGCTTGCTGGAGCCTACCTAACTCTTCTCAACTAGAACTCAAAATTTTATGTTTCTTTGATATTAAGGATTATCTCCTCACAACTCGGACATATTTTCCTCTTCCTTGGTCAGGAATTTACATTTGTGTTTTAAAGGCATTCTTCCCCTTATCTTGTATTTCTCTAATCTTGCAGTAAATTTGTGACCTCATTAATATGGGTACTCCTTCCGGAGATGTAAATTCCAGTTTGTTCATGCCTAACCACCCTTTGTGACTCATCTCTGTCGTCCCATAAATCCATCAAAGGGGAAGGGCCCACCCAACTGGGTTCTTTTCCATGATTTTTCTTCCTTTCAAGTATAGTCTCAGCAACAAACCATGTCTGCTATCTGAGGAACAGCCTGCTGTAATACGGAGAGCTCAGTACCCATTAGATTATCTGCTTGGTGATGACCTCTTTGGCGACAGCAACTCATTAAACAAAGAAAAGTGCCCAAAGCCCTCAGTCCATCCCCATCACCTGGCCCTTTCTTCTGCTGTAGTGACTGTGGCAAAGGAAGCAGGGGTTGCTAAGAAGCAGTTTTTATTTTTTAGACTGTCTGTAAACATGAGCTTAGCTGTTGGTATGCTACCTGAGATTCCTATATGATCAACAAGCAAATGCTGCTGGAAAACCTGAATCATTAACTTCAGTTTTTAAAATACCTAAGATTTAATTTACGTGTCAGTAGAAATATTTTAGGTTGTTAACTCCATATTTATTTGAACTTAGACACCAAATGTAAATTTCATTTAACTCCGTATTTGTCTCCTGTTAACTTTAGCAAAACTCAGCAATAATCAATTGACTTAAGAGAATTCTCATTGGGAAATGTTTATCAGTCTACTTCATGAGGAAGGAAGGAAAGAGTCTGGGTGAAATCTCTGTGTCTGCTTTTCTCTAGAGAGCCTCCTTTCCACCTGACCAGGAGAGGTTGGGGTGAATTTCCAGTCAGAGTTCAAGTTCACTTTAAGGACAACCAGAACAAGCGGATAGATATCATCCATAACCTGAAGGTATTGTATGGGAATGACGCTACCCGAAACAGCTTGTGGGCACCATTTGTACTCCCAGACATGCTTTATGGTGAAGAAGAATGGGCATGGCGGGAGGAGGTGGGTGAAAGGTTCTTGAGGACGGTAGGGTCCCTGCATCTGAGCTGTGGAAGCAGAAAGGAAGACCACTTGGGTTATAGCTGGCATGGTGGAGCCCGGGTAAGTGGCTCCAGAGAATTGGTGTGAATTCTCAAAGAACAGAACTCTTGGAAATAGCCTGTATCTAGTAGAAAGGCCTGCTAGTCATGTGACTTTGGGCAGGGCATTTAAATCATTCTTATGCTTATGTTCATTTAAGGTGAGAAGTCCTACCTAGTCTGTGTGTCATGAGGGCTCTGAAAGGGGCATTTTCCTAAATGCAAAGGGTAGCATAATTTGAGCCTTATAAGTGAAGTCTTTCCCCACTTGCCTTTCATAGGTTGATATCATGCACATTTTCCACTGAATAAATTTTCATAAATTTAGAATTAACTTATTCTTCTCTCCTTGGTTGTGACCAGGGTGGATATTTTCTTTGGAGCATGCATATCTGGAACTCCTTCCTTTCTTATAGCATTCACAGCTGTCAGCCTTAGAGAATGCTGTCACAGCCCCGTTGAGGCATGTCTTTACTAAGTTAGAGATAGGCATTGGTATCTTGGTATTTTAAATTGCTTTCTCAAGGTGCTATTCTTTAAACCTAAATAGAGAAGCGCATGGTCACTTGATGCTGTAAATATATAAATATATTAATATATCAATATATCAGTAAGTGTCACATGCAGATATTTTAGTGGATCTGAATCATCTTTGCCTGCCTGTTTGGTGTGACTTTGTCCACCCACGATGCTCGAGGCCTTCCTTGCTTTCTCCTGATCTCACAGGTACTCTGGCTGTCCATACCTGTCATCCTTCACCTCACCACATAACCCTCCCTTCTTCTCTTCTTGTCATATACTAACTTGATGACTTCTTTTACTGCTGCTCATCTTTGGAATTCCTCGTTGGTTTTATGTTTCAATCTAATCTTACCCACCATGATCTGCTCTATCTCTATTTGAGATTTTCATCATTAAATCATTTCTAGTACTCTAGAGGCTTGTCTGTTTCCAGTCTTGCTGCCATATAGCAGCAAAATTGGTAGAATGTTGATATTAAAAAGATTGACCTTTGTTTTCCTGGGAAGCTGGGATCATTAAAGGAGCTTTTCGTTTTGCTGAAGGAAATGTAGTCCATTATCCTCCTTTTTACTCTGGGCCCTTCTCACTGGATCTATAATACTGTCTGGACCAGTGCGTGTTGTAATCTGGGTAATAAACATTTTCCATCCACTTGGTCTTTCCAGGGTGGATGGTCATTGCAGATCTCCACCAGGAGGTTTTGGAGCATAACCAGTTTTAATTAATTGTCACAGCAGAGAGGCTGCAAGAGCCCAGAAAGCACCTTAGTCAGCAAACACTTAACTTAGCTGCCAGCACAGGCCGAAGATGGCCAGCAAAGGCAACACCAGTTAGAACTTAAACTTGTTTGTATGGACAGTTCTGAGCGATAGTCATGTATAAGGCAGAGTAGCAGTGGATCTTGGCAAAGTCACCCTGACAGCATTTAAGGGCAGTAATGGAAGGAGAATAACACACAGAAGAGAAAAGAAAAATACTTGTAATACTGTTAGAACAAGCCCTTTTCTCTCTCAGTCAGGACTTTGAGGAGGGCCTCATTCACTGAAATAATTGAGACCACTTCCTGTTATCCCCTCCTCATCTCATCTCATCTCATTCGGATGCCTTATGCAGCGACCTTCTCTGTCACCCTTATCTCACAAGAAGAGGTGGTCATTCCCCTGGCCAAAGCAAACCTCTCTACGGGCACAGGTGACCCCATTCCATTTCATCCTCCCCCTTCTCCACCTTCTCACTTATCTTCAGTTTCTCCCCATCTAAAGGCTCCTTCCCCACTCTCTACAAACATGCCTGTGTCTCTCCTGGCCTCAGAATACCCTCATGCTTTTTCCATCCCTGAGCCATAATCCTGTACCTCTCCTTTTTGTGGCTAGCCCCCTTGAGAAGCTTGTCTACAGTGTTTCTGCTTCCTTTCCTCTCACCTTCTTCTTCACTTCTGTAGTCCAGCGTCTGATGAAACCGCTCTCTTAACATTCTCTTTGAAGCTCTGAAAGTTCTCCTGATTCTCAGTCTGGTGATCTTTCTCAGTTCTTACTCTTGATCTTGCTGCAACCTTTGACACCGTTGATCCCCTTCTTTTCTTTGAACATCTCGTTCTCCTCCCCTCTCCCTGACCTCTCCTTCTCAGTCTCATTTGCTGGATCTTCATCCAGGTTGCCTCAGCTGATGATGGGTTTCCTCAGGACTCTCTCTTGAGCCCTCTTCATTTCCTCCTCTGTGCTGTTTTGTTTGGTGATTTCATCAGCACTGTTGCATTCAGTTATCATTTCTCTTCTGATTCTCAGATCTATTTATCCAGCCCTTATCTCTCTCCTGACCTCCAGTCTTGCATCTTCAGTTGTCTGTTGGACATTTCACAGTGGATGTCATCGACGTCTTAAACTTTCTGTCTGGATTGAACGCATTCTTTTTCATTCCAGATCTTCCCCTCTTAGGAACGTCCTTATTACTGCCGTAGGTGAGACTAGTCCCTTTAGGGGAGAGACTGTTCATTTTTGTCTTTCTGTCCCTAGCACTTGGTACAGTGCCTGGTATGGAATAGGGGCTTAATAAAAATTTGTCAGTTGATTGATTGATTCTCTTCAAGTCAGGGACTATGCCTTATGTGTCTTTATGTTCCCTCACAGTTCCTAACACCCTGCTTTACAATAGCAGGTGTTTGGTAAATTCTTCTTCTATGGTGATGTGCATGATTATAAGGGAATTTGGATGTTTGGAGTCCTTGAATCATTCCGCATTGTTGTAAACTGGGCAGTTTAATAGGAAAGATCGGGAGGAAAGACAGTGCAGATGTGGCCTCCCAGGTGCTCCCCTTCAGAAGCGCCAGGGATTATCTTGATTACTTTCTAGTTGATTTATTTCAAAGAAGCAGTGCCCTTGGATGAACAAGTGACTGTAGGGAAACATATTACACATATGAGAAAAGGTAATAAACGATCACTTTGCCAGTTACCTAAAGAATAATTTGTTATTCTCGTTGATGTTGGACTACAGCAAGCACTTTCACAGGTGGTTTATTAGTTTTCCTCAATTTATACTTTCCTACCCTCATACTTTAGTATTTAGTGGAGGTGACCGTGGGTTTTCAAAGGCTGTGTTCAGGGGAGGCCTGGGAAATTTGATTCAGTCTTCCTAAAGATGCAGGGATGATCCTTCTGTTCATTCTTGGAAGCAAGGACTTATGAGAGAGGAGGTAAAAGAGGAGTTTGAAGGAAAGTTTGCTGACTGAGCCACGATGGCGGAGAAAAAGCAAGGACTTGCCTGAGCTCTCCCATGTTCCTCTCCCAATGACTTTAAAATAATGCCTCAAAACAAGTGCTGGAGCAGCAGAACCCACAAAAGGTTGGGGTAGAACAGTTTTTCCAGCCCAGACAACCTAGAACGTCAGAAGAAAAGGTCTCTCTCACTGAGGTGTGATTAGAGCACAGTCTAACACAAGCTGTGCCCCGGCAAGCCAGCAGCAGGCCTGGGGGGGCGGCTTCTGGAGCTCTAGGCTAGCTCTGGGGGGGCAGGGGGAGGTGTTAGCCTGCCAGAAGGAGATTACAGGGCTTCCTTTACTGGCACTGGGCGCAGGTCTCTGTTGCATTGCCTATATGCGGATCTGGGTTATAGTCCCGGGGACAGGAGGAGCGATTAGCACACCAGACGTTGTGGCGCAGGGGGAGTGGGGCCGTAGTTTTAGGGCAGAAGTCACTCTCAATAGCCTCACCCCCTTCCTCCCTGCCCCCCCAACTAGCTCTGAAAACAGCTGTACAAGAAACCTGAAGCTTGGGACAGTGCCCCTTCTACCCCAGAAGCAGAGTTGAATTTTAGCATAAAATTAAAATTCTATAAATAGGCTGGAAAAATGAGCTAACAACAAAAAAAGAACCTGATCATAGAAAGTTACTCTAGTGACAGGGAAAATCAAAACACAAACTGAGAAGACAACAGTCAAAAGTACTACATCTAGAGCCTCAAAGAAAAATAGGAATTGGTCTCAGACCCAAAAAGAATTCCTGGAAGAGCTCAAAAAGGAGTTTAAAAATCAAATAAGAGAGGTAGAGGAAAAAATGGGAAAGGAAATGACAGTGATGCAAGAAAATCATGAAGAAAGAGTCAATAACCTAGTAAAAGAGGCATAAAAAAAAACCTGAAGAAAATAGTGTCTTAAAAAACAGATTATCAATATGGTAAAAGAGGCACAAACATCCACTGAAGAGAAGAACTTATCTTAAAAAGTAGAATTGGCCCAATGGAAAAGGAGGTATAAAAGCTCATGGGAAAAAATAATCCTTAAAAATTAGAATTGAGCAAATGGAAGCTAATGACTCCCTGGGACATCAAGAAACAATAAAACAGAATCAAAAGAATTTTTAAAAATAGAAGAAAATTTGAAATATCTCATTGGAGAAACAACTGACCTGGAAAATAAATAAGAAATAGATAATTTTTTAAAGAATAATTGGACTACCTGAAAGCCATGGTGAAAAAAAGAGCCTGGAGATCATCTTTCAAGAAATTATCAAGGAAAACTGCTCTGATATTTTAGAACCAGAGGGCAAAATAGAAATGAAAAGAATCCACTGGTCACCTCCTAAAAAAGATCCCAAAGTGGGTCAACTAGGTGGCGCAGTGGATAGAGCACCAGCCCTGAAGTCAGGAGGAGCTGAGTTCAAATCCGGCCTCAGACCAAACACTTGACACTTACTAGCTGTGTGACCTTGGGCAAGTCACTTAACCCCAATTGCCTAAAAAAAAAAAAAATTTAAAAAATACCAAAATGAAAACTCCTAAGAGTAGTATAGCCAATTCCAGAGCTCGCAGGTCAAGGAGAAAGTATTGAAGTATCCAGAAAGAAACAGTTAGAATATCATGGAACCACAGTCAGGATAACACAATTTAGCAGTTTCTACTTTGAAGGATCAGAGGGCTTGGAATATGATATCCTGGAGGGCAAAGAAGCTAGGATTACAACCAAGAATCACCTACCCAGCAAAACTGAATATAATCCTTCACGGGGAAAAAATGGACATTCGATGAAACAGAGGACTTTTGAGCATTCCTGATGAAAAGACCAGAGCTGAATAGAAAGTTTATCCTTCAAATACAAGATTCAAGAAAAGCATAAAAAGGTAAACAGGAAAGAAATCACAAGGGCTTCAATAAGGTCAAACTGTTTACATTCCTAAATTGGAAGATGATATTTGTAATTCCTAAGAACTGTATTATTTATTAGGGCATTTAGAAGGAGTGTACATAAATAGAGGGCATGGATATGAGTTGAATATGATGGGATGATATCTTACAAAATAAAATTAAGGGGTGAGAAAGGAATAAACTGGGAGAAGAGGGAAAGGGGAGGTAAATTATTTCACATTGTTATTTGTCCTTGAAGAGGACCAATGACATCAGGAAGGTGATGTCATGACTTGCAAATAAATTAGATTTAAGTGAGGCAGGGCTGTGCTCCTCAGGAGCCATCTGGGTGTAGGGGCAAAATATAGATCAGGAGAACTGGAGGTGGCCCCCAGTGCAGTGGGAGACCTTGCCTTTTTTAAGCTAAGGTCTTTTCCAGGTCTCATTTTGTCTGAGGCAATGTCCATTCAGTGAGTAAGGCTAGGTAAGAAATGAGGCAAAGGATGGCCTCTTTTACATAGCCAAAAAAAAAAAAATCAATGTGAGAGGGGAAGACCCTCAGGGTTTCTGGCCAGAACAGAAACAATTGCAATTTACACTCACTCTGAGCCATGGGAACCCAAACAGTGACCAAGTGAGGCATTGGGCTGAGACCTATTGTTGGCCAGTCAATGACAGCAGAATGATTTGGGTTTAAGGCATGGTCAAGTAGCTCCAAAGTCGGGACCTCCAGTGCTGTATTTCAAGAAATGAAACTACATGGAGCAAAAGAGTCATGAAAGAGCTTTTACATTGGAGAGAAAGAGAGGAGCTGGGGAACAGGGCTTGAACCCTACTCTCATTGGAATTGACTCAAAGAGCCAATGACATACACACTCACTTGGGTATAGAAATCATTCTTACCCTTCAAGGATGTAGGAGGGAAAGGGGATAAGAGAAGGGGGGGCGGTGCTGATAGAAGGGAGGGCAGATTGGATGAGGTGGTAATCAGAAGCAAAAGACTTTTGAGAGGATGAGAGAGAGAGAGTAGCATAAATGGGGAAAAATAGGATGGAGGGAAATACACAGTAATCATAACTCAGCAAAATTTTACAGCAGGTTTCTCTGATAAAGGCCTCATTTCTCAAATATGAGAACTCGGTCAAATTTATGAGAAACACAGGTCATTCCCCAGTTGATAAATGGTCAAAGGACATGAACAGGCAGTCTTCAGAGAAAGTAATCAAAGCTATCTATAGTCATGAAAAAATGCTCTAAATCACTACTAATTAGAGAATCTCTGAAGTGCCACTGCACACCTATCAGTTTGGCTATGTCAGAAAAGAAAATGACGGATGTTGGAGGGGATGTGGGGAAATTGAGACACTCATGCACTATTGGTGAAGTTGCAAACTGATCCAACCATTCTGGAGAGCAATTTGGAATTACACCTAAAGGCCTATAAAATCATGCATACCCTTTGACCCAGCAGTACCACTACTAGGTCTGTATCCCAAAGAGATTTAAAAAAAAAAAAAGGAAAAGGGTTTATATGTATGAAAATATACATAGCAGCTCTTTTCTGGTGGCAAAGAATTGGAAATTGAGAGGGTGCCCATCAACTGGGGAATGGCTGAACAAGTTATGTTATATGATTATGATGGAATGCTGTTTTGCTGTAAGAAATGACAAGCAGTATGGCCTCAGAAGAACCTGAAAAGATTTGTATGAACTGATGCAAAGTGAAATGAGCAGAACCAGGAGACCATTGTACACACTAACAGAAACAGTGTATGATGATTGACTGTGAATGACTTATCTATTCTCAGCAATGCACTGAACCAAGACAGTTTTGAAGGACTTAGGATGAAAAATGCATCAACATCCAAAAAAAAGAACTGATGGAGTCTGAATGAAGATTGAAGCATACTTTTTTTTTAAGCTTTTCTTTCTTTTCCTTTTTCCTTTTTCTTTTTTTTTGGGGGGGGGGGCTGTTTATGCTTTCTTTTAAAACATGCCTAATATGGAAATATGTTTTGCATGACTACGCACATATAACCTATATCAAATTGCTTGTCTTTTTAAAGTGGGGGGAGAGGAGTGAGGAAGGGAGAGAATTTGGAACTCAAAATTTTAAGAAATGAATGTTAAAAATTGTTTTTGTATATCATTGGGAAGGAAAATATTAAATAAAAAAGAAAAAAAAGACCGTATCCACAGCACCAACTAAGGCTGGTCCCATTGACCTAGGGTTGCCTTGCGTGTGGGCTGTTGACAGCCAATACCAGCCTGACTAAGGTTTGTGAGGCTTAGCCCTCATGGGCTATGGGAATAGGAATCTTTCAGCCATAGTAGTTCCTGAAGACCACGTCCAAAGTCATAAATGGAGTACCAACACAAATAAAGGCTCAGATCCTTGAAGGATTAAGAAGATAGTAACAGAATGTTCCCACCATTTGCCATATTTCCCAATCCTCTGAGCAGAAAAGGAGTGTTTTTACTGCATGTCATGGGTTTCCTGCCGGCAGACTTTTAAATATCCCTAGACTGTTGTGTGTGGAGGCCTGCTCTCGAGAGTACTGGATGTTTTCTGAAGTTTATGGGTCCCTGGGCACTTGACATAAATGACTTCTGTTTTTTTCTCTCCCCATAGCTGGACAGAACTTACACTGGCCTGCAGACTCTAGGTGCTGAGACGGTACGCTCTTTCCTAAAATGTTCTGTATAGTTGTGAGTGAGTGGATTGAATGTCATGTTCTTGTTGCTTTTGCATTTGTGATATGATACAGTCCTCTAAAAGGCACTGCTTACTAAAGCAGTTGCTCTAACAACTGCAGAAGGAAAGCTGAATCCATTTTTATTTAGGAAAATATCACTGGGCTGATGAGCAGGGTAGTATCCTAATATTGAAATAGGAAAAAAATTAAAAGATGGTGCTAGTTTTTGAATCCTGGCTCTGCAGCTTATCCCACGCTAACTTGGGCATACTACCTCCCTGAGCTGCAGTTTGCATAGTGATAAGGTCAGAATCTTAGACTGGAAGCTCTCTTCTGTCCCTTAATACCAGTGGCCCTTAAGAGTCAGGTAAGATGCTATTGACCCATTTGTAGTAGTGGGATGCTCTGAGTTATTTTTTCCAGTAGTGGGGACTGGTTTCTTGAATTCATTCATGTGTGTGTATAGTGTGTGTATGTGTTTGTGTATGGATATATATATAAGAGACAGTGTAGTTTTCTTTATGACCAGTCACAAGCACGTGACATGAGTAATTGAGATTACATGGAGGGGTCTAGTCTGATTATGGTCTGGAATTTTTCTCTTTGTAAGGATAACTGGGACCACGTAGCAATCAAACTTCTGGATGTCATATTAGTAATGTGTTCTGCTGAGCTAACTGTCTGACAGTATTCCCTTCTCAGAGCCCAATAGCTTGTAACGTAGAAATTGGCATTGAAATTTTTGGGAGTCTAAAAAGCTGAAGTCCTATTTATGGACTTCATCCAGAACCGATCATTGAACAACAGGAACTTAGACGTCTCTGTGACTCAGTTTTATTATCTCAGGTGATGTGAATACTAAAATGTTACAAAAAATCTATGACAGTGTTCATAAAAATGTTTGAGTGGGATAAAATAATAAAAAATACTGTTAGGCGAAATCATTACTTCTGTTTGAAGTTAATGAATAAAAAGCATCGTTTCTACTTGAGTAGTCTAATATTTTCAGTAATGTTTTGTGGAGAACCTAGTATAGCATTGGTATTTGTGTAACTTCATTTTAAGTTTATGAAAAACTTTTATCTTTCATTGCAAGCCTTAAAGCACTATGCAGATATTTGTTGTTGTTAATTCTTTATGGGTTCATTTGTACCACTCTATTAAGAAAGTGCCCATGCCAATGAGATGTGGTCCACGTTTCACTGAAGTCATAAATTCTTAACTGCTGGACGACATAGGTATGATGTTTCTGATGGCAACACCCTGAATCAGATGGCATGGAAGCTTCCTTTCCAGTCTCAGGAGTCACTCTGGGATGGGAAGCCGTGTTTCAAGGGTAGGCCTCCCCTTTTGCATGTGAGACATGCAGGTGGGTAGCTTTGTGGATACAGACCTGGTGCCCTCTAAAAAGAGGTCTCATTGCCACCCCTTCCAATCATGGGCCTAGCATCTGTCACTTCGCAGGTCTAGCGCGCCACATTCTCAGGCAGGCCCTGGTACCTTTTAGGTTGTTGGTGAGTGATCTGAGCACATGTTTTCATGTCTTCCAGGTGGTGGATGTTGAGCTCCATCGGCATTCCCTTGGAGAAGACCACCTTTATCCTCAGTCCTCAGAGTCCGATGTCTCCGATGCCCCTTCATCTTTGCCTTTGCCCATGCCAGCCCCAGTGAAAGCTGCTTCTCCTAGAAAACCTTCACATGAGCCTATGCCTGATGTTGCTGTGGAGAAAGGTAATGTAATGTGTGTTCTTCTGGGTGCTGTTGCCTCCTTGCCGACTGCTTCTGCTGGAGCATTTCCCCTGGTTTAGACACTCACGGATTCATCTGCCAAGCATGAATCTAGTCGTGCCATTTCTCTTCTTGCATCCCCCTGATAAACACCAAACTCCTTATCCTCCATAGCCTGGTCCTTGGTTGACTGCTAAACCATCCCCCCCTTCCCCCGTCCGTGTCCTTCCATGTATAACCCAGTGTAGGCAAACTGAACTATTTGTGAACTTACCCATCTCTGCCTGGAGAAATCACAATCCTCGAAATAGTAATAAAAGTATAGGTTCCTGACAGTTGTGCACTGACTGTCAACCCTGCTAGATTGTGATCTCTGTGAGGGCAACAATTAGGTCTTCTTTATCAGAATTTCTTCCAGTGTCTAGCATACTTCATGTAGAATTTGTGTTTATTAGGTAGTTTTTCAATGGACGGATGAAGTGTCTTCATCAGTATTATATCTAGGACATTCAGACTCTTGAGTGGTTAATGGGTGGCATTTCAAACAGGTATCAGGAAGGCCTTTTTCTTACACATTTGCAGTGCCAGAGGCCTGATCTGCACCCAATGAAGTGACATCCAGCTTAGCCTCATACAAAATGCCAAGGGAGGAGAGCAGGGCAGGTCACTTGTGCGCGTGCGCACACACACACACAAGCTCAGAAGATCATTCAGGTGGCTCAGAGCCCTTCAGGGGTGACAAGGGTCTGGCTCCTGGCAGACAAGGACCACTTTTTCCCTCTCCCCCACTTCCTGCTGCCTCCTTCCATCTCAGTGGAGGTGTCACGCAGCTCAGTGGAGAGGGCTTCGGCTGAGTTCTTTGCAAGTTCTGCCCCATTGGAGTCTTCATTTCCGGCAGACCAGTGTGCTGAGAATCAGATCTGCCGGGGGGTCCCAGGAAACTGACCCCCAGTGCCATTCTGTATGGTCCAGCAGGATGTCCTCCTTTGTTGCTGCCCAAAAGGGAAAAGAAGAGCCCATCCCATGTCTGCGAAGGGTTTCTGTGTCCAATTCCATGCTGATTGTGCTCTGGGCCAGGTCAAGGTCTTGCCTCTGCTGTCTAGAATGCTGTGCCACCCCAGAGTGGGAATGGTGTCTCCAGGCCACAGAGGAGAGCCCTGGCTTTGGGTCAGGTCTTTCACTCCTCTTTGAGCCGGGCTTAACTTCATCAAGGTTCTGAAGTTTTAACATCGGCACAGGTGTGACACATAACATCCCTCTAGGCAGCACAGGTGTGGCACAGAGCATCCCTCCATGCATCTCTTCTTAAGAACGCTGCACCTTCTACAGCCTTTGGTTTAATTTAGTGTGGATGCTTGGACATTATTTGACTCTTTGTCTTTTTTGTTAGACGTTTTGTGTGTGTGTGTTGGATATGTATATATATTTTAAATTTATTTATTTTTGATTTTCAACATTCACTTCCTCAAGATTTTGAGTTCCAAATTTTCACCCCATCTCGACCCTCACCCTACCCCAAGATGGCATGTATTCTGAATACCCCTTCCCCTAGTCTGCCTTTCCTTCTGTCTCTCCCCCCCTTCTCTTATCCCCTTCCCCTTCTATTTTCCTGTAGGGCAGGATAGATTTCTGTACCCCATTTCCTGTACTTCTTATTTCCCAGTTGCATGTGAAAACTTTTTTTTTTTGAACATGTGTTTTTAAAACTTTGGGTTCCAAATTTTCTCCCTTCTTCCCTCCCCACTCACCCTCGTTGAAAAGGCAAGCAACTCAATACAGGTTGTACATGTGCAGTTACGCAAAACACTTCCATAGTAGTCATGTTGTGAAAAACTAACTCTATTACCCTTAATCCTATTCTGCCCTCCATTCTATTCTTTCTTTTGACCCTGTCCTTCCTCAGAAGTGTTTGCTTCTGATTACTCCCTCTCCCAATCTGCCTTCCTTTCTATCATCCTCCTGCTCTCTTGTCCCCTTCCCCCCTATTTTCCTATAGGGTAAGACAGATTTCCATACCCAATTGAGTGTGTATGTTATTCCCTCCTTAAGCCAAATCTGATGAGAATAAGATTCACTCATTCCCTCTCACTTTCCCCCATTTCTCTTCCACCTTAAGAGCCTTTTCTGTTTTTTGTGAGATAATTTAACCCATTCTACCTCTCCCTTTCTCCTTCTCTCAGTATAATCCTCTCTTACCATTTAATTTTATTCTCCAGATATCACTCCTCCTCTGTTAGACTTTTTTAACGAGTGATGTATCAGATATGGTTGGTTAAAAGCTAAGTTATTAGAATAGATTGTAAGCAATCAAACAAGCATTTATTAAGCACTTATTGTGTGCCAGGCCCTATGCCACACATGAGGGCTACAAAAGTGAGGCAGTCCATGTTCCCAAGGAGCTCCTCATGAGCAGGAACTGATTTCATTCTTTGTGTATGTCTAGTATCTGGCACAGTGCCTTTCATGGAGTGGTTACTTTATGGATGTTGGCTGAAGTCTTTGAAGTGTGAATGAATATTTTCTCTTGATGTTACGTTGCCTACTGAATTGGAGCAGTTTTTCAGCAAAAATCAAAACAGAAGAGAGTGACTTTGTGCCGTGCATGTGGGTTGCAGTTAATTTGATTTCTTGTGTGTCGAGTAGAATATGCAGTTAGCTCTAGTTAACTCTTTACTCCCTCAGAATAATAACTTTTTAAAATGTTTCATTTATTCCCTTTGTTTTTACATCACGTATCTCACCTCCCCCTTCTAGAGTGAACCTTTTTTTTTTAACTAAGAAAACAAGTAAAAATACCTGCCACTGTAACCGCATCTGGCAGTATAGACAATATTTTGTCTTAGCAGTCCCTCAGTTCTCTGCCGTGACAAAGGTATGTTTTGTTTTCAGTTCTCCAGAACATTCACTGGTTTTTCCATGAAAATAATACCTTTTAGTAGCAACTGGAAAAAATTGCTTCTTTCATTTACTGCTAGCAAATATCTTAAAGGGAGCACAAGCTGACAGGAAATTTGTGGTGTTTTATTTATGTGACTCATCCTTTTCTTCTTGGTTAGGTGGTGAGGCACTGTGTATCATTATTTCGTGTTATGTATCATGATTTCATGTTTTATTCAGGTTTTCAAGCAAAAACTGAAGCTGACAGACCCACAGCATTTTACTCTTTGCCATCCTCAGTGGAACGTACACCCACAAAATTGGTATCATCGCAGAGGGTAACCTTTGGCTCTCATGGTAATTCAGCATTCCAGCCAATAGCAGCCAGTTGCAAAATTGTGCCGCAAGGTCAAGTTCCAAATCCTGAGTCTCCTGGAAAATCTTTTCAGCCGATCACTATGAGCTGCAAAATTGTCTCAGGTAGGCCAGAGGTCGTGTTGTTGATGATGATGCTGGCGATGGCAGCAGCGGTGGTGCTGGTGGTGGTGATAACAGCACCTTGCATTCATACTGCATTTTGGGTTGACACTGGTCTCTTCATAGCAGCCCTCTGAGATCAGTATTATTAACTATTAACCCAGTTTTACAGAATGAGGAACACGAAGGTCAGTGTCGAGAGGTGGAAGTAGGCCTTGAACTCATGTCATCTCATTCAGGTCCAGTTGTCTTTTGGTTAGGCTGCTGTGCTTCTCTAGGCTGTGGGCAGGTTGGGAGAAGCCATCTGAAAAATTGTTTTCTGTGTAGTTATCAACGGCCACTGAGAGGAAAGAGTGATTTTAGTTTGATGTTCTACCAACTTCTATTTACGTGTGAGGGCTGGCTGATTTAGTCATCTCTGTTGTGGAGGGGCTTATTTTCCCAAAGATTATTTCTCCCACATTTTGACTGTTTTAGTACTAATTAGGACCTCAGTTCAAATGTAAGCAGAAAGAGAAGAAGTGAAATTCACAACTGTGATTTTGTTACTTTATAATAGTACAGAGCCGTTGCTTATTTGGATAGATGGTTGAGATGATGGCAAAAATACTCTCTGGAGGCAAGTCACCAAGCATTTATTAAGCCCCTAGTGTGTGCCAGGCACTGTGCTATATACAGGGAGACAAAAATGGCAACACAGTTACTGCCCTCAGGGAGTTCACAGTCTAGTGGGCAGAGACAACGTGCAAACAGCTATCTGCCAGGAAGATATATACAGAATAAATTAGAATCTCAGAGGGAGGACGCCAATATCGAGGAAGACTGGGAAAGGCTTTTTGTGGAGGGTGGGATCTTAGCTGAGACTTTCAGGCCATCGGGAGGTCCAAGTGAGGGAGGAGAGATGTCCAAACCTTGGGGACAGTCAGCGAGGGGAGGAAGGTGTAAGACTGGAAAGGTAGGAGGGAGCCGGGTTATGAAGGACTTTAAATGGCCAGCAGAGGACTTTGTATTTGGTCCTGGAGGCAGTGATTTCTCCAGAAGAGCTCTTTTCATTCACAAAGTTCTGCCTGCTGGTTTCTCCTGGTGTGGTAATGACTGAGTTCTCAAAAGCTCAGCCAGCAGAGTACCAACTTTACCAAGTTACACCAGTCTGGGCGGACTTCAAGGGTGGTCCCACAATAGACCAGGCTCACTAAACATAAAGACGTTTCTCACCTTTGGCCTAGGCACTTTGGGTCGTGACTCCCTGGGCCGTGACGGCCTGCGAAACAGAGAGTATAAAATGGCTTTTGGTCCTCTGCATCTCCCTCCCGTTTCTGTCGTGACAGTGGCAAGGTGGTGGAAAAGGGGCAGAGGGTGCGAAAAATCACCGTTTTTAGACTGGCTGAACTTTCAAATAGCTGCCGGCCTTCTAAATGTGAGGTACTTGTGACCAGCAATTGAAACGACCCTGGATGCGCTGGATGCTGTCGTTCTTGACATTCTTGCTGTGGCTCAGGATTCTTTTATCTTTGTCATGTCTTGGAACCTTTGGCAGTCTGGTGAAGCCTATAGGCCCCTTATCATAATCATATTTTCTTTTTTTTTTTAAATTTCAAAAAGCTTTTATTTGTGACTCCCCTAAAGGCAAAATATCAGAAAACAATCCACTGCAGAGACAACATTTTGTAGTAAAGAAATAGTATCTTTATCCTTTCCTTTCCTTCGACTATACATACATTCATCTTACATAAAATCGTATTTTCTTAAATGCATAAAATAAAACACAGTACAGTTGAAATACAGTTATCAAAGTAATTTTTAAAAACAAGTTCACGGACCCTTGGTTAAGAACCTCTTTTGTGAGTGAAGCTAGAAGAAAGAAGGAAGTTTTGTCTAAGAAGAATGCCTCATAGGTTAGCCTTAGTAAATAACGCAGTTGGGTGAATATTTTTTAACACGTGCCCTAAGGCCACAAGAAACATCATGTCATGGGCCATTTGGTCAACTCGTATTTCAGTACTTGCAAAAAGACGACTTTGAAAATAATCTAGCTTAGAATGAAGGAGTACAGACTTCTGGGAAGAACTGGGCCCTCCAAATGATATTAGCTTGTACTTTGTTAATGACTTCAGTGCAAGGATAGGAGTAGGTGAGGACAGCAGAAACTATATTGGAAAATAGGGTTTTAGGAACCAGAGACCAAAGACTTCCCTAGAAGCCGTGTGCCTAGATATCTCTGGTACTTTCTTAAGTAAAGAATCAGTAGGGGAATAGCATCATGAACATGAAGCTGGCTATATTTTAACAAATAGGAAATAACTCATTACTGATGTATGAGTCATTACTGAATCAGTTTTTAGTGACCACAGACTTGTTAGAGCAAAGACCAAAATTAGTGCAAAGATAGGAGAAAGAGGAGAAAAAAGGAGAAAGATAGGAGAAAAAGGAGAAAAGCTATATGGGATGTAGTTGAAACAACTCAGGTCTTGTTGTCAGGCAAGTTATTGTTGGAAATTAGGATATAGTTAGAAGTAAGGACATAGATATAGACAAATAATTTCATGCAGAAATTTAAAACATTGTAAAATAGTGATGAAAACAAAGAGCTTCAAAAGTCTTTTAGTGTGCCACCACCTAACCTACCTGACAACTGGTGGATACGATAGTCACTGGTAACACCAGATTGAAAATGGTTGAATATACAGATTTTAAAATTTGTGAAAGCTCATTGAGAAACACAGTTGAGGATTATGAGCCCTATAACCTCAAAAAAGAGAAGCAACAGAAAATAAGACCAGTTTAAAGAAACATTGTTGAGAGAACCAGCTAAGCAAAGTTATCCCAGAGGCATTTAGGGACAAATGGGAAAGATCAGCAAAAAATTTTACTGGACTTTAAAAAAAAACCCGTCAAGAACATTAAGTCCAAAATATTTGGACCATTTACATCCCGGTGTTAGATGTGGTTGTAGAGGAAATAGAAATGGTACCATAGAAAATAAAGAGGGGAAAAGCAGTTGGCTTGAGCTGAGTGTGTATAGAGGAGACCCAGGCTCTAGGGAGCATCACTCAGAGGGATATAGAATTGGGACGACTTCTTGATTGGAGATACCAGATGAGGCACGAAACAGAGACAGATGCTCCGGGCTGTCGGGGTGAGGTCCCAGGCATAGAGCTGATGTGTCAAACCTGAGGGAGCCTCCTCGGGGGGACCCAGGACCACTCAACAGTATTGACCCAAGCTTCCGCACAGGACGAGGGAAGTGGCTAAAGAATGAGTGGCTGTTTTCAGATTGTAGTGTGCATTAGATGTATAACTTATTTGTCCATCAGAGATGATGTTCATTTATCCTGTGGGGATCTTGTTTTTACATAACTGCTTGCATGTTGTCTTCCCCATTCGACTGTGAGCTCCTTGAGGGCAGGGACTGATTTTTGCTTTTCTTGGTATCCCTAGCCCTGGCACAGTGTTTGGTACTTAGTAGTGTTTAACATGTAAATGCTTGTTGATTTAACTTGGACTTCAGCGCAAATGAACAGTGAGTTGGATCGGGGATTGAACACAAGAGGCAGCTGAGATGAGTGGCCTTGGAGAAATTGCAGAGTTCCTTTATGATCTCCAAGTTCTGTTGGGGGTTTCTTTTCCCCACCAGTATTCTACTAGAGGTCGTGTGTGTCTTTAGTCCCCAAACGTCATTGTCTCCACAGAAAGTGAGTGTCCCACAGAGGGCAGAGTAGGTGCTCGGGCTCAGGAGGAGCAGGGTATGGTACATGATAAATTAGGAAGGTCAACAGAGAACCAGCTGAAAGTGTGCCAAGGAAATAAAGTATGATGGGGAGAGAAGATGAGTAAGCAGTAGCAGGTGGAGAGCCCCGGTGCTTGAGGGTGTCCTTAGAATATCAGGAGAAAGTGAAACCCCCCCCCAATCCTGGAGAAATACCTGAGGGCAAATTGATGGGCAGACGTGGCAAGAGTTACCTGGGAAGGACAGGCCTGGAGGGGCTGTGTAGAGTCAGCAGGCATTTATTAAGGGCCTGCTGTTCGGCTGGGCAGTGCTCTCAGTGCTGCAGTCTGGTGGAAGGAGCATCCACGTTGGTGAGTTCACACATCTGTGTTGAGCTTAATTCTTTTTCCCTTTCCAGTGAATAATTGAAAGCTTTAAACAGTGAAAGATTGTTAAATGTCTCTTGATTTCGTTTAAAAATGGCCCAATCTATAGGGACTTAACCTAGGATTTCATTGAAATTGGTAACACAGGTTGAAGAAACGCCTCCTGGCAATGCAAGGCCAGCACCTTCTCTTTGGCTGAGTGTGGCCTTGGGCCTCGAGAGGGTCACACAGTGCCAGGATGTGGCTGAGGCTGGACTAGAACCTGGATCTTTGTGGCTTTGAGGCCGGCTTTGCCCACAGTTCCATGCTGCCATTTTGCTCTTAATGTCATGGACCGTGGGAAGGACCTCAAGGGTCATCTAATCTGTCCTTATGTACAGATGAGGAGACTGAGGCCCAGGAAGGGGAAGTAATTTATATTATTTATATTTATTTTTACATTATTTCATATATATATAATTTATACATAAATATATTATTATATTATATACTCAGTCTCATGTAGTCAGTGAAGTTTATCTCTTAGTCCTTCTGGCTTAATTTTCATTAAGACGGAAAAGTTGCCGACTCCATCGCTTCCTCACATTGACAGTCACTAAACATCCAGCATGGGTCTGTGCCTACGCTTAAGAGTGTGCATTTTCTGGCTCTCCGTTTAAGCAGGCCATAAAGCCTGGAGACGGTCCTGGGATGGGATAATTCTGAGGCTAAAGGGGTACAGAAGATTCCTCGTGGACCACTCTGAGGTGACTCTGAGCCTGGGAAGCTGAAGGCTTAAAGGGGTTGGTTGATTTATGTATTATATGTTATATGGTAGAGTTCTATGGCTAGAAAATGATGGAAAGTAGAGGGAACTTATTTAAATTAGCCTAGACATCTTAGACCAAGGGACTTTCCCTTAAATTCTGAAAGAGTTTAGGGAATTTAGGTTACCTAAAAGGAGGAAGGAAGTGTGATTTCAAATGGCAGGCAATAAATTAAAAACTGGTTACCTCTGAGATTGGTGCTGAGCTGGAAGTACAGGTATGAAGTTGAGAAAAATTCTTGGAAGATAAATCCAAGGAAACTTAGGGGTATTAGTGGTATGTCAGTAAACGCTAATGATTTGCTCCCATGAAGGACAGTTGTACTCTCTCCCACACCATTGCGCGGTGCTGCAGTTAGCAGTCTGAATGTTTGCAGTCGCTCGCTCAAGTGTAGATTGGCTTGATAAGAGATGCACACCTTTTTCCTAGTTCATTGAAGTGAGGTATCTCAGGCTCTTTGAGGTCCCACTGACCTTCTAGCACTTCGATTTCATCAGATAGAAAAGGGCCAGAATCACCTGCTGGTGTCAGGAGGCAGCAGTCCCTGGCGGTTAGGTGTAGAGGGAGGCATGCTGGTCCCTGCGGCCCACGTGCTCATGACAGTGTTGCTGCTAGGTTTTCGGGTCTCCGTCCCTTTCTTGGCAGCCCTCTTCCTGTGCAGCTGTTGGATTTTGCCTCTCTCAGGCATTGTAGAAGGCTTAGACATAAGCATTTTATTTCCCTCTTTTTCATTAATAAAGGTTCCCCAATCTCTACTCCGAGTCCATCTCCTTTACCTCGGACCCCACCTTCCACTCCAGTTCACATGAAGCAAGGGACCGTCAACTCTGTTATTAATAATCCTTACGTTCTCCCGGACAAGCCTGGGCAGGTCATTGGAGCCACAGCTCCCAGTGCAGGTGTGTGGTATGATTTGGTTCAAATAACTTATGGTACGCTTTATTTGTTCTGTTAAAGTTGAAGCCTTGGCATGAACTGGTCACTAGAAATCTAGTGGGGGCCAGAAAATGTTACCTTCGGACAGAAGCGTGGGAAGGAGGTACAGCAGAAGCAGGAGGAGATAGTGTCTGAGAACGGGCTGCAGAAAGCCACCATTTCAGGTGTATCGTCATGCCTCAGAGGCTTTGCCCTACGTCCTGGAAGATTAAAAGGCACATTTCTCTTTACCCTCCTCAAGAAACCCGACAAGAAGTTGGTCTCACTCACGTTGTCCTTTTACCTCAGAACACTTGAGTGCTTCTCTCTCAGTGCTCCAGAAATCGTGAGCGTTTCAGAATTTTAAGTCTATCCCTGAAGAAGCTGGCGATGTTAGGAAAATGCTGCTTAGACCAGTGGGCAAAAATCCTGCAAATGTTAAATGATGACCAGAATGAGAACACCCTGGAGTCATAATGATGATGATTGAGTTTAAACTGTCTTTATCAAGGACCTGTGATATGCAAGGTGGGAAACCCTGTGGTGTGGCGGAGGCCCCTTGGAGTCAGGAAGGTGAAGTCCTGCCGCCAGCATGTACTAGCGGGGGGCCGGGAGCACTTGGAGTCTTGCTGCCCTGGTGTAAGCTGGTGTAATGAGATTATGTTGGTAAAGAGTCATCACTCGGGTAGTGCCCCACACCGATGAAATCACAGGACCAGACTGGGCAGGCGACGGGGCACCAAGATGAGCAAGGCCATGGCCTGTCCTCAGGGAGCTTAGAGTCCAAGGAGGGTGAGGAACCTGCTGCCCGAGGCCTGCTCTCTGAAGTTTGGACTCAGTCAAAGGGCTGCGCTTGAGGACCTAGAGGGCCACGTGCTGATTCCCCAGGCCTGTAATGACTTGTTTGTGAGTCACAGCCTAGTATGTTTTTATTCCTTATTCGATTCCTCATCTTTAAATGAGTTTTCATTGATGACATCTTTACCTGAATTTCAGTAAGAAAGACTTGTCGTGCCCATTGTTACAAGGCAGGAGAGTGAAAACAAAATAGAAGGCCCAGCTCAAAGAATACAAAGTATGAGACACTCTCGAGCCGTTCAGAATTTCGTTCACCGTGCACCCCAGAGCATGGCCTTGACCAGCATCGCTTCGAGGTAACATCGTGTGTACATCCTAAGCACACCTCTCCGGAGTCCTCCAGCCCCTGAGAGATGCTCGGCTCTAACCGTTCCCGTTCGTGTCTTGGTTCATCGTCCCTGCTTCTTCCTTACTCGAGGTTGGAAGTCCCCTTCCCCGGCATCGCAAGGACGCTTCACACATGCAGCCTTCTGCTTTCACTTCCTGTGCAGCTGCAGAGGCCAAGGAGACCTCGGTGAATTTGGGAACCCATACGGATGGCTTACCTGCTGGAGCACGGCCTGCAGCAGGAGCCTGCCTCTAATTGTGGTCATTCAGAAGAGCCTGGTAGTGTTTTTGTGGGGCTTGGGAGGGAATAGTTGGTGTGCCTGCCATGAACTTGTGTTGCTGTAACTTGAATGGTCAGAGAGGAAGCGACCATCAGATGCCCATTTACAAGTGAGGGTTTGAAATCAGTGGGTTCCCAGTGACCTCTGCAGCCTTTCATAGTCAGAGTCAGGGCTGCAGCACTCCCATCACACATTAAGAACAGAAGCAGATGTTAACGCTCCATCTCACTGCTTTGAGAAGAGTAGAAATCTAGAGACAATAAAAAATGTTGAACTTTTAGATGAGTGAATTCTACTTGACTTGTAGACCTGTTAGTCACGCAATGTCTGTTGACTCAAACTGAATCTCTCTGTTTCTCGGTGTCTTGAAGAAGAGAGGATGGCTTGGGATTCCACCGCAGCTTCACCTCCACCCCTCCCCCCAGATGTTTTCCAAGGCTCTGTTTGTTTCATGGCGGTGTTCCTTGAGGAAGGTGTACCTTCTTCAGTCGTGGAAAAGAATGCCTGGACTCATGTGATAGACTTCTAAACTGAGAATTAGGGGATCCCTAAAGAGAAAGGAGGGATCCCCTCTCCCCATTTCCCTTCCAGTCTATCCCTGGCTTTTTCATCCTCCCTGCTTCGTTGCACCAGACAACTCTCCCAGCGGGAGCTGAGCTGCTCCTCCCCACTCCCGGCTTGCTGCCCTCTCTTGCTGAAAGCCTCTGTTCTTTTCTCCAGGGCCTTGTTGGCTCTCTGAGATCTGGAGCTGGAGACCGCTGTCAAGATCTTCTAGTCACAGTCCTATATGGATATAGAGACAGAATCACTGGCCAAGGCCAGAGAGCCCTGATGCTGTCCCTTCCCACAATGCTGCGGTGCCAGCTGGAGCCTCCCAGGAGTCTGAGTACACTTAAGCTTGCGTAACTTCAAACGGCACTCGGGCTTTGGGGACATTCCACGTGGTCTCAGGTTTCTGTAACGACCCATTGACAACCTTCATAGTCTGAATCGTGGCTGCTCCAGAACCTGCCATAATATTGTTGCCAGGAAACTGAATGTTCTCAGCAGTCCTCTTCCAGCTAGGGTTGTGATGTTGTGTAATCAGTCAACAACATTGGGTAGGACATGCCTGCCTAGAAAAATGATTTGTTCCTTTCAAAGCAGTCCCTTTGGGAGACTATATACTGATTCCACAGACACTACCATTACTGGAAATCTCTTTGGGAATCCCTTTTCAGAGCTCACGTTTCATCTCTTTGACTCTTCTCAATGGTAGGTCATCTTTATTTGAAGTCGGATTTTATTTTTTCTGAAGTAAAGTCGTTGGGAGCCAGGTGTGCTGGATAAAGGCAGCGGCCAAGCTGCTGAGGCGCTTGTCTTTTTTGCTTACACCGCTGCAGGCCTAGGAAGGGGCGCCATCACAGGAGCAAGAAGCGAACTTCCAGGTGTTTGGGGTCAGACTGAAGTGTACCCCACCATGTAACGAGCCTGACTGTAATTGGTGCTGAGAGCAATTCTACAAGGGTTCCCAGAAGGCTTTGAATGACAGCAGCAGATTGAGAAATATGTGGTCCCCCAGGGGACAGATACCTAATTATCGTTTATTGAATTGCATTTCAGTGGATTGTTTTAAAAACCATGCTTGAGAGTCACCTCAGAGTACCTCCTGTCCACTTGTTCTCTTCTTACTCTCTTATCCCTTTATCTCCCTCTCTAGGTCATTGTGGTTTGGTGAAGGGAGCGGTTTGGGGAGCTGAAACACTTTTTTTCCACAGTAGTTTGGAAATCCTTTCTTTTTCAGCTTTGCTTGAATCATTAGGAATGGGGTAGAGGGAGAGAAAATGTCAGATACTTGAAGATCTCATGTTGTGTGCCTTAGGCTTCAATCTGCTCTCTTCTTTCCCAGGAAGCCCCACCAGCAAGTCGTCCAGTGCTTCTCAGACTGCCCACGGAACAGGGTCTCCCATTCCTAAGATCCACGGAAGTAGCTTCGTCACTTCGACAGTCAAGGTAACACCCTCTTTGGATGCTCGTGTGTGTCTGTTTTCAAAAGTTAGCAAGTTCACGCAGACGTATTGTCTCTCCCAGTAGAATGTTAGCTTCCTGAGGGCAGGGGCCATTTCACTTTGGATGTTGGCTGTCCAGTGCCTGGCACATAGTAGACACTTAATACATGCTTGTGGAACGGTTGAAAGTGTGTCTTTTCAGTTGACTGTATAAATTCTGTCAGATACCTGACAGTATCCTTCAATGAGAGGATTGCTACATTATGAAAACCTGCCTATAAATCCTGGCACTGCCATTTACTCTCTGGGTGACCTTAATTTCCCGTGTCTCAGTTTCTTCATCTGTAAAACGAGGGACTTCTAGAGGGCTTGCGAGGATTTTCCCAGCTCTGGATCGAGGATTCCTTGATCTTGATTGGCCATCAAGTCTCTGCTTAAATTCTTCTGTTAACAGGGAGCTCTGTCGCTTCTGCAGGTAGCACACCTGCCCTGCTGTGGAGGAGCTTTAGCTTGTTCAAAACTCCTTGCTTGACTCTTTGCTCTCTTTTTTGGTGGTTGTTTCTTCTTTCTCGTGGTATCTTCTATTGGTTCTCATTCTTCTTTACAACATGACTAATGTGAAAACAGGTTTAATATAAATGTATAGGTACAGCTTATATCAAATTGCACACTGCCTTGGAAAGGGGAGAAAATTTAAAACTCAAAATCTTACGGAAGTGAATGTTGAAAACTAAAAATAAAAATTTTTTTTAAATTTAAAAAAGAAAAGAAATTACTTGTTTATGCTTAGCCAAAATTTTCCCTTCACCCATCTTTACTGTGGTATTCTGAAATAATAAATAATGCCCCTGTGTTGTAGGCGAAATATCCCTATTTCCTTCAGCTTTATTTTATAACCTGCCACTTTACTGCAATTAATTTTGTCTCTTAATTTTTTATTGGATCTGGTGTTATATAAATAAACCATCATATCGTTTGCCAGCAGAGACCATTTTTCTCTTCTTTGCCTAATCTTCCTTCCATTTATTTTCTTGTCTTACTGCTATTTCTAGCATTTCTAGAATGAAATCAATTGATAGTAGTGACTGTAGTTCTTGTTGGATAGGATTTTAATGTTCCTCTCTTAGACATGATGTTAGTACTTGGTTTCAGATTGATGCTGTTTATCATATTAAAAGATTCCTTAATTCCTATGTCTTTTAATGTGTTTAACATAAATTAGTATTGTTTTCAAAGGGTTTTTTTTACATCAGTTGATATGATCGTGATTTATATTATTTTTGTTATGTTTACAGACTTTCTAATAAAAGTGCTTGGCACATAGAAAGTGTTTATTAAATGTTTTGTTGATTGAATATTGAGCTATTCCTACAGTCATGTTAGAACTCCATAGTGAATAAGTTTTTAAAATAGGTCACTTATATCTTTGATGTTTAATTCAATATTTTTACTTTAATTACTAATGATATTAGTTAATAATTTTCTTTTTATGCCTGATTTTTCCCTCCTTTGGGTGTTAGCATATTTTTCTTATAGAAAGAGCTGGCTTAGATGCCTTTTATCTCTGTTTTGTAGTTTTGTAGTATCGCAGTTAATACAAACATCCTTAAAACAGTACTGGAATGACTATCTCTTAGGGAGGCTGTCCATGTGATACCTGCTTAGCTCTGGGTGGAGCTAGAAGGCCTGAGGTTCCTTCACATGTCAGGTTTTATGTTTCCAAATTAACTGTGTTGGACAGGTGCATTTTGTGTTTTAAGTTTCAAAATTTGCATTTAGTGTAAATTTAGAGACAACTGTTGTGCTGAACTCTCATCAGCATGATGACGAACAGGACTAATGATGGAGTAATGAAGAAGCAGCTCTCCGCCTCCTGATAGAGGGGTGAAGGGTTAAGAACGCAGAATGACATATGTTTGTTTTGGACAGGCCAGTGTGGACATTTGTTTTGATTGACTATACTGTCCGTGTTTATAATGGGTTTTATTTTTCTTTTGTTCCCAGTTTGGAGGAGGGTGATGATGAGAAGGAAGATCTTGACTGATTAAAACAAATAAAATATTTTTAGAAAGTTAAAAAACAAAAACAAGAGAAGGTTCAGTTCTGGAGGGGAGAGGAAATGGAGGTACAAGTGTATGTCAGAAATGACTGGTGTAGGGGGCAACTGGGTGACGCAGTGGATAGAGCACCGGCCCTGGAGTCAGTAGGATCTGAGTTCAAATCTGGCCTCAGACACTTGACACTTACTAACTGTGTGACCCTGGGCAAGTCACTTAACCCCATTGCCTAGCCAAAAAAAAAAATAAAAGAAATGACTGGTGTAAAAAAATTATTAATTAAAAAATGAGATGACTACAAATTAGAAAAGCTTATATAAAAATAATACAGTAAAAAAAACTATGCAGCTTCAGAAAGTCAATATTTTTTGTTTTATTTGCAGTCATTGAAAAACTGTCTTAATCTTCAAAAGAAAAAAAAATTTACCGTGCTTAGTAAAATATTTTCTAAGTCAGTGGTTTCCAAACCAAGCTCTGAATGATGTTTAAAAGGAAATCTATTAATAGAGGACATCCAGTTGTGTCTCCTGTTTACTTTTGACTCCTAAATAGTGTTAAATCTCGGCTCCAGCTGCGCCTCCAGAGAATATTCTTGAGCAGCTGGTCTTCAGGTTGAATTTCTCAGATTTCCAGGATGGTATAACCTCAGTAACTCAGTGCAGGTTGTTGGAATTGAATCAGATCGACTCCTGGTTTTGGGGTTGCCTAATTATGTGACGTGTCCAATTGCCTACCCAGCAGGAGGACTCCTTGTTTGCGTCTATGCCTCCTCTTTGCCCGATTGGGAGTCACTCCAAGGTGCAGAGCCCTAAACCTGTCACCGGAGGCCTCGGAGCTTTCACCAAGGTGAGTGTTTGTTGTAGGTCTCTGCCCGTGGTCGGCTAGCTCAGTGTTGGCTGGGGTAATGTGCCACCTTTCACTCAGCTCCTTGGGAAGTGAGGTTCAGTGTCAGGATTTTGTCTGGAGTACCCTGAGGGTGGGCGCCCTCCCTTTTCCTGTCTTGTGTCTCTATGGTAAAGAAAGGAGATGTGGGTGTTCTGGTGCTGATCCCTTTCTATCCCAGGGTCTAGGACCTGAGCAGGGAGGCCCGTCTAACACACTCACAGGTAGGTGAAAAGAAACCCACTTGGAATGTTGGGGTAGCTCGCTCCCCTTGGGGCCAGCTTTAGCTCAAGCAGAAATCTGTCTGTAGCTTTTTGTCCTTGCTCTCAATTCGAGTGCCCTCCCCACCCCCCCAAGTGTGATTCCTAGTCCATATGACGGACTCTCTTATCCTCAAAGGCAGCCCTCATGTTTCAGCAAGTCATTCTTCTCCATGGTCTTTGAGCAGGCCCTTGGGCATCACATTTCCCATGCTGGTTGTCCTTCCTTGGACTTGCTCTGCTTGTCACAGAGTCCTTTCTAAAATGTGACCCTTAGAATGCCTGAACCCTCACAGATGCAAGGAAGTAGGTGAAGGGATTTTGTTTGCATATTCACAGGGTGAATGCTTTATTTCTGTACACTTGTGTCCAACGTGAGCTTTCTCCAGGTAGCTTTTTGCCTTTTCTTGCAGACCACATTTCATTAATTTGTTAACCTCAGCAGATAGAATGTCTCCACAATGGAGTGCTTTATTTAGTGTGCTTGTGTTTGTTACAAGGTGATCATCAAGCAGGAGCCTGGAGAAGCCCCCCACATGCCCACCTCAGGAGCCCCCTCCCAGCCGCCTCTTCCCCAGTATGTGACGGTGAAAGGGGGTCACATGATAGCTGTGTCCCCGCAGAAACAGGTCATGGCTGCAGGAGACGGGACTGCTCAGTCACCAAAGGTACAAGCAACATCCCTCCAGGGTTTGTTAGAGGAAGGGGTAGGGCAGTCGTTGCACTGTATGAGCCAACCGAAAACCCACCCGACTGGGAATCAGATGAGCCCGGGCACATTTCCTGGCTGCCAGTGGGTGACCTGGGGCAAGTCAGTGACTCCCTGTGAGCCCTCCTGTGAACCCACCTCTGAATGTCACAAATCAAGTGCTCTTACTGCCTCCCTGGGATCAGTCAGATCATGTCACTGAGGCATTGCGTCCATGGGACTCTTCCTAGTTTTGTTAACAGTGATTATGAGGAGTAGCTGACAATTGCTGTGAAGATTGGGGTACCCCAGAAAGGCAGGAGAACCTACAGCCAGAGACCTGGTCGTAAAGACACGTGTCAGTCTGAGGTCAGGATTAAAAGCAGGGCACTACTGGGGGCCCTGAAATAGTTTGAGGCAGAAGGAGAAAATGTCACCTTTGCCTCCGAACCAAAGCCCTGCTTCCCTGAACCTGGATTCCCCTCCTCAGATGAAGACAGGGGACTCACAGCTCTCCGTTTTCACTTAAACCTCTTCTGGTATTTGAAAGCTCTTGGTTTTGGCAGTTTTCTACATGTGTAGATTTTAGGAGAAATGTATGTATTGCTAGGAGAAGAAGCACCAACAGCAGACCATAAACACATGATAAATAGATCGTATCCTTCCTCTCTACAAAGTTCACTGAGGCTCGTGGTTCTTTGTCTCTACCCCAGGTGATTCCCTGAGAGCATTTAGCCTTAGATTGTTTCCATTACTTGCCAGGTATTCCAGTTCTAGGTACCATGTGCATTCTAGAGAATTATTTAAAAACTATATTTTTAGCATCATTATTTTTTAATTAGCGAAATCCAATTCAGGGACTAATAGACATGGAGAAGGAGGGGAAACCTTTTGATATTTGACCAGGATAGCAAGACAAGCAGAGATCCAGACAAAATATTTATTTTCTTGGTTTCAATTCTATGTGAGAAGCCAAATGATGCAGCAGTGAGTGTGCTGCTATTCAGAAGCAAATTTGGGTCTTTTTCCTCAATGTCCATCCGTATTTCAAATGCTAGAAGAGGGAAGAAATGCATGCTCACTCAGGTTATAAAACAGAGGTAAAAATGTGGCGAAATTTAGATTGTTCTCTGACTTGTCCCATAGACGTTTATCTGAATTAGTGTGTTCATTTTGGTACTCACCAACAGACTGTCTTTCTGTCCTAGTCTGTCCTCGTCATCATTGCCTTTTTTTTAGATTTTACATTCTGTGTAGTCGGGTCATTTGAATCCTGTACTGCACTCTATACAGCACCTTATAAGCCCCCACTAGTTTTATATTAATGTTGATTAGAGTTACGAATAGTATCCCTGCCAAGCTAATATTCCAAGTGTGGGAAGCCTTTAATTTATTTCTCTTCCACACCTACTAATCAGTCAGTCAGTCAACAAGCAGCTAAGTGCCTACTGTGTGCCAAAGGCTGTGTTGAGCACTGGGGATACGCATACAAGAAATGAAACAGTCTGAAAATTGATCTACCTGAAGATGTTTGGGAACACTCATACTACCTAGCTTACTGGATGCCATCCGACTTTCACTTTTTCTGGGATGAGGTCATGCCGTTGATCTCATTCTGTCCATAGAAGTTACTAAATATCCCAGGCTTTTCAGTGGAAAAAGAAAAAGAAATCAGGGCCAGTTGTAAGCAGTCTTACAGATAGTTGACATCTAACCCAAATACCATTCTGAATCCCTGTGCCAAGAATGTGTATTGCCACAGCAGCTAGCCATTTTGCTCTTGGGTGACTGATCCATGGCATGTGCTTAAGGTACCTGATTTTCTTGTTATTGTTCCTGTGGGAATAGTCTGAGCCATGAAGAATCACTTGCATACACTAATAGCTCACTCTGAGAGGTCTGGGCTTTAGCAGAGGCCCAGAAGGGGCCCAGGTGACGTCTGCTTTCTTTTATGCAGGTGGTTGGTGTGCCAGTCGGGTCTGCTTTGCAGTCCACAGTGAAGCAGGCCATGGCGATCAGTGGTGGGCAGATCCTGGTGGCCAAGGCCAGCTCCGCCGTTGCCAAGGCCGTTGCTCCAAAGCAAGTTGTGACCCAAGGAGTTGCCAAAGCGATTGTGAGTGGAGGTGGCGGAACCATCGTTGCTCAGCCTGTGCAGACCTTAACCAAGGCTCAGGTCACTTCCACTGGGACCCCAAAAAGTGGATCCCAGGGCTCAGGTAATGACGTCGTTGGCCAGATTAGGAAGCCTCGTGGGGAAGGTACAGCCGTGCCGTCGCTCATAATCAAGGAGTAAAATTCTGCATGACATCCATATTGGTAATAAATGCTGTGTATCCTGATGATCTGACGGCATTGGAGGCGTGTTGAAAGGCATTCACTTTATCTGGCCCAGTAATAATTTGTGGAGAATGCTACAGAAAGAGTTAAAGTTTACTTCAGGTTTTTAAAAATAACATCTTGCAGGACTACTAAAAATCATACTTAATAGTATGAAGCATAATTCTCAGTTTTTCTAACACCTCTCCTAAGAGTCATTCCAAACTCAGGTTCTAGTTAGATCATTTAAAAAAAAAAATGTATCATTATCCAGCTGGGCTTTCTATAGAAGGTGGTATGGTGGAAAGGGTGACCCGTGGGGAGTCAAGAAAGCTGGGCCTCTGTCTTAGCTCTGCCACAGCCTTGTGCTGAGTAGGCCTCTTCTGTCAGGGTCTTTATCTGTTCAAATGAGAGGGGCGCTGCCCCTGCTGAGAAGGGCTGAGGCCATCTTCCCCCAGCCTCAAGCCAGGGCAGGGAGTCCAGGACCAGCTCCTCTCAGGGGCCCCTTTGAAGGCTGCCATACTCTCTCTTCCCAGCTCCTATTTGCAGCGGCAGCTTGGGCTTTGTTCTCTGTCGCTCCTGGGAATGACTACCTCAGGAAATAGTACCTTCATGTGTCCATCCCTGCGAGAGCCGCCCCTACTGAGTGGGATGCTTCTGACACGAATACCCCCGGGGCCCTGGCAGCCACTACCCTCCTCTGCCCCCCCTGGAGCCCCATCATTGCCTTCAGCCTGCTCTTCCTGCCCTGGGCCAGACGGGTGATAGGCAGTGCTATCCGTGCCGCTGCCCTCAGTCGGAGAAAGCTGGTTGTGGAGGGGCAGTAACAAGTGGAGGCCCCCTCGCTGCCTAGTACTGGAGGGATCCTTCATACTGCAGTGTCCTTGACCCAGGATTATGCTGTACAGAGAAGGCCTCCAGCCTGGACTGTCCAGGACTGGTGGCCTCCTTCAGCAGGTGACCATCCATATGGACACTGGTCCTGCTGCTTCGCTTTTCTGTGGTGAGCAGACTCCCGTCTCCTACTCCCCTGGTCCCTGGGAAGCCAAAGTGAAAACCTCTTCTTCCTGCCTGACCTTTCACGTATCCCTCTCATCCTTTCATCTTTATAACTTCCATTTTGCCATTGAGACTTCCTCCTGGACGCCGCCTTCGGACTTCTGGGCTCACAGAAACCCAGCTTTCTTAAGATGGCACTGGCATCCTGCCCATCTTCTCTAATACTGATTTCTCCTTTCCTCATGCCCCCTAGCCATGCGGGGCCAGATATCCTGGATCCTTTCCTCCCATTGTAGTGTCTGGACCCTGAGTGCTTTTGCTACCCTTATTCTGCCTACTTTCTGAACAAGCTCTTCAACATCACAGCCCATGCTTCACAAGGGTGGATGTCGACATTCGTGTTGCTGTCCCCTTGAGCGCCCTGGGCAGCCAGGTCATCAGACTTGAGGGCTGTGACCTGCTTATTCACTCTCGCTGTCAGCCATAGGGATGGCCACACCTTGAACCTCACCGACACCCCAGCTGTGCCACTTGCATTATTTTGAGCTCTGCAATTCCTCTCTCTTGGTTAAAACCTCCTACCTTCCACCTCTCCCTCTGCCTCATTGCTCTTAATTCTGTTCATCATCCTCACTGGAGCTGCTAGGCCTTCCAGCATTTCATCCCATTTTGGTCTCATTTTCCTCACTATATTTGAGAAGGTCAGCTCTGCAGTGGCCTCCCTCTACTCTGGATTTCTGACCCTCATACCCCATCAGTCCCATCCCCTGTTGGCTTTTAATATGCTTCCTGAGGTATAGAATCGCTCCAGGGAGTTCTCTTTCTCTTACCTGGTCTCCCGTACACCTTGACGGACACTGCCCTCAACAAGGACTGCAGCGCCGTCCCCACAGCTTATCTGAGTGCCTTAATTCCTGCTTTGTCGAGAAAACAGGAGCTCTCACTGAAGCATCTTCCCTCCGCTGCCATTCCCTCCTCTTTAGCCAAGGCTCTGCTGGAGCCATGACCCTTTGCCTTGTGCCCTGGGTCCCATTCCTCCCCTCTCCCAGCAGCTTGACCCATCAATCACTCAGCAAACATGTATTAAGCACCTGCTATGTGCCATGCACTGTCCTGAGCTCTGGGGATACAAAGAAGGATAAAAGACAGTCCCTGCCTTCAAGGAGCTCACAGTCCGATGGAGAAGACAACATATAAACAACAGTGTATAGACAGATTGGAGATAACCAACAGATAAGATGCTAGCATAAAGGCTTCTCCTAGAAGGTAGGGTTTTAGCTGAGGCTTGAAGAAGCCAGGGAAGTCAGAAAGCAGAAATGAGGAGGATGAGAGTTCCAGGTTTGGGGGGCACAGTGAGTGAAACACCTGAAAGTGGGAGATGGAGGCCGGTGTCACTGAAGAGTACAGTGTACAAGGCCTGGAAAGGTAGGGAGGGCTCTGAAAGCCAGAGGATTTTAGATTGGATCCTGGAGGTAACAGGGAGCCATTGGAGTTGTTTGAATACAAGGGTGACATGGTCAAATTTGCACTTCAGGAAAATCAGTTTAACAGCTGAGCAGAGGAAGGCCTGGAGTGTGGAGAGACTTGTGGCAGAGAGAGCAGCTTGTCCCCAGATGAAGAGCTTAGCACATTGCCCTTTCTGACTAAACCCTCTTGTCCATCTACCTTTCACTCATCCTCAATCCATTGTCTTCCCTCCCAACCCATCATCCCTGTTTGGATTTCGCTTTACTCCCTTCGTCTTTATTTATCCAGTTCAGCTGTAGACAGTCTTCAACCCTTGAGTTCCGTGACCAGCCCCTATCCCTGAATTACTCCCGCTATTGCCACCAATCCTGCTTACATCCTGTTGAATGCCATATTCAACAGGAAGTCACATAGCCCCGAGTCTGGGTCCACTCCAGGCTGATGTGATCCAATCCCAAATGGGCCCTTCATGCTATACAGAAATCCTTTTACCCTTTCCTCATTAGTGTTCTTCCAATGTGGTTCTTTCCAACTTCTTCCCTTCTTAAGCCATGCCCACTGCCCCACTGCGTCCATCATCCCCTCCCTTTCACTAAAGGACCTTGACTCATACTTCGCTGGAAACCTTTTAGCCTTTCATTGAAAGCTCCCACTTCAGAACACCTTGGTGTCACATCTACCATCCTTTCTCAGAGGAAGAAGTGTTTCGCCATCTTGCTAACACCAGCCTCTGTTCTCTCTCCTCTTTGAACTTATTCTCTTCCCTTAGTTTTCAGTCTCTCCTTATCTGCTTGCTCTCTGTTGCCTACAAACATGCCCAGGTTTCACCCATCCTGGACAATGTTCACTTGACCCTACCATGTTCCTAGGCCATTATCCTACACCTTCTCCTGGTCACAGCCAGGCTCAGTAGAAGAAATTGGCTGCACTTTTGGCCTCCACTTTTTCATCTCCCACTCACCACTCATTTCTAAATCCTCAGCAGTCTGACTTCCATCCCCACTAGATGAAAACTGCCCTTTCCAAAGTCACCAGCGAGTTCTTTATTGTTAGATCCAGTGGGCTTTTCTTAATTCTCAGCCTTTTGAAGTGTGGCTCTGTTGCCCACGGCTCCTTCCTTGTGGATACTTCCTCTCCCTCTTTTTTTTTGGTGTCACTGCTCTCTTGTAGTTCTTTTCCTTCTGCTCAGATGGATACTACTCTTTCTCCTTTACAGGTCCATTGTCCATTTCCTGACCCTTAAGTGTGGGTGTACCCCAAGGCTCTGCCCAGTGCCCTTTCCTACCTTTTCTTTGCCTATATTCACGTGGTGATTTCATCAGCTCCCATGTATTCAACCATCATCTCTAGACAGGTAACTCCCAAATGTACATATCCAGCCTCCACATCTCTCCCAAGCTTCAGTCTTATACCTCCAACCATCCTCTGGGTGTCTCATGTCCAAAACAGCTCATTATTTTTCTCCCTAAAACTACCCTCTTTCTTTGCCTGTTTCTGCCAACGGTACCTCCATTTTTCTAGTCTCCCAAGTTTGCACACTTGGACATCATCAATTCTTCCCTCATTTACCCCACCCCGTCCCTAATCCAGTGACGACCTTAATACGATCTCTTCCTTTCTCTTTACTCTATCCCTTGGCTCTTCCTCTTGGCACCCCAGCTCTCTTCCAGTCTGAGCCCAAGTGCCATTGCTTCCAAGGGTCTTTCTTGGTCTCCCCAGTCATTTGTGCCCTCTGCTCCCAGGCACTGTGCATTTATTTTGTATATATGCTGTATTTGTGTGTCTACTTCAGTAGAATGTTCGCTTCCTGAGGGCAGAATTTGTGTCCCATCTAGCCTGGTGTCTTAAGATAGGTTTGAATTGAATTCCCTCTTCTATCACTAGAAATCTGTGATTCTTAGTAACTTATCACTCTGATATGCCTTAACACATATTTTGCCTTTTTGTGCAATTTTTTTTTCCTTTGGGTTATGAGGTTATGAGGTCTCTTGGCTCCCTGGTAAACCATACTCTGAACAGTTAGCACTGTCCGCATTTCCTGTAAAAAGATAGGTAGCTTCCCCAGGATCCCCATGCCGTGGTGTGACTCCTCCTGATGCCAGGAGTGGAGTTGTCAAATGCACCATGCAGGACTGAGCTTTTCTTCGAGGAGGTTCATGGTGCACTGACTGCTGCTCATCGACGGGCTTTATAGCGGCCTCTAGAGTTGGAGCCAGAGGGCACACGCAGCAGCTCCAACAGCGGTGTGAGACTTGGAAAGTGAGAGTTCACGGTCCTTGTGACTTCGCTCTTTATTGCCCGGATGTGGTCTGTTGGTCTAGAGGATGGATCTTGATTGAACAGTATTTTCCTTGGTTTGAACCAAAATAAACATTCCTCTTCGCTGACCCAAGACAATGAGGAATTCAGCTCTGAAAAAGAGAGTCAACTGGAGGCTCCATTGTGTTGGACAGGAAACTTGGCCATGTGCCCAAGCATAACATCAGAGCACTTTTCAAGATTCTCAGGTCTGAAAATGCATACAGCCCCTAGATGGGCTTGGAGCTCTGTGTTAGCAAGAGTTTATCCATTCTCTGTCATCTCTCTCTCTTCCTTCTCTTCTCCCTTGTCCTTTCCCACTATATATGCAGTGTGTGTGTGTGTGTGTATGTGTGTAATTTTTCTGTCTATATCTATCTATATATAATCAGTGTTGACTCTGGCACCAGTACTGTAGTCACAGACATTAAATAAATAATGGCCACCATTTATAGTCACCTGTTTCCACTGGTCATTCAATTAAAATAGGTTTTATTTATTACCGATGTTTCTGTTTTCAGTGTTTCATCACCACCTGCTTTTCTCTGTCATTTCAGTGATGGCTACTTTGCAGCTGCCTGCCACCAATCTGGCCAACTTGGCAAATTTACCTCCTGGCACCAAACTGTACCTCACAACAAACAGCAAGAACCCTTCTGGAAAAGGAAAACTTCTGCTCATCCCTCAAGGGGCCATCCTGCGAGCCACACACAATGCTAGTGAGTCTGTCTTTGAATCTTGTTGTTGGGGTACTGGGCCTGTTCATCTAGGGGTCTGGGAAGTGAATGGATCAGACTTAAGAGGCGGGCAGCAGTTCTGATCTGCTAGGGGGAGCTTCTCCATAGTGTGCATCCAGCAGGAAATCCATTTTCATGGTCAAGTGGTGTGGGACAAGCACGAGGGGAAGCCTCCTCGGGTATCCTTTCTGAGGGTCTCAGCTCGGCTGCTTTTTCTCTTTCTAATTTTTGTCTCTTCTGATACCAGAAAAACGTGCTCGTTCTAAATAATATTTTTGTGTCACTAAGGATGAAGAAACAAAATCAGATACTTTGGGTATATTCCAGTGGCAGAGCTTGGGGCCTGGGAGGAATCATTAATTTCAGGTGACACTAAGAAGGAAAAGATAAGAAAAGCTCGCTACCTCCCTCCCAACCTAGAATTATGACTGTTAATCAGAAGTCAGTCCCTCCTGACACAATGGCATACCCCTGCATCTGAGATAAGTCTTAGCATTGTCCATGTACCACAGTTTCCACTGTCCCCAATCCTGTATCCTCTGTTACTCTTCCATCACCCCAATCCTGTATCCCTTCTTGCTTTCATACAAGCTCCAAGATAAATGTCAGACATTTCCCAAGATCACTGCTTAGTGCTGTTCCTTACATCCCTTTAGGGGCCACTGTGAGCCAAGCTGCCTGTGGGTGGTATTATCCTGGGTGAAGCTTATTTGTTCTCTGCCCCTGCACACAGCCCACCCATGTGGACTGGCTGCCCTGGGTGGGGAACAGGGCTCTTTCCTCCCTTGTCCATGACAAGCCAGGTGGGCTGAAATGTGCCAGTGCCTATAGGTAGGGAAGGGCATTCTGGGCGAAGTCTAAACAAAAACTCTAGGTGGTCATCTTAGGTTCACTGTAGAAAATCAGCCAAATGGGTGGGACGTAGGAAGAAAAGCCTGTAGTGTGAGATCTGAATTTAATGGTCATCTTCATAGGTCCTAAGAGATGACACTTTATCAACTAATAGTGTGTATATTTAGTCTGTGGAGGTAGTGGCTCTAAAGTGGAGGATTTACACTCTCCCTACCTGGCGTTTTCTTCTGTTGTGTGAACACCAGTATAATTGAAATCTAGTTAAATCTCTTTTTAAAAATTTTTGTAAAATTTATTCCTAACTTAAATACATAATGACAAAAAAAATTCCATGTACTCAGCACAACTTAAAAAGAGGATTCAATGTAAAACCATGAATTTCCATTTCATGCTGTTTTTTTTTTCCTCTTTCTACCCTCACCCTGCCTTAGAAAAGGCTTCCATTAGACACAGTTGTGTGTGTGTGTGTACTTTATAGGATCTTCATAGCTCCTTTGTACTTGATTTGAGTATTTATAATGCTCAAAATGACTTAGTTGTTCAAAGTTGTTCTTAGAACAGTATTGCTATTAATGTGTACAATGTTTTCTTGATTCTGCTCGTTTCACTCTTCATTATTTCATGCAAGTCTTTCCATGTTTTTCGAAAACCACCAACTCATCATTTCTTTTTTTTCTTTGAGATAATATATGAAATTTTATCATTATGTGTCAATTAAAAAATAAAAATCTTAAAAACCATTAAGCCAATATTTATTGAGCATGCACTTTTGCAAGGCACTATGGGTTTTTTTTTAATTAGTTTATTTTGAATTATCAACAATCACTTCCATAAGCTTTTGAGTTTTAAATTTTTCTCCCCTTCTCTTCCCACCTCCCTCCCCAAGACAGTGCATAATCTGATACAGGCTATACATATACATTCCTATTAAACATATTTTCACATTAGTGATGTTGTAAGTAAGAAATAGAACCAATAGGAGGAACCACCAGAAAGAGGAAACAAAATACAACAGAAGAAAAAAAATAGCAAATAGTATGCTTTGATCTGCATTCAAACCCCATAGTTCTTTCTTCTTTTGGGTAGCATTTTCCATCACGAGGCCTTTGGAGATGTCTTAGATCCGTGTATTGCTGAGAAGGGTTAAGTTTATCAATATTAGTCATCGCTCAATGTGGCTGTTATTGTGCACAACATTCTCCTGGTTCTGCTCACTTCACTCAGCATCAGACCATACAAGTCTTACCAGGTTTTTCTGAAGTCAGCCTGTTCATCATTTCTTATAGCACAATATTATTCCATCACAACCATATACCACAACTTGTTCAGCCATTCTCCAATTGACAGGCATCCCCTCAATTTCCAGTTCTTTGCCACCACAAATAGAGCTGCTATAAAAATTTTAGAACATATAAGTTCTTTTCCTTTTCCCCTAATTGCCTTAAGAAACAGACCGAATAGTGGTATTATTGGGTCAAAGGGTATAAGCAGTTTAGTAACTCTTTTGGCATAATTCCAGATTGCTCTCTAAAATGGTTGTATCAGTTTACGGATCCACCAACAGTGAATTGGTGTCCCACTTTGTCTATATCGTCTTCTTTTGTTTTAGCCAATCTGATAGGTGTAAAATGATATCACAAAGTTGTTTTTAATTTGCATTTCTCTAATCAATAATGATTTAGAATATTTTGTCATTTGACTCTATATAGTTTTGATTTCTTCATTGAAAAACTGCCATATCCTTTGACAGTTTATCAATTGGGTAAAGGCTCATATTGTAAATGACAGAATTGTTTATGTAGTTGGTATATGAGACATTTATCTGAGAAACTGTCAATAAAATTTTTTTCCCACTTTTCTGCTTTCCTTCTGATCTTGGCTACATTGGTTTTATTTGTACAAAACCTTTTTAATTTAATGTAATTATCCATTTTACATTTCACAATGCTCTCTATCTCTTGCTTATTCATAAATTGTTCTCCTGTCCATAAGCCTGATAGGCAGTATGATCCATGTTCTTCTCATTTCCTTGTGATATCTCCCTTTGTATCTAGGTCATGTGTCCATTTTGATTTTATCTTCTATGCCCAGTTTCTGCCAGACTGCTTTCACCTTCCCCAATAATTTCTACCAAATAATGAATTCTTATCCCAAAAGCTTAAAACATTACATTTGCCAAACGCAGGGTTACTATAATCATTTGCTACTGTGTATGTGTATGTCTGCTCTGTTCCACTGATCTACCTTTCTATTTTTAGCCCAGTACCAGATAGTTTTGATAGTTAATGCCATAGAGTATAAATATCGAGTACTGCTAAACCTCTTCCTTTACATTTTTTATCAGTTCCTTTGATATGCTTGATCTTTGTTCTTCCAAATGAACTTTGTTGTTATTTTTCCTAGCTCAGTAAAATAATTTTTGGGTAATTTAATTGGAATGGCATTGAATAAACGGATTAGTTTAGGTAAAATTATCATTTTTATTATATTGGTTCTGCCTACCCATGCACAATTAATATTTCTCCAATTATTTAAATATAATTTTATTTATATAAAAAGTGTTTTATAATTATGTTCATGTAGTTCCTGGGTTTGTTTTGGCAGTTTATACTCCAGGTATTTTATACTGTCTGCAGTTATTTTAAATGGAGTATTTCTTACTATCTTTTCTTGCAGGGTTTTGTTGGTGATATAGAAATGCTGATGATTTATGTGGGTTTACTTTTTATCCTGCTACTTTGCTTTTTGTTTCCACTATTTAGTTGAATCTTTAGGATTTTGCACGTATATAATCATATCAGATTGTTTTGTTACCTCATTGCCCATTCTGATTCCTTCAATTTCTTTTTTCTTCTCATTGTTATTGCTAGGATTTCCAATACAATATTGAATAATATTAATGACAGTGATCACTCCTGATCTCACTAGGAAGGCTTCTAGCTTATCCCCCTTACAAATAATGCTTGCTGATGGTTTTAGGTAGATGCTACTTATCATTTTAAGGAATAATCTCTTTATACCTGTGCTTTCAAGTGTTTTTAAAAGGAATGAGTGTTGTATTTTATCAAAAGCTTTCTCTGTATCTATTGATATAATTATATAATTTTTGTTACTTTGTTATTGATAGACTCAATTATGTTATTAGTTTTCCTTATTCCCTGCATTACTGGTATGAATCTCACTTTGTCACAATATATAATATTTATAATATTGTTGTAGTCTCCTAGCTAATATTTTATTTAGGATTTTTGCATCCATATTCATTAATGAAATTAGTCTTTAATTTTCTTTCTCTGTTTTGGCTCTTCCTGATTTGGCATTAGTACTATATTCATTTTATAAAGGGAGTGTGGCAGGACTCCTTTATCTGTTATTCCAAATAATTTATTTAATATTGGAGTTAGTTGATCTTTGAATATTTGGTGGGATTCTCTTGTAGATCCTTCTGGTACTGATCATTTTTTCTTAGTAAGCTCATTTATGACCTGTTCTGTTCCTTTTTCTAAAATAGGTTTTATTTAGATATTCCATTTCCTCCTCTGTTAATCTAGGCAGTCTATATTTTTTTAAATATTCTTCCATTTCACTTAAATTGTTTGATTTATTGACATGTAATTGGGCAAAATAACTCCGTGTAATTGCTTTGATTTCATCTTTATTAGTGGTATATTCACATTTTCATTTTTAATACTAGTGATTTGGTTTTCTTCTCATTCTCTGTCTCTTTGTTGTCCTATTAACCCATGGCTTATCTATTTTTTCCCCCATAAAACCAACTCCTAGTTTTATTTATTAATTCAGTGGTTTTCTTCTCAATTTTATTACTCTTACCTTTAATTTTTAAGATTTTCAATTTGGTGCTTAATTGGAGATTATTGATTTGTTCTTTTTCTAGTTTTTTTAATTACATACCCAATTCATTTGTCTGTCTTTATCTGTTTTATTGATATAAGCATTTAGAGACACACATTTTCTACTTTTATTACTGCTTTTGCTGCATCTTATTGGTTTTGATATGTTGTTTCATTATTATCATTCTCTTTAATGAAATTATTGATTGTTCTTTAACAATCAATGATTTGTTCTTTAACCCACTCATTCTTTAAGTTTAGGTTGTTTAGTCTCCACTTAGTTTTTAATCTGTGTTTCCGTGGTCCCTTATTGAATATAATTTTTATCGCATTTTGATCTGAAAAGCTTGCATTTAATATTTTTGTTTTTCTGCATTTAACTATAAAGTTTTTATGCCCTAATATATGGTCAGTTTTTGTAAAAATACCATGTACCACTGAGAAGAAGGTGTATTCCTTTCTATTCCCATTCATTTTTTTCCATATATGTGTATATCTAGCTTTTCGAAAATTCTGTTCACATCCTTGACTTCTTTCATATTTATTTTTTTGGTTTGATTTATCTAATTTTGAGAGGAGAAGGTTAGGGTCCCCCACTATTATAATACTACTATTTCCACCTGTTATTCGTTTAACTTTTTCTTTAAAAATTTTGATGCTATAGCATTTGGTGAATATAGCTTTAGTATTGATATTGCTTCATTTTCTGTGGTACCTTTTATCATAATGTAGTTTCCCTGTTTATCTTTTTTAATTAAATCTATTTTAGCTTTAACTTTGTCTGAGCTCATGATTGCTATCCCTGCTTTTTTTACATCGGCTGAAGCATAATACATTCTACTCCAGCCCTTTATTTTTAACTCTTTGTATAGCTCTCATTTTGAAATATGTTTCTTGTAAACAACATATTGTGGGATTCTGATTTTTAATCCATTCTGCTATCCCTTTCCATTTGATGGGTGAGTTCATTCCATTTACATTCAAAGTTATAATAACTATTTGTGTGTCTCTCTCCATCCCATTTTTCCATACTGTTACCCTTCTTACCCTCTTTTTTACCCTATCCTCTACACAAGTCTAATTTACTTCTAACCACTACCTCCCTAACCCACACCTTTTTTAAGAATCCCTCCCTTATGCTCAACTCTTACACTCCTGTTCTTTAATCCACCCACTCTTCTCAGAGGCCTTCTCTCCTGCTTCTTGGTCTGCAGACCCTTCTAAAAGTCCCTCCCTTATTCTGTCCCTTCACCCTTCTGTTGCTTTATAAATTTAGAAGACTTTTTATACCCTTCTAGATGGTATTCTCTCTTCACCCCAGTTCCAGTAAAAATAAGATTGCAGTATTACCAGCCCCCCACCCCTGCCTGCTTCCTCTGTAACAGTTCTTCCATTCCCACCTAGTTTGCATGAGGTAATTTCTGTTTTACCTTTCCCTACCCAATTTTATTTGTTAGAATCATCCCATCATACTTAACTCTGCCCCAAGCTCTCTATGTGTGTATGCTCTTTTAAACTACTCAAGTAATGGTAACATTCTTAAGAGTGCAGATAACGTTTTCTCATATAAGAAGTAAACAATTTGACCTTATTTAATTCCTTATAATTGGTCTTTAGCGTTAACCTTATGTTTCTCCTAGATCTTCTGTGTCTAATTTTCCATTGAATTCTGGTCTTTTTGTCATAAATACTGAAAGTCTTTCAGTTCATTAAATGTCCTCTTTTTTTTTTTGTTCAGGATTATAGTCAGCTTTTCTGGGTAAGTTGTTTTTGGTTGCAACCCCAGCTCCTTTGCTCTTAAAATGTCTTCTAAGCCCTTCAGTCTTTTAATATAGAAGCTGTTAGATTTTGCATCATCCTGACTGTAGCTCCATAGTATTTAAATTGTGTTTTTCTTGTTGCTTGTAGTATCTTCTCCTTGACCTGGGAGCTTTGAAACTTGTTTATAATATTCCTGTGAGTTTTCATCTTGGGACTGCTTTCAGATGGTGATCAGTGGGTTTTTTCTATTTCTGTTTTACCCTCTCATTCTAGAATTTCAGAGCAATTTTCCTTAATGATTTCATGTAATATCATATCTAGTCTTTTTTGATCATAGCCTTCAGGTAGTCCAACAATTCTTATGTTGCTTCTCCTTGATCTGTTCTCCAGATCAGTGTGTTTTTCTAGTGAAACGTTTCACATTCTCTTCTATTTTTTTATTCTTTTGATTTTGTTTTATTATTTCTTGGTGTCTTATAACATCATTAGCTTCCTCTTGCCTAATTTTAGTTTTAAAGGGGTTATTTTCTTAAGTTTCTTGATTTCTTTTTCTAGTTGGTTGACTCTTTTCACAGTTTTCTTGATTTTCTTGGATGGTTCTTATTTTTTCCCTGATTTTTCCTCAATGTTTTTTATTTGATTTTTAAAGTCCTTTTTAAGCTCTTCCAAGAACTCTTTTTGGGCATGTGACCATTTGACATTTTTCATTGAAGTAGAAGTAGCTTTTTAAATTTCACTCTCTTTTGAGTATGAACCCGGATCTCCTCTATCCCCATAGTAACTATTTATGGTTGAGTTCTTTCTCCTTTGCTCACTCATTTTTTCTTAAGCAGCTAATTGTTATAGTCAGGTTCTAGTCCCAAGGTGGGGAGATGTTGTGGGGTGGGGAGTGATGCCTCGAGCTTCAGGTTTTTCTTACAGTTGTTTTCTGAGCTCTGTCTGGGGGCCTGCCCTGCTCTGCCCCTGAGCCACAGCCAGGACCCCAGCCATGCTGTTACTGAAGATGCTCTCGCTCTCTGCCATCCTTCCTGCGGCCGCAAACTTTAGCTTACTCCTCTGCCCTGGACTCTGCTCTCCGACAAATGCCCACAGCCTACAGGGTTCCCTCCCCTCGTCCACTGCACTCTCCTGGTGTCTGCTCGCTCCTGCTAGTCCACAACTGCAGCCCAGAACTGGGTCTGGTCAGCACAGCTGGACAAAGCCAGAGGCTCTAACCCCAACACTGTGGCGAGGCTGCCCCCAGGGCAGAGTTGGCCTGGAGGTGTTTGCGCTTCACCAGGGCCAGGCCTCTGGTCTTTCTGAGGTCCTCCCAAGTTATCTTAGGAGAATAACTGCTTTACCCAGACTCTATTATTTTTTACCACTCTAAGTTCACTTTGAGGCAATGTTTTGTCTTGTTTGTTGGGGAAATTTGGAGAGCCCAGTATTTCGTGTCTTATCTCACCATCTTCCCAGAATGCCCTCCTAAATCTCTAGGAATCTGCTCTTGATCGGTTGCCAGAGCCCCCAGGACTGGAAACTTCTGTTATTGGGAGGAGAGATAATGGGATATGGGTCAGAAAAGTCTGTTCCTGGAGAGGAGAAACAGAAGCCAAAAGCTGAGGTATAGGAATTGGGAAGAGAGGTCTGGAAAAGAATGGGCATTTGCAATTATTGTAAATGCAAAAAAATTCTGAATTTAGTCGAGGGAGGGAAAGGCAAATAGGAAGAACACAATCTCTGAGTTTCCGTAAAATCCAAGAGGCATTCTCTGAGGATGTTGGATGGCCCCAGATTTGGTGACCATTAATTTGTCTGAATGGTAAGATACTTGAGGGAGAGCAGTCATATTCTTGGCTGGAAAATGCCAATATCTAGTTTTCCTTCCCTGCTCTCCCATCCCAAGGCACAAAGAGCTTTTCAGATGTGTCTCTGCCGTGTTTGGAATTTGTCCATTCACTTCCTTATCAGGTAGATAATGAAGAGGCTCAGGAGAGTGGATGTCAGTCTGGAAAAAATCAAGTCTACTTGGGCGGGAGAGGGGACTCAGAGGACATGTGGGATGATGGCGCCTCTTTGTGTTCTAGACCTCCAGGGAGGAGCTTCCGCAGCTGGAGGCAGCAGTGGGGGTGCCGGAACGCAGGGTGCAACCCCAGGAGGGGTGTCCCCGCATGTGACCTACACATCCTACATCCTCAAGCAGACTCCGCAGGTTTGGGTCCTTCATTTCTGCTCTTTTGAAGTTCCTTGGAGACTACAAAGTTGGGGGGCTTATTTAGGATCTGCCTTTAGGTACAGTTGACTTCCTCTAGAACACTGCCATTGGGAGCCAGGGTTCACATCTCTGTATCTCCAGCCAGTGCTGTATTTGGGAGGTTGGGGCAGGTGTCACTTGACCCATCAAATGGTCATGTACACATAGAATTGAGCAGCATTGGAAGGTCTGTTTTACATCTCCTTAATAGGGATCCTCCCTTCCTCCGAGCCCATAGCTGTGCTCCACAGAGGATCTACCCATCTGGTCAGATGCTATCTTCTACATTTAAAAAAAAAATCTATTGTAAACCTAGCATTAAATATCAACATAAGGTCCTTCCAACCCAAGACCTGTGAGAGACTCTGGTAGCTTTTCCGTAGCTCTTCCCTGCAAATCTCCATTGGGTTTTTGTTCATTTTTGTTTAGTTTATATCTGTTGTGTGTGCCTGGTGCTTCTGGTTCTGCTTTTCTCACTTTATGTGATTTTGTAAAGCTCTTCTCAGATTTTTTTTATGTTCTAAATAATTATTGATTTTAGTAACACTGTAATCCTGGGTCACAGTTGGTTTCACTATTCCCCTCTGGTTGGACAACTATGAGTTTCCAGTTTCTGATAAGATGATCAGATTGTTTTGTAACTTGGATTGCATACTAAATGCTAAGTTACTTTCTAAAAAGATCCTACTAATTTGTACCTACCAGCAATGAACAGGATGCCTGTTCATCTACTTCTTTCTCTCCTATCCTTCTAACACTTGGTTTTATTGCTATTAATTTTTTTGTTGCCATTTTAATGAGTGTGAGGTTGTACCTCAAAGTTGTTTTAATTTTCATGTCAATATTACTAGTGAGGTTGAGCATCTTTTCAGCTAATTATTAAGAATTTATTTCTTAGTTGAAAATTGTTCTCATCCTTTGAGGATTGAATGTTGCCATTGTAAATGTTCTATTGCTCTCTATGTATTTTAATTGTCAAGTTGTTTTTTATCTCTTATGTCTTCTATAAATACTTTCCCCAATCTGTTCTGTCTTTTGATTTTTTGTTGTTGTTGTACAGAAAATTTTATTTTAAGACTTAATTAAATTTCATTTAACTTTAATTTTGGGAATTAAATAAGGGTCTGACTGAAAATAGATTTTTTCATGGCACCCCTTACAAAAGTATTTTTAACACTGCAAGGACCAACCATCTCATTTGTATTGACACACAAATTTTTAAGTAATTTTACCATAACTTAATATAAATTCTTCTAAGTGTGGAGATACACTTTTTAGATGCAAACAGTTACAAGAAAATATTACAATTTTACTTTGAAATAAAAGTTTTCATCCTACTGTCTCAAAACCTTATGGATTTAAAAACTGTACTGCATCAGCTGATACAGCTTGGTATTTCAAGGAGACTGAATCCTACATCCTCCACTTAAGTTATATTCTGATGCCGTCTAACTGGTGTAGGAACCATGTTGAGTTTTCCAAGTCTTTCCAGTGTAATGCCAACTTTGTCAGGGTTTCTGAAGCTGGAGAGACTTTGAGTAACAGATTATGTGTCTCAGTGGAAAAGGCCAGTCCAGCTGGCTATCATCAGGTTGTCACTACAGGAGGCATTTTTTATCCATAGCAAGTTACGAACATGGAGGAGCTGCTGGATGGCAGAGGAAATCCTGCATCCCTTGAGCTGTGGAAGTGATAACTGTACACTAGGAAAAGCAAACAAGCATTTTTGTTGTCTCTTAGAGACCCTTGCTATAATGTTTTTGTGGCCTTCAGCATTAGCATATAGCAAAGTCATTAGCTCATTATCTGGGAAGAGGGTGGGAGAGAATGTGGTTGGGGACCAGAAGGGGGCAGACGCCCACTCCTCCACCGTCCTGTTGTCTCTCAGAATCACCTGGAGCAATCATCTGGGTAAGATTGAGGTATTTTAGCTGGCTCACTTGATGTTTGTTTTCTAAATATTGTGAGTGATGCACTGTGCTGGGGAGCTTTACATTTCAGTGCTGATGGAATTTTGGAATCTAAAGAAAGCTCTGTTTCCTATAACAGAGCCTCCTTTTGTGACTTAAGGATAGGTGCTAGTGACTCCGATCTTTTGACTTTTCCTTTTTTGTCTCCAGGGCACATTTTTGGTTGGCCAGCCATCCCCTCAGAGTTCAGGAAAGCAGTTAGCGACTGGATCCGTGGTTCAGGGCAATTTGGGAGTCAGTGCATCCTCCACTCAAGGACAGCAAGCATTAAAAGTCATATCTGGGCAAAAAACAGCTTTGTTCACCCAGGTAACATGCCTGTGCTCCCTGCTCCCTCTCCCCAGGTTCTCGTCCTTTCTTTCAATTCTTTCTTCCCTCCCTCCCTCCCTGCCTGCCTCCCTTCTTTCCTCCTTTCCTTCCGTCTTTGACTCGATCCTTCTGAAGAACATTATACCGTTCTCCCAGGAGACCGCTATCCTATGTCCTCTACACGTCCAACAGTTTTATCCAACAGTAAATATTGACAAGGAGAACTATTGCCTCTTTCTAAGAAAATAGAGCAGAGAGCACTTGACTAGGTAAAGGGATTTTTAGGTGTCTCCTAGAAGAGATGAGGCAGCCCTTGGTTTTTTCATGGCTTCTTCTTGAAGTCGGAGATAGTGAATGCACACCTTATGGGCGACTTTTCTTCACATGGTCTTAGGGTCTTATTTGATCCCTCCTGTGTGAACTGCACATACAAAGACAAAACCAAACGGTCTCCACCTCCAGAAAGCTGCTTTGTGGCCCTGGTGGCAGACGGTACATCAGACAACATGTGTGAGAACTATGCCTTAGGGAGCCCTGAGAACAGGAGGGGTCCAGAAGGGCCTTGGGCAGGATGTGGGCCCTGGAGCTGGGCTTTGTAGGAGGCTGCCTGTGTCTCCTCTCCTACCAGCAGGAGACGTTGGCTCTGCCTAATACTGGATTTCATTCAACTCTCACCCCAGTGTTGCCAGGCCAGTGCTGTTATCACATCCCTGATTTACATGTGGGGAAACTGAGGTTCAGAGAAATCAGGAACTTGCCCACGCTCCATGGCTAATAAGGGTCAGCCGTGGGACTCATTCTGTTCACTGCTGCACTGCCTCTCAGCGTGATTTGTAGGGATCCTGCAAAGCAGAGGTGAGGAAAAGGGGGCTTTCCTGACACAGAGGGAGGCCTCTGCAGAGCACTGAGGCCAGGATTCAAGGGCCAAGATGAGGAAGTGGAATTTTGTCCAGTACAGAGTGACTGATGACTCGTCAAGTGCGTAAATCACATAAATAGCAACTAATGTTTTGTGTGAAGTAATCTGTCAAGCGTTTGCTGGGTCTTCAGCGTGCCGGGAGGCGCCATAGCTCTTCCAGCCCACTCTCCAATCACTGAACACACCCGATCAACCTTCACCTGTTCTTTAGAATCAGAACGCGTGAAGCACGTGTGTGCTTTCACTATTTCGTTCAGTTGTATTTGTCCCTGAGTGTTCTTCATTTGATCCATGTGAAACTAGGAGGAGAGGCAGCTTGGAGTAGTGAATACAAGGCCTGCCATGGGGTGCAGGAGATCCAGCTTCAAGTCTGCACACTGTGCTGGCTTTGTGACTGTGGGTGAGCCTTCTAACCGGCTGCTCAGGACCCCAGGCAGTTCTCTAAGTCTGTAAGGAACAGAGGAATTGTTGGAGTTACATCCATTATATAGTGGAAAGAATTTCCACGCTGGGGAAAAATAGGACATGTATTGTGAGCTGCTTTTTTAAGACAGATTAGCCTGCATCCTTAAAAACACAGTTGATTTGTGCTTCCAAATTCTGGTTTCCACCTGCATTTATTCACACGCCCTAAATTATTGGCACCAACACATTGTCAGGTTAAGAAGCTTTTAACTGTGACTTTGCTGCAAGAGTACACGGACCCCTACCCAACTGCCCGTCTTATATTCATGTAGCTCAGGCCATGATTATCCTTGGGCTGCTCTAGTTCTCAAGCTACCGTATAAATGTAATTGAGGCACCTGCTAACCACTGCATCGTCATTATTTACACATGATTTCTTTGTACAGGCAAACCCTGGTGGGCAGGCGTCTGTGATGAAAATATCTGATGGCTCCTTGAAGTCTGTGCCGGCCACCGCCCCACTCTCCAAGCCCGGGACCACCGTTCTGAGAGTTGCAGGTGGCGTGATCACTACTGCCACCTCCCCAGCTGTCTCTCTCTCTGCCAATGGAGTTGTACAGCAGGTAAGGAGCACTGAGATGGCAAGGAGAATGATCACGGGACTTTGGGCAAAATTCACAGTGAGAGCAACATGGCGGCCATCCCGTCTGCTGCCTCAGAGCACTACAGAGGGTGGCCTCCCTCCCAAGGGCACAGTGGAGACAGACAGCCCCTCAGGACTCCATGACCATTCCTGCTTTCGTCCCCTTCCCTTTGCTTTGGCCTTCTTACCTTATTTTCAGGTGTTCGTTTATGGGCTGAGCGTTTTAAGAGCAGAGGAGACAACATTATGGTGAGAAAGGCAAGCGTGCCCAGATAGCACCTGTAGCCAGTTCTGGTTTGTGCTTGGAGAATGAGCCCCGGCACTGCCTAACTGAGATGGCCTTTTTTGTGAATGACTGCTCACCTTGGTGCCCTGGCGATGGCGAGAGTGAGGGAGCATGTCCTGAACATGCACAGCTCTCGAGTCAGAGAGCCCAGAGCATCAGCTTCATCAGTCTTGTAGGATGTGACTGGGGAAGCATCATAGAAAAAATGGAATTTTAGAAAGCAGGAGGAGAAAATAAGGATTTACACATGAGATGGGGGAAGATAGGACCCTTGCCAGCTGCTGAGAACAGGAGCTGCGACTTTGTTTCCCAACCTTGATTTTGCAGTTGCTGTGACAGGCCATGTCCTCTCCTTGTTGTAGTTGTGGCACGAAGTCTGAGCCAGTTTCTTTCCCATCAGAGTCTTTCTCTTATCACAATGGCAGCATGAAATCTGAGCCAGAAATTCTCTTGCACACAAGAGTAATGACTTGAGGTTATTACTTTTGTGTCAAGTAGTATTTTCTCTTAATTATCCTAAATGTATATTTGTTAAGAAGAGCCCCCTTGTTCTAATAGGATGGGTTTGGTCCATGTTTGGTTATTTTGAGATGGAACTTCTTCCAAGGAGAAATCGGACACGTTGATAGCAGTATTTGAGCCCTCAACATAGCACTCTTAAAATTCTGAGCATGATGTGCTTCTATTGGCTATAAGGTGTGCAAGGTAGCGGGAAAATGAACTGTGCAGGAAGCAGGAAAATGGCACTGGGCCTCCTGAGCATTCTGGGTTAACAGGACGACAACAGCTAACTAAACATTGCTCAGACAGAAGTTGTCCTGGGGATTAAATATAGCTGATGTGCCTTAGTCGCAAAAACCTGAAATGCTGCAGCTCTCAGAAGGGTTTACATCGCGCTTATCCCCAGAAGTTATGAATCTGTCACTCCCTCGGCTACAAGAGCTTACAAATAACTTCCTCTCAGATTCCCAAAGCCAGTGATGACTCTGTTGGCCCAGTGACACAGCCCCTTACTTGCCGCAGACTAATGACGTCAGACTCCCTGGCATTTGCACAGCTCTTAAACCTTCTCAAAGCAAACCATGGGGTATTCTACCCCTTGACATAGTCTGAGGCTGGTGCGTGTAGCTTTGCTCAGTCGATGATTTAAGGGCAGTGGTTATTTGGGGGCTTTTTTTTTTTTTTTCTCCAGTTGTGAGTCTGCGCTGTTATTACAGAATGCCCCATCATTCAAAGGAAGACAGCTTTGAGATGGGTGACTTTGTTAACACGACAAAGTAGGAATGTATGGTTTTAGCTGTACTGCTGTGAGATTAGTAAATATTAGGTGAAGAAACATTTCCCTAAAGCTATTTAACGGTAGCGTGGTCAGCCTGGGTCGTGTGGTGAACCAAAAGATCGGTCAGTAGGACACATTCCATTCAGGGGAAAATTCAGTGTTTGTAGGGAAGGGTGTGAAAAGTTTTTATGTGGATGATGTTAAACAGTTCTCTACATCCGTAGAAGACAGAAGAAGTAGAAATGGGTTTCAACTAAGTCAGAAGAAATGTGGATTTAAGAAGCAGTGCCCACCTGTCAAGGTGGTAAGCCCCAAAAGGGGCAGTCAGGAGCCGTGTTGTACAGGTCTTGAAGTGGAGAAGACTTTTTCCTTTATGATTTAGAAATTCACCTTCTCCTACATGAGGGGCTCAAGTTTGGGGATTTCTCTGCTCGTTCATAGGATATGAAGTCTCAGGAAATGGCCCTGGAAGGTAGTTTTCTCTAGCACAGCCTCAAGCTTCTGTCTTGTCTTTTGAGGTCAAACTATAACCTCACTTGTTGCCTCTGTCCTCTACCATTCCCTACTCCAGGAGGAGCCTGAATGCCTCCCTGGTCTTCTTAATGCTGCTATTGAGAGGACTGATAAAGCCTACCTTCTCTGAATGCTCAGAGTGCTTGCATGGGGAAAGAATGGGGCAAGGGAGGGTCATCGTGGTCAAGTTTACATGGCAAACAGCATTGATTTAAAATGGGCTTTGATTCCCTTCAGTCCCTTGACTGAGGGACAAATGGGGAAAGGGATTGGGCCTTTGATTTCATTACTGTAGGGAATTCCCAGGTGAGGAGTTTCCTTCCAGCAGTGCAGGTAAGGACCTTCCTGAAGTCATAAACAGCTGCCTTGGTGAACTCAAAGATTTAGGGACTTTCTCAGACATTATGTTATGGGCGCAGGATCTGAACCCAGGTCTTCTCGGTTTTGAAGCCACTCTAGCCACCATGCCACACTGCCTTTCATGTTCTGATAAAAATTATTAAAAGGTGGAAAGGTAATGTTCTCTTCCTTTACCTTCTGTTCTTCCTGGTGCTGCTGATGAGTAGTCAGAAGGAGCAGCTTCCAGCTCAGCAGTGGGACCTGGTGGGAAAGCTTGTGGGCAGCAGTCACTGTGTGTGACTCCAGCCCCGGCAGGGCCCACAGGAGCCAACAGAACCGGCGCCTCGGCTGTCATCAGCACCACGTCTCTGATGTCCACAGCGACCCCTGTCTCTGGCAAGACCGCTGTCTCGGGTAAATGGCTTCTCCCGCTTGTTTTATTGTTCTTTTCTGATGTTCAAGGCCCTCTGGAATCTGGCTCTGCTCGCTCTCCCAGTCGTACCTTGGGTAGCTCCTCCGGGCTTCTGCATTCGTGCCGCTCCCTCTTCCTGGACAGCCTGCACGGTGCCCTTCCGCTCCCCTCCCCCAGACCCCTCGGCCTGCTGACTGACATTCTTCCCGTCCCCAGTTCCCATGAGGCTTCCTCCGATTCCCCATCGTTGATATTACACACTTGGATTAGTCTGTGATACCCCCAGGGAGGTCGGACAGCTGCTCGGCCTGCATTTAGTCATTGTCTGCACCATGCTCCGGCATCTCGAGATGGATCTCTTACCAGCTGGGTAACCAGCTGACCTTTCTGAGCCTCAGTGTCCTCCTCTGTAAAGCAAGGAGAATGGGAACACCTTCCTCAGGGTTGTGAGGATCAAACGAGATCTCTCTGTGAAGCTCTGCAAATCTTTGGAGTTTCCAGAAATAGTAGTCGGTAGCTACTACCGCCAGTGCTGCTGTGAACTAATCCCAGGTTGGCTCCATAGCATCACAGCACAGAGCAAAAGGAGACTTTAGAAACCCTTTAGTCCCAACACTCCCCCTGCCCCCGTTTTACAGATGAGGAAACTCGGGCCCTGACAGCTGAAGAGACTCGCCAGAGGGGTCCTTAGATGCTGTCTCATCCAACCACTGATTTTACAGATGGGTTGGAAATTTCAGTCACCAAAAAGTATTTATGTGCTTAGAGAGGTGGGGGGGGTGTGTATGTGTGCGCGTGCGTGTGTGCTCACGCCTCACTTCATATGAGATTCCTGACAAACTGGGTGGAGATGAAGTATTCATAGAGAAAATTCTGTTTTCCTGATGCTGTCTTCAGTGAGCAGTGGTTTTCCTCCCTAGCCTTGCTGTCAAGTAGCTCTTTATCTGGGCTGTAAGAAAGTTGATTTTTATAGGCCCCGTCTTTGTCCTTTATTGTGTCTTTAAGGTTCCATTTCCTAGTGATGGGAAACTTGTGTTCTGGCCTTGACTGTGCCCTGCACAATAACTTTGGGCAGGTTGTTTAACCAACCTGAGCCAGAACTTCTTCATGTAGAGAATATGGAGTTTGAACTCATCATTTCTCAATTTCCTTCCAGCCCCCAAATTGTGTTGCTTCTCAGCCCATGCCTTATCTCCATTCCCAAACACCAAAGAATATGAGCCCCTCGAGGGCAAAAACCGTACTAATTTCTGTCTCTGACGCCCTAGTACTTAGTACATAGGAGGCACGTAAGAAATGCCGGATGATTGATTTGCGTCCCGGTGTATTCGCTAGGACATGAAATTTTGGCCTTTGGAGGATTGCCTTTCTCTAGTGGGTTCCTTGGTGCCACATCCTGCTCCCGTGAGACGCCCTGTCTCCACTCACAGCGACTGTGCTCATTCAGGCTCTCAGTCTCTTCGTGTCTCCTGCCCCCCATCCATCCCGCACGCTGCCACCCCCGTGACTTTCCATCAGCTTCCATGTGAGCCTGCAGTTTCCTTATTCAACCAGTGCCGATGGATCGGGCTTTCCAAACCCGACCCAAGCTGTCTCCCACTTAGGTCTCCAGGCAGCTTCACTGGACGTTACTCCGCCCTCCCCCAGACTGTTCTCTCTGCCCCGTGCCCTCGACACTCCCGTTCTCCTCTTCCCCTGGGTTCACTTTGTGCTTGTGCTGTGCGTATTTCCCCACGTACTTGTTGTCTCCTCATTAGAACAGAAGCCGTTTGCAAGAAGGGATTGTTTCGGGTTTTTGTCCTTGTATAGTCCCAATGCCTAGCGCTTCATGGGTGTTTAACAACTACTTGTTTGTTTGATTCTGTAGGAGATTTTCAGATTATGTGCTTGGTGTGTATTAATTAGGGAAGGTTGATTGAATGTGGTTTTGACGTGTCTGTTGTATCAAAGCCAGATGTCATCAAGCATATGTTACGCACCTACTATGTGCCCAATGCTGTACTAAGTGCTGGGGTTACAAAAAGAGGCAGAAGATGGTCTCTGCCCCTAAGGAGCTCACAACGAGCAAATAAATATGTACAAACAAGCTATATATGGCATAAATAGGAAATAATTAACAGGAAAAGCACTAGAATAAATAAAAATAACCAGCATCTATATAGCACCTACTATGTACCAGGTGTGACACCAAGCACTTTGCAACTATTATCTCATTTGATATTCACAACAGCTCTGAGAGGGAGATGCTGTTATTAACCTTATTTTTTACAGATGAGGGAAGTGAGGCAAATGGAGGTTAAGTGACTTGCCCAGGGTCACAGAGCTAGTAAGTGTCTGAGGCTGGATTTGAACTCAATTCTTCTTAATTCCGGGCCTGGTGTTCCATCCTCTGTGCCACTTAGCTGCCCAAAAGCGGGCTTGGGAAAGGCTTCTTGTAGGAGGTGGGATTTTCATTGGGACTTATAGGAAGCTGGGGAGGTCGGAGTATTCCAGGCCTGGAGACAGCCAGAGAGAATGGTCAGAGCCAAGAGATGGAGGGTCTTGTTTGTGGAAGAGCCAGGAGCCAGTGTCACTGGATGGAAGAGGACGTGTTGAGAAGTGAAGTGTAAGAAAACTGGGAAGGGAGGAGGGGCCAGGTGTGAAGGACTGTGAAGCCAAGCAGAGGATTCTGTATTTGTTCTTGGATGCCATAAGGAGCCAAGAGAGACAGACACACAGACAGACAGAGACAGAGAGAACTGATCAGATCTGTGCGTTTGGAGGATCATTTCAGTGGCAGAATAAAGGGTTGACTAGAGTGGGGAGAGACCTGAGGCAGGCAGAGTCGACCCCCCCCCCCCAAGCAATTACTGCAGTAGTCCAAGCATGAACATTCCCAGTCCCTCATGTGGAACTTTCTCTGCTTTTTTCAGGCCTGTTAAAGATCCACTCCAACCAGTCCAGTCCTCAGCAGGCTGTCCTGACTATACCCAGCCAGCTCAAACCACTCAGTGTGAATGCTGCATCTGGAGGCATCCAGACCATCCTGATGCCCATGAATAAAGGTGAAGCCTCCGGACGTGTGCTCGAACATGAGGGCTTTTTCCTGGGTCTTGTTGAGAAGAGCCTGGGTGGCAGGGATTGGCTCTGCTCTCCACCGTTCTGCTGCAGAGGTTGTGGTAGAGACAGGGTTTTCCCCTCTCTTCCAGGAAGTTCAGAGAACAGATGGTTAGAGGGATAGAGAGGGTTTGAGAATGAAGCACAAACCATTGCAGTGAAGACGAGGGGGTAGAGCTGCCTGAAAAAGCCCCCAGAGAGGAAGGGCTGCCTGGGGAGGGGCAGAAGAGCTCTGGCGTGTGTTCGGTGGACAGTCGTGGGGGTGTCCTGGAAGGACTTTCTGTTCAGGGAGGAGTTGGGCTATGTGGATTTTAAATATGTTCCAACTCTGAGCTTCTGGGATTCTGCATGTTGGCTGTATCAGTGTGCTTTGCTTGGCAAAGAGATAATTCTCAGGGTTTTTTGTCCATTTGGAAAAAATGTGGATCATCTAAGAAGTTTAGATATGAAGAGCCTCATACATGCTGGCCATTTTACTTCTTGTTGGCACCTCTGTGCCTAGGAGAAAAAGGGATCAGTGATGAGCTCCCTGTTAGCAGCTCTGGCTCAAAAAAATGAATTAGGGAGGAAGTTATGAAGTCTAAAGTCTTTACTCAAAGGAAGGTTTTGGATTATCTGTGGATTAATTTATCTAGTCTTGTCTCCAGCCAGCTTTGCTGCAGGTAACAAACTTGGTACCACCATGTAAACTTGTTGAAATCTCGGTCAAGTGAAAGGACTTTAATGATCTCTTTGCCATCTGAGAATTTTTTCATCCTGAATTCATGTTGCTTTAAGATAAAAGTAATTCTGAATGACATCATAGGATAGCCACGTGTCACAGCCATCATTTCTCATAAGGTTGATATTTGATGGGCAGTGCCTGAGCAAAAAATGGAAAACTTAGCTGTGGAATAAGGGGTTAGAGTTGGTGCCCTCTGAGATCCTTTTCTCTAGATCTGGGATCTTCTGAAAGCTGCGAAGGAAATCATTGGAGACAGACAGACACAGACACACACACACACACACACACACACAGACACACACACACACACACACACACACACACACACACGAGCTCTTGGGTCTGATTGATTGTACAGATATCAGTGACCCCCAGTCACGTCAGCTGTCCTCCAGGGCTCACTCCACAGCTGAGCTGATTATCTACCCAGAGTTGGGGGGATGGGGGAGAGGTGTGACTGTTATTCCAAGGAGGATGTTTACCCTTGAACTCAAGGCCATTATGGACAGGGAGGATGGCAGGCAGATGATGAGGCCCTAGCTCTGCCTAGATGTCAAAGCAAGGAGTCTGGAGTCCTCCGATTGGAGGGGGGTTTTATGTAAAAGATTTGTGTTTATAATGCCATTTTTTGCTATTGAACATTGCAATTTATTCTCTTCTTTCACCTTTCAGTAGTTCAGTCATTGTCTGCCAACAAGACACCTGCCATGCCCTCCGTGGTCGCCCCCAGCGTGGCGCCTGTCAGCTCTACTTCAACCACTGTTACTAAAGGTAAAGTATTTATCTTCCTTATTAAAAAGAACAGCAGAAAAGTGCATTACTACGTGGTACTTCCACGTGGCAAGATGCAGTAGACACTCATAATTCAAGGCGTGATGATATGTCAAGAAGTGTGAGACTTCTCGTCTGTGGTGAGCATCGAAGGATAGGTAGGTGGGAAACCTTGTGGTCAGTGAGAAAGGTTGGAGCAGCTCTTTCAAAGAAATGCATGGGACCAGACTGCCCTCTGCTTCCTGCTCGGGAGTCCCAGAATCAGTCCTCAGAGAGGCAGGAGGAGCTGATTGGAAAATCTCTTCTCTGAGACTTCAAGAAGTATCCATAGCTCCTCATTTACTGGTTTCTGCCCTTTTCCTTGCTGGTAGGTAATAAGTTGCTACTGAAAGTTCTTAAGCTGGGGCACATCATAATGAAATTGGTGCTATAAAAGGCTTCTCTGTGCAAAATGTGCAGAGTAGATGACATGCCGAGAGATCAGCTTGAGCAGGGCTGGTGGAGGTTGACGGTAGCACTGGGAATGAAAGAAAGCGTGGGAGGAGAGGCCTTGCCAGCCTCCTGTAGCAGGTAACCTGGGATCTCAGGATCACTAGCCGGGAAGTGCCGATCATTACACACAAGAGACCAAAAAAATCAGGCTGTAGGTTGTGGGAGGGAGGAACGTGGGGCAGGACAGCAGGTGAAGAAAGAGAGAGTTGATTCTCCCCAGGTTTCTGCAGTGATTGGATTCAGTGCCTTTAACTTCTTAGAGGAGGTCGTTGTGGGGCCAGCTTGTTTAGCGTTCTCTTAGTTGTCTTCCTGCCTTGGTTTTTCTCGCTCTCGCCCCTTGTCGCCTTACCTGATGGTTCATTGCTCAATGCTGACATCATTATGGGCGGGGCACTCGCCCACCATGGGGGGGCCCTGGAGTCCCCACAAGTGAAAAGACTTTTGTGTTTGCTGACATGGTCCTGCACGTGGCCCTCAGACACTCATCCCTGACTGGTGTTTGTCTCCCTTTGCAGTGAAGGTAGAGCCAGAAACACCAGGACCAAATGGTCTCACTTTGGTGTCCCAGGAAGTGCAGACGGAAGTGAAGACGGAAGAAAGTACTGAACTGGGGAGCTATGCAATCAAGTAACATTTTCTCTTCTTTCTCAGAGAGCTCGGGTCTCTTGGGGGCTTTTGGAAGGGCCTGCTTTGTGCACGGCAGTGACGTCTTTGTAAAAGCGCTCGCACTGACCCAACGGCCCTCCAGGGCTCAGATACACTGGCTTCGCAATCCCTGTACTACGAGGGCCGTTGTCTCCATTTTACAGATGAGGAAGCTGGCTCAAGGTCCTGTGGTTAGCCAGGACTCAAACCGCTAGGGCTCCGGACTCTTGGGCTCTGCCTTTCTCCTCATTCATTCATCCTTTGGTTAAGATTTGTACCTGTGAACCTGCTGAATGACTGGCGTTTGCAGATTTTAACAGTAATAATGCATAGCCAGTTTTTGGGAGATAGTCTAAGGGCTGTCATCAAGAGATGAGTGCAGTTTCCAAGCTGAAGAGGGAATTGCTCCGAAACATTATTAATCCCTTGATGCACACGGGTGACATTAAGTCATAACGGCCCTGTGTAGAAACCACATTAAACAACACCTTGGGCACCCCTGGAAGCTTTCTCCATTGCCCAGAAGGTCGTTTGTAAAACTAATGTATACCAAACTGAAAAGCTTGGAGCTTGAATCTGGAGGCCAGATGGAACCAGTGAATGAAGGCAGTTTGTACAAATAGCTTGGTTTTCTTCAGGCAAGATACATTGAGCATAAAGGTCCTCTGCAGAAAGCTACGGCCAGCTATGTTAAGAGAGTTACTGGCATCCAGAAGCCAGAGCTCAGTCAGAAGGACATTTAGAATAATTAACACTTGTGTAATGCCAGTCTTAACACAGAGTTTGAAACAGTAAAATGGATGATAGATTGAGAAAAGCATCCTAATAAAAATCTGCACAAGATCCATAACCCTAAGATAGCCCAGACTTATGATTAAAGCAGATGATGCAGGTAAATGGTAGAACATATGCAGCATATGACTTTAGGCTGCAAAAATTGACCACCTTCTGAATACTTAGACTTGATCAGGTGGCCTCGTAAACGAACCAATGACAAATCCCCATACTTCAATGTGGACCCGAAACTACACTTGAAAAGTCAGCACATAAACTGTATAGTCTTTATCACAGAACAGTTGCCCATTCAGAGCTAACATAGTTAAATAACAATTTAGTAAGAATGGAGTTTTTTTGGTGATGGATTTTATTTTTTACATAAATGTTGTATATTTTTATCTCATTTGTATTCTTTGCCCTCACCCTCCCAACAAGGCATCCCGTATTACAAAAAAAAAAAATTGAGACTAAGAATTTTTTAAAAAGAAAGGAGAAAGAGAAAAAAATTCAGTAAAATCAATCAGTACTTGGAAAAACTCAAGTTATTGGCAACCTTTTATGCCAGCAGACCCTTCAACCTTTCCAAAGGAGAGGAGTATGAGCTTCTTGAGGGCAGGGTTGGTTTTTGCCTTTGTATTCTTAGCTCTCTGCACAGTGCCAGGCACACAGTAAGTGCTTAATAAGTATCTGTTGTCTTGAGTTGACTTGGGGGTCAGTCTTGTTCTCTGTAATTTTGCAGTATTCACTGTCAGTTGTTTTGTAGTAGCAATTCTCTCCGTTCACATTGTGAAGAATGACCTTTTAAATATGCTTTACCATGCCAAGTACTCACGATCTCTGAACTACATTTTTCCAAGAAAAGTTGCCAAAGTTGCCCTCAAAGTTTAGAGGCTTGGTGGAGGACTCAGAACCATGTGGGAATAGCCTACTCGGGGCAGGTAGGTGGCACAGTGGATAGAATACCAGCCCTGGATTCAGGAGGACCTGAGTTCAAATCCGGCCTCAGATATATAACACTTACTAGCTGTGTGACTCTGGGCAAGTCACTTAACCCCATTGCCTAGCCAAATAAAAGAATAGCCTAAAGCTTGTGTCCGTCCTCTTTGCCACCCTGCCCTCTACTGGAGTCACAACAAAGATGCTTCCAGTGAGCTGACAAAAGACGAGTTTACATCCTAAAAATGTTTTCCATTCTAAGAAGCAGGTCATACCTTGTGCATTGGTGTGTGGAATATGAAATACCAACTTGTACTAGCATGGTAGTGGCCTGCCCCAGGAATAAGATGATGAGGATAATGGCCACCACTTACATAGATCTAAAGGCTTTAGAAAGCGTTTTTATATATTATCTCATTAATGCTAATTTATTTTCAAGGTTGGCCCTTAATTCGTGCTTCCACCCAGGTACTAATAACCTACTAGGACTTGGTCCTGCCATTTTGTTTGTTACCTCCTGAAATCCAAGTTAGGAGCTGTGTGACATCTCAGGTCCCCAGCTTCATCCTCTGTAAAATGGCTGCGGGGACAGCTGGTCAACAGGCTCTCTGAAGTCTCTTTCCGCCCCAGAGCCTGTGCACTCTGTGAATGTTCTAGAATGGAGTTGCTCAGCCAGTCCTGTAGTGTGCTCTGGCCGCTCCAGAAAGAGAAGCCTGGTGGCACTGAGGTGTCTGCATCTATGTCATCCTGACGCCTCTGCTTCTTGGGCATCACAGGCTGTTCAATATTTATCCTTCCAGAAGTATTCCTCTCCCCCTGCATACTGAAGTATGTTAGAATGGTAGAAAGACTGACAAACTGTGTCTTGACTCTGGACCTTCCATATCGTGTCCATCCACCTTCCCGGGGAGTGGGGAGCATACAGTGGGCCCGTCTGTGTGAAGAGCTTTGGAAACCACCGAGCACTCCAGGAAAAGGGAGGCTTTGGTTTAGAAACCCAGCCAGCCCAGTGAGGTGTGTGTTCCCGCTTACCAGGCGTATCCACCGTCTGAGCCCAACATTTCTGATGGTGTGGAACTTGTTCTGTTGTAACAACAGCTATTCTACGCTCACTGTTGCCTGGCTGTGCAGTAGAAAATCACGACCAGGTGAAATTGTGGGATGCTCAGGGGCTTGCTCTGCCGGGGGGTTCCAACACTCGGCAAAGTACAGGAAGCCCAAGAATATTAACTTCGCTTTTGGAAAAGGTCTGACAAGAGGAATGTTTTCCCCCTTGTTCCTATAATTTTTTTTTTTTTGGCTAGGCAGTGGGGTTAAGTGACTTGCCCAGGGTCACACAGCTACTAAGTGTTATGTATCTGAGGCCAGATTTGAACTCAGATCCTCCTGAATCCAGGGCCAGTGTTCTATCCACTATGCCACCTAGCTGCCCCTTGTTCCTGTAATTTACCAGGAAAAAAAAAACAGTCTTCTGTCTAATGAGGCTTAAAGCTGGTATGTGGAATTTATTGCTTTTACTTTTTTAATCCCTTGTAGCATAGAACATTTAGAAAATACCCAACAGCTTCTAACAGCAATAGTAAAGAAGATCCCGTTAATCACTAAAAAGGGTAAGTAAATGATACTGAAAAGATATGATTTTTTTCCCTTTAGAATCTGTACTAAGCACGGTTAGTGTAATTTAAATTAACAGTAGTGGCTTCTTGTTTTGTTTTTTTAATTTAGTCAGGAAAAAAAGTGTTTCTAATGAGTGGTTTCTTGGGCAGCTAGCTGGTCTTTTATTGTTTCCTTTGTCACTGATCTGGGAAAATACATTTATTGTTGCATTCTAGTTCTGAAATTTATCAACAATATTGTTTTCTTCCTGGCATCTAATCTTTGACATGAAAGGTCTTGAAGAGGAAACTGGAAGCAAAAGAAAAACATGGCAGTAAGGGATTCTGTGCTCATTATTTGGAAGTTTTAAGTGTTTTATGTTAGTGTTTATTTGTGTTTGGTTATATATTACATTTGGAAAGTGGAACTGCATCCCCAAGCACAATCCTGTCTTTGTGATCCTTGGTGTTAGGCCCAAATTATGCAAATCCTTAAGCACCTTAATCATTAAAAGTATGTGGCCTAGATTGTGAGGCAGGCAACCCTGCGAGTTATCTATACTCAACAACAGTGGTTTGACAGGGCGGGATCATTCATTCAGCCAGTGCTTATGAAGCCATTATGTTCGATATGCTATGCTTGATTCTGGAAGGATGCAAAGATTAACATGGTGTGTAAGGGCCTCTCAGTGATGACAAAACATGTACATAGATAAATCTAGTGCCATTTAGAATGTGGCAAATACATGATAATGTAGCTGAGTGCCCTGACGTCGAAAGAGGGAGAGGTTGTTTTCGTGTGGCAAGGTTAGGGAAGGTTGACTGTGAGAGGTGACTTTGGAGATGGGTGTTGAAGGTGAGATAGATGGGGGAGTATGTCAGAGGTGGTTAAAGATGAGAGAGTGGAGTGTGTGTTGGGGGACAGTCTCCAGTTTGGTGTAGGGTAGGGATGTGAAGGGCATTCAGTACAAAGCTGGAAAGATAGGTTAGGGCTAGACTGTGGAAGGCCTTGGAAGCTGGTTAAGGTATTTGAGCTTCTCGCTGGGGAATGGAAGACCATGGATGAGAGCAATGATCAGAGCAGGGTGTGATAGGGATGAATCTGGCAGCAGGTAGAGAACGTCATGGGCCTAGCTGGAATGGAGTTAGAGGAGCAAGGCAGGAGGCTCTCCCATTCCTTTCATGAAAACGTGTAGCTCTCTCAGTCTTTTGTCAAAGACACACACTGAATCCGCCATCCTATTCCTGAAATCAGCTCCTGTCGCCTTTTTTTCTCGTGTCCAGAAGGACTCTTTTGAACTAAGACCTGCATTCCTGGCATTCCTGGCACTGACATTCTCACAGCTCCCTGTAGGTCCCTCCAGGTCCAAGCTCAGAGGTCACTCAAATTCAGACTCTTTATCTTTGCTTGTTGGAGATATCTTTATTTGAATAGATTTCCTTCCTCGGCTGAACAGAAGTAAATTTCTGTAGGGGGCTGGCAGGTGAATGTCAGCGCCTGCCTCCTCCACTGCCTCATCCCAGTGGCCACGTTCTTCCCATGCTAAGCTGCTCATTGTGGCATCAAGTAAAGTGGTTCCAAGGGACTCAGGAGCAGGCTCTAGCTACCCACATTTGGCTTGGATCTTTTTTTTTCCTTTAAAATTTTTATTTTTTGTTATTGGGAACTTAAAAAACACCAACACACGGACATTTCTATAGATGACAAACAGAAAAAGAAGAATGTACATGAACAGTGACTTTCTTGCCTCCAGCTTATTTTTTAAAACATGATAAAATCTCCGTGTTAGTTTCAAAACTGTCTTGCTTTTCTGCATCCTCCTTTGAACACTTGTGTTCTCTTCTCTCTGTTTTTTCTTGACTATCTGGGCACTTTATTATTTTTTCCCCAATTTTGAATTCTGAACTTAAACATCAGCAAGAGCACTTCTGTCTTCAAGAACATGTTACACGTGAAATTGTACTTCTCAATTCTGTACAGCCTACTTTTCTAGGCTTTTTTCTTTAATTTTTTATTATACAGCATATGTATTATTACTAACAATATGATTTTAAAATACAAGTGGTGTCCATTAAATCCTTTGCACTTAGCACATTTTTTTCCATATTGTGCTTTTTTACAACAAGCACATTCATTCCCAATGACTAATATCAATAACTTGCCTTGAGTCTTAACCAAAACTTAATTCAGACTTTGCTGGCGGTATGCTTTCTAGGTGAAGATGCCAATTGTTTCTGTGCAAGTTCTGTGGAGCAGTATTATAGTTGGAACATTGGGAAACGGAGGGCAGCAGAGGTAATCTTGTCTTTATCTTTCACCAGGGTATAACTAAAAACCGTTTGGAGAGAAAAGGTAGCAACTCCTTCGAACTCTGGCTGCCAACCTGCTGGCCTAAACCTTGCCTCTTTGGAGCTGAGAATGAGGTTCTTTACACAGTACTTTGGTTAGAGTGCTTTATGAAATTATATTTTTTTCCCTTATACAAAAAAAAAATCGCATTTGGAAAGGCCTCTTAGATTGTTCACTCTCTAACATGGAATTAGGGTTTCTAGTTTCCCCATCCCAAAATGGCAGAAACATAGTTGCCATTTTAGAACTTTCATGTCTTCTCATGTTTATGAATTGGAGAATATAAACTCCGTCTTTTTTCCCCTAGTGGCAACGAGCAATGACAATGAGAAAAGTCTTACAAGAAATTCTGGAGAAGAACCCCAGGTTTCACAATGTGACGCCCCTCAAAACCAAGCACATTGTCCATTGGTGTCGTTGCCACGGTTACACTCCACCAGACCCAGAGAGCTTGAGAAATGATGGTGATTCCATCGAGGACGTACTGACGCAGATAGACAGTGAGCCAGGTAAGGAGCTAGCGAAGGGAGGCGGTGCCGCTTCCATCGCAGACGGAGCGAGGGATTCGTTTTTTGCCACGTCCCCAACAAGAAGCCCTGCCTCCCTCGTGAGGGAGCGCTCGCTTTCCAGGGCCGTTGCTTCCATTTGGGGATAGCTTTAATTGTTTAGAAGTCTTTCCTCTCCGCATCTTCCACCTGTTTTTCTGGACTCAGCCCTTTGGACTCCAAGCAGAGCAGTGCTCGTTCTTCTCTCGTGTGATGGCCATTCAGATTCTTCAGGAGGTTATGAGATTCTCCCCAAGTCTTCTCTTCTCCACGCTGCACATCCCTTTGACGGGTCTTTGTGGCATGTTCTCTAGTCATCTTACTGTCCTTACCTGCTTTCTTCTGGACAGCCTCCAGCTTCTCTTTCCCCAAAGGTAGTCCCACAAGTGAACAGTATTCTCTTTGTGACTTGACCGAGGCAGAAGACAGCCTTGCTTCCCTCCTTCCTTTGGGATACTCCTCTTGAGACTCTCCACAACCAAGGTGAACATTTCCTTTTTCAGCTTGGATGTCGCATGTGACCTCTAAAACTCACAGATCTTTTTCACAGAAACTATTTTTTTTAACCCAATTATAGAATTTTATATTTTGTCCTGCTTAAATTTCATCTGATTTGATTTCATCTGATCCATGGTTCTAATACCTTTTTGGATTCAGTTCTTTCGTCCAGAGTTTGGGACATCCCGGAAGCATCTGGTCCTCTGCCCATTTTGACAAGCAATGCCATCTCTGCCTTCATCCAGGTCACTGATGAAAATGTTGAACAGTACAGGGCCAAGCACAGGTCCCCGGGGCATTCTGCTTAAAGACCTTGACCTAGGTTGACATTCATCAGTTCATGAGTACATTTGTAAGCCAGTCATCCGACTAGTTCCAAATCCAGCTAACCATACTAGCATCTAACCCTTATCTCCATCTCCTCCACAGGGATAGTGTGGAGAGACTTTGTCATACATTTTGCTAAAAACTAAGAGTACTTTGTCTACAACTTTAATCTGTGAGCCTAATTACCCTGTCAGAAAAAGGAAGTGAAGGTAGTATGGTATGACCTGTCCTGTGTAAAGAGATGCTGCCTCTTCACCTAGCAGAGTAGATTGTACACCGTCTGTGCCTTAATATATGACCTTTGTGAATGAATTACTGTGGCCAAGAATATTGGGCTAAGAGTAGGCCTGTTTTGTCTTTGCGAGGCTCAGCAGTCTACCCTCATGTATTGTTTCTCCCCTTCAAAGAACTGTGTAAATGTGGATTGTTTTTTCATCATATCATCTTCTCCATGGCCTCACTCCCATATCTTTTTGTGATTCTGACTATGAAATCTGTGTGTCCAACGATGAACTTCCACAAGGCAACTCAGTAGAGCACATATTAAGCCCTCGGTAGGTGCCAGGCACTGTGCTCACTAAGCACTGGAGACATAAGCTGGCCCCAGCCCTCAGAGAGCTTACGTTCTAGTAGGGGAAGACAACATGGACAGGGGAGTGGGAAGGGCCCTCGCCACGGCACGGCTGGGGATGTCTGGGAAGTACGATGGAGAAGTTGGAGCCCAGCAGGGAAGAGCTGAATGCAGACATGGTGGCTAGGGGGGAGGGAGCAGGGAGCCCATTCCCACGATTCTCACTGCTTTCTCATCATTTCCATTCAGATGGAGCATCTCACTCATTGTCATACTCAGCTCCCAGACTAACTCCTTGCCTGACTCCTTTCCTTCCACATCACCTTTGACTCTTCCTTTTCCCCTCACCTTCCTGTCCAGTGACTGACCACTTTCTAACAGAGAAAGTGTCTCTCCCTACCCTGGTCCTTTGTTCTCATTGTCATAGCCACCCAGAACCCTGGATTCTGTTTCATCTTGCATGTCCCCATCAGGCAACTTTGCTGAAGTCTCACTTTCACAATTATCCCTGCTCAGAAGGCTTCAGTGTTTGACCGTGGACTGCAGAATTCAAGTCTGAACAGGCATTCAGAACTCACCCCGACCTGTCTGTCCTCTGTTTGGATCTCTCACTTCCCCCCAGAAATGCTCCCAAACATGCTGCATTCTTTCCTTTTTGTGTGTCTTTCTCATACTGTTTCTTCTCCTTGGAAGATCTCTCCCATTTCTCCTGCCTGTCCCTCCAGATTTGGTTTTATCCAAAGCCTTTTTGGATCACTTGAGTCCATAAAATCCTTTCCTCCTTTCAAATTCTGTGCTGTACACTGTCTCTGCCATTTACCATCAGTTCTACCACTTAATCACTGTCATGTACTGCTTTGTTTTACCTTTTTTTTACATGTAGCAGTCTTCCCAGTCATAATGATTATAAGCTTCTTAAAATTACGGGCCATATCTTATACTTCTTTACAGTCTCCACAGTGCCTAATATAGAGTAAAGACTAAATATATTTGATTGATTTTTGCATTGTACTGTAGCTAAAGCTCTCTGAGCTGGCTGTCAGTAGACAAAACTTGGGACAAGTCATTCCATCTATGTGATCTTAATTTTCTTCTCTGTGAGGGGATGAGCGGATTGGATCTCCAGGTGCCTTTCCAGCTCCATGATTAATTTTAAGGCTGTCTGTAAGTCAACATGGGAAAACCAGTGGCATTTGAATTCTTTTGGCCCTGTTATTGGCAGGCCAGTTCTGAATTGCATATAATCCATTTGAGTAAAGACTGTCGCCCTGTGCTTCATAGAGGAGATTTAGAGACTTTTCTCCTCTCCCATTCGTTGCGTTTACTGAAAGCTTGAAAGGACCAGAGAGGTTTTCTAGCTGAACCCTCCTAGTCCGTGCTTCCTCAGTTTCCTTTCTTAGCTTTTAGACGATTGGGGATGAATGTATCAAAGACGCTTTCTCTTGTTGCTCCATCGTAAGACTCCCGACTTCTCATTTAGAGTGTCCATCCTCCTTCACCACCGCTGATGATCTCTGCCGAAGACTGGAAGAACTGCAGCAGTTTCAGAAGAGAGAGCCAGAGAACGACGAGGAGGTGGACATTCTGAGTGTCACCGAGCCCCTGAAAGCAAACATCAAGAAAGAACGGGAAGAGAAGCAGGCTGGAGTGAAGTTCTATTTGGAAGCCCTGCCCACGTCCGAGTTTGTCAGTGACACGGCACAAAAGGTAGAAGGAGGAGATGAGATACTTCCTCTTACTTGTGTGCTTGTTGCGTCCAGTCTTCTAGAGACTGACCGACTGGGGTGAGAAGCGGCTTCTCAGCATCTCCTCCCTGTGCTGATAGCGCCCACAGTCCAGAGAGTTCTGGAAAGCAGAGACAAAATACAAGGGTCAGAATTGGCTCTCTCACTCTCGGCCATTGAGGCGCCACTGAATTTGATTCCGGGGCTTCCAAAGGGTCAGAGGCCACTGTCTGACTTAAGGCGTATTCATTACCTGAAGGATAAAAGATTGTGACCTTTAAAGGTTAGAGAGCATCATTAAGCACTTTGTGTGATGGCCTAAACCGGCCTTCAAGGAATTTACATTCCGAATGAGGAAAGACCACGTGTAAAAGGGACTAGAAGAGGGGGTCCACACCCTGCCTGTGATTGGGCGTTGGGAGGTGAGGTGAAGGCTCGGTTCTGAGTGAGATAGGCAAAGGCTCCCCTGTCAGAGCCCAGGATGGATTCCAGGTGGTGGCCAGGACACCCACAGTGTGAAAAGCCAGGCTTTAACTTGTCCTAGACTAAACTGAAACATAGGGGAAAACCCAGATGTTTCTCTGTATTAATTTTCCCATTGATTTTAATTGAAGTACTCTTAAAGGATTCTCCCCACTCTGCTGTGTTTCCTTTGGAATGAGAACAGTGTTTACATTGCGGTGGATGAGGTTTCTTCCTTCCTCTCTCTTCTCAGATCGGCATCACCCTCCAGCCTGTGGAACTTCACAAGAACACCTATGCGTCTGTTGTTGAAGATATGATTCTAAAGGTGGGCGTGGAGCGGGCCCCGGGCTAAAAGGGGATGAGGAAGCTCCTCGGGTGGCAGGACAGGGGGGTCCTGCCCTCTTTGGTTCTCCACCTTCCGTTCTTTCTCAGTTCCCTCCAGTGTACCTGGCGGACAGGGCGGTGTCTAGGGGAGGGGTTCCCTTCCAGCTGTGGATGTAACATTTGTGTTTCTATGCTAATCACAGATTAGCTAGGATTGGGACACCCCAAAAGCTGAGTGATACTAATGCTGCCTTCATTTATTTATTTATTTATTTGGTGAAGCAATTGGGGTTAAGTGACTTGCCCAGTCACACAGCTAGTGAAAGTCTTCAGTAAGTTAAGTTCCATTTAAAACGTTCTTTAAAGAGGTCCAGATTAGGAATTTAGTTCATCACGTTTACTTTTTTATATATATATTGTTATTTCCTATATTAACATTTACCTGAAGGTCATATAAAAGCAAATATAATACAGACAGCATTGTTATGAGACTAAAGTTGGGGCTGTTAGGCAAACAGCTTATCACAGAGTTCCCACACAACACAGTCAGAGACGATTCATTACCAGATGTCACAGCAAGATCCCAGGACCAGGAGAGACAGGATACACAGGCTCCCCCAGCTGACCTGACCCCAAGTCAATCACACCTTTCTTTGGGTATCCTTCAAACAGTGATAGCCCCATCCCTCCCAGGGTGGTTGTGAGGATCAAATGAAGTGATAACTGTGAAATGCTTACATAAATGTTAGTTGTTGTTATTGTCATTATTATTGTTACTGTTACTCAAGCATGTAGGAGAGGGCCACTGTCCAGAAGCTGGGGCCTGGCCTCAAAGTCCCACCTAGGTGGGTGAGCAGAAGCCCAGCTAAGCTAAGCTGTCCGTGCTGTGAATCTAGTGCCCGCTTGGAGCGGGCCCCCTTCCAAACTTCATTTCCTCAGTCGTCCTTCAGATCTACTAATCCTGGACAGTCCCTTTGTCTCGTGGACTCAGATTTTGGAACTGTGGGGAATATTGCACACGCCTTAGTACAGGCAGCCTTGCATGTGCACCCCCTTTTTCCCTTCTCTATGGACAGTTTTTCATATAGTTTCTCAGTAGGTTTTCCCAGTAAAGACCACCTGCTGCTTCTGGCCCTTCAGGAAACCAAAGCTCAGCGGCTAGGAGGCTGTACCCTCCCAGAAAGGGTTTCCCCATCCTCTTCCAGAAACTTTCCTCATCATTCGCAACTAGTCTTTTCACACCCCAGACCTGACCATTGGACTTCTCTCTAACGACAGGATCTGTGCAGGGCTTTTGTCCCCATCTTAACAGCCAGCCCACTTGCTGAGAGGTTGAGTATCTTGAGTGCTTCCTTCTTAGAGATGGTGGAATCTCAGGTTTTATTTCTTCTTTATTTCTTCTGGCACTTTCCCTCTCATAGATGAGAATTTGTTTCACTCATTTTATAGATTTCCATCCCACATTTTTGGTAATTTGCTTGATTTCTCTGCATCTCAGATGCTGTCAATGGATCTTGGGACCTGTTAAATTCTTGATTTCCATTTTGTTGATTAATGGCTTCCAATTATGTATATTTTTCATTTCAGATTATAATGAATATGACTGGGGTTGCCTCTTGATAATCTAATTAGAATTTTTTTCCATTGGTTTGTCTTTTCATTTTAAAATCTAACCCATCTAGTATTCCAGTGCACAAAATATATACATACAGACATATACAGACATATGAATATATGTATATTTATACACACATACCCATATGTACATACATATTATCTGTAATCATATGTAATTTTTTCCAAGAAAATTGCTAATTTGCCCAAAAATCATCCTGCTGCATCATTTTCGAGAATCATGAAATTATTGCATTTTGTTGATCCAAAGTTCAGACCTTTGGTAACTTTGTGGTCTTTAGGCTTAGTTGTTCCAGAAGTTCTGGAGGAGGGGTTGTAGCACAGGGCCCACAAGTAGTGGTCAGGATGAAGAATAACGGATTCTTCTGTTACAGGCGACAGAGCAGCTAGTGAGTGACATCCTGAGACAGGCTCTGGCTGTTGGGTACCAGACAGCATCTCACAGCAGGTGAGACTTTGTCATCTCTGACAATGATGTCAGACATGGAAATAAAAGCAGCTGAATAGGATGTTAGGATGTCATGTGAGACAGAAAACACCTGCACACCCCCATGAAAGGGTTCTAACCAGCCGCTTAAGGTTAAGGGGCTCACACAGCCCCTGTCTGTGTTTGCAGTATGTGGTTGGAGAAATGGCTGGTTGGGGTCCAGTCCCCTTCCTAATCCTCTTTCAGAGGACTTTGTCCCTCTCAGCGAGGGGCCATGACAAATTATCCTCAGTCACCTGGGGATTAATAAATAAGGCTAAGCAGGCCATGAGCAGGCCAGAGAGAGCCTCTTGCTCGCAGCTGGGCACCTTCGGGAGCCCCTTCCTCCTCCAATGACTGTGTAGAACAGATCTGCACTGGAGAGGGAAGGTGGCAGTGAGTCCCCAGAGCTCCCCATCTGGTTCCCCAGGTGTTGCTGGGGCTTTCCCTGCAGTTATCCTGATAGCCCTTTCGTGTGGAGGACATGGGCTGATGACATCTTCCATTGAGACATTCATTGATTCAGTTCATGAGTTACTTGGGTCAATTATTCCTCATAACATCCTCTCATTCATTTGGTACAGGACTCCAAGAGAAATCACAGTGATGAATATTCACCAGGCCATCTGCAATATTCCTTTTCTTGATTTTCTCACTAACAAACATATGGGAGTATTAAGTAAGGAGCAGTAAACTGAAGAGGCCCCCAGAAAAGTAGGATGGTGTGAAGACTCAGCCAAAGCATGTGAGCTGACCACAACCTGAGCGCTGGGGTCCATTAAGTGAAATAGGGAGCGGGTCAGCGTACTCTTTCCACTTGGATTTAAGTGGTCCATCTGAAAACTCCAGAGTAAGGGAGCCCCAAAACTGGGATGGCTGGAAGTGTATCCGGTTTTCCTAGGACGGCCCTGATTTATTTCCACTGCACCTCCGTGGGAGCCTCCAGTGCTTGTGCAGGGCTTCTGGGGCTGCTTGCACAATCAGCACCACCAGTGGTCTCTGAGGTTACTGGCAGCTCCCCCTGTTGTCTTGCAAGAAGAATTGTCCCAGAAGTGACACGTGGAAAGCTGCGGTGGAGGTGACAGTGGCAGCGTTGACCTGCCTTGTTGTGGAGAGACAGCTGCCCTGCCGGGACCTCCCCACGTGGTTGTTGGGACCCTGAGCTGAGTCTGACTGGCTGCAGCAATCAGATCTGTGGGAGAGAACGGAGCCGCCGGGGAGAAGCACAGCTGGCTGGCTACCCCCGGTGTGGCCTGGCGCTTAGGAGGCACCAGCCATTCTCTCCAAGAAGACTCTGGCGCATGGGCAGGAAGAAGCTTGAACATTCCAATCATGCACTTAACTGGATGGGAATTAACAGCAGCCAGAAGCCTCGGGCCTGAGGAGAAGGCAGAAGCCGCTCGGACCATCGTGTGTGGGCGCCTCCACCGGCTCCCTTGCATGCAGCCGTGGGCTCACCCTTTTGCCACGTGCACCTTGTCTGCAAGCAGCTGTCTACAGCGTGGCGCGTGCCGATGGACTTGCTTGAAAGCTGTTTATTCTTAGGCAAAACTCCCGATGAAGGCCCAAGGAAAGGATTCCTGCATTGGTTGGGAGACTGAAGGAGGCGTCACGGTCCCCCTCCATCTCTACGAGCTCTCAGACCTGTTCAGACAGATCTGTTGGGGAGCTCACTTCGCAGAAAAAAGAAATCATGCAGAGATAGATAGACCTGCATGTGTTTGTTCAGTGGAGGAAGACAGAGAAGCCCCTCAGCTGTGAGCAGAGGCATCAGAACACACAGATGATGAGAAGAGCGAAGTCCACGGAAGCCAAGCGAATGAGGAAGAGCTTTTATTCAGCAGCAGGTGCCCAGGGCACGCGGCAGACATCAGATTCCATTGATCTCCTCCCACCGTCCATCTGCGATACAGAACCGAGAGGCATCTGACAGCCGTCAGGAGGAACTGGTCAGCATAGACCCCGGAGGAAAACTCGGAGCCCTTGGTGTCTTATATGGTCAGAAGTAAGGGCTCACCCAGACAGCCCCAGCTGGTGTTCTGAGTCAAGGGAAGGTGTGAAGTATGTCCCAAAGGGAGAATTAAGTGAGGGGCCCATCTGATCGTAACAGTCTTGCTGGAATGTGAGATTCATCCATCTGGGAAAGAGGAGAAAGCTGTTTGGTGCAGTGCATGGCATGCTCAGAACACAAATACCAGTCATTTAACTTGCAAAGACTTGGAATGTTTGGACAGTTAAGTGAACCCCTAGAGCATTTGAGAATAGCAGGCATATGTTTGGATTAAAAAGGAAGTTTTCTCTAGAATCTTTAAAATCTAAGATCTGGAGGGAAAGGATGCAGTTGGTCCATGGCTGACCCAAAGGAAAGCAAGTTCTTTCACTATGAGTGGAAACATATAATAAACAACTTTTCAGCAAAGGAAATATTAAATATTAAAAGATCTCCTTGTGTGTTAAGATTCCCAGTGTATTTGTATGATAATGTGTAACATAACTGTGTAATACACATGGCTACAATAAATTTTCTTTTATTAGTTGTGATGACTTGTTTGACTCTGAAGTGCAGTCCTTTTGGTGTTTTTTAAAAGAGACAGACAGGTCCACATAGCTTTACTGTGGTGGTTTTCCATTTTCCATCATCATCACTGTTTTTTTTTTAAAATGTAATTCAATTTAAGTTCCTAACAAGAGAATAGTCAGTAACTCCTGTGGCTGAAACACTGAAGTCCCCTTTTGAGACATTTTGCAGGAGGATCTGGGAAGAAAAACAAACATATGCCTGAAGCAAGCTTTTCCAATTTTTTTTGGGGGGGGGCCAGAAATAATGACCCAGTTTAAAAAAAAATCTGGCAGAACAAATTTGCCAGAGGGAGAAGTGGTCTTTCCTTGTAAATTTTCACTTTTGAGAAGTTTTCCTTCACCAGAAAACTAAACTGGCAAAAAGATTGTGCTTTAAAAATAAATAGTTTAAAAGTGAAAGGAATTTTACCTATTGTCAGAATTCGGCAGAGGGATTGAAGAAGGAAGAGTGTCTCCATAGAGTCCTCATTGAAGTTCCAGAGACGGGCCAGGCTTGTTGTCTTCACAAGAAGGTCGTCATACTCCGTTTGGGAAGCTACAACATGTAGAAGGAGAACACGGGACTCGGGGAGAAGAGAGTTAGTAGTATTTGGGTATTACTTTTTTAGGGTATGGTTGATGTGTGTGTAAACCAATCCATAGCACCAATTTGCATGGAACCGTGTAATTCTCCTATAGAAGCTAAAGGAGTGCTGACCACACAGATATGTAGGTCCCATGTTTTCCAGGACAGTCCTGCCTTTAAGCAGAGAAAATGTGTTTTCAAAAAAACTTTGCAAAAGAAATATTCTCTATCATCTGTGTCCTGATCTTTGGTTTAAAAAATACAGTTAAACCGTGAGAAACGTGTGGTATATGAACCTGACCCAAGGAAATTGTTAGGAGCTAAAATTACTGTATGATTAACACTCAATACATTGAGAGAGGTTTGTGGATGTATTTTGTCTTCCCTGTGGGACTGTAAACTCCTTGGGGCCAAGGCAAGTCTTGGCTATCTTTATAGCCCCCAGAGGGCCTAGGGTAGTGCTAAGGAATCAGTCCGTTAACAAGTATTTATTATGCACCTTCTGTGTCTCAGGCTCTGTGCTAAACACTGCAGAGACAAATACCAAGAATGAAACAATTCCTACTCACATTGAACTTGTATTCAAATGTTTGAGACAAGTACTTACAAGTACTCTGTGTGTGTACACACACACTCATAACACACACACACACACACACACATGTACATGTATATATATAAAATTTATAAAGATCAGTCTTAAGCTAGATCTCTTCAGCCCCCAGTAAGGGCTTCCTACATGCAACAGCTACTTCGCTAGGTGAGCAAAGTGTAGGGATGGGGGAGCGGAGAGAAGTTGCACGCAGGCATATTTGGACTTTATAAAAGAAGAAATTTCCTGATATTTAGAGCTTTTCAAAAGCAAAACAGGCTGTCACCCGGAAGGTTGGCAGGTTCCTCGTCACTCGAAGCCATTAAGCAAAGGTTGGTAGACCCTTTGTTTTTCAGATATATTGCAGGAGGATCCTTTTTATGTTTCTGTCGGACTTGGTAGTGACAGAGGCCTCTTTTAAAGCTGAAATTCTGTGATGTAACAGGTGCACAAATAATTCATTCAAGATCATTTGACTAGGAAGAGAGCACCAGTAACAGCAGACATAATTTACATTCTCAACTGGTTCTCACAACCTTGTATTATTAGTGAGGCTTAGAGATTTGTGGTTTGCATATGGTTAAAACAGCTAATAAATGGGGCAGAAAGGAGAGATAGAGGAAGATATACGTCCCATTCCTTCACAGAGTTGGAGATCCACGTATTAGCTATATTATTTGTGTGGAACATCAGACTTTCTCAAAATGTTGATTGGATTTGCTGGGGATTTTTTCCTCTTTAAAATTCTTATATGGGATAACTCCCTGGGAGGGAGCAAACAAAGGGAAAATGTAGGTGGTGTTAAAATATATCAATAAAAAAAATCTCTTGATTTTGAATGAACACAAAAGGAAACAATATGAAATAAAGCTAGAAAAACATGTTGGTTATGGACTGTGGAGTACTTAAATGCCAGGCCAAGGTGTGGAGGTCTTAGAAGTGGTTGGTCTAACCAGGCTCTGATGGTTTTTGAGCCAGAGAGTGATATAGACAAATTTGTGCTTTAGGAAAGTTATTTTGGAAGTTGGTGAACTAGAGAAGGAAGGAAAACAAGCTTATTTGGAGTTTCTGACCAACGAGAAAGAAATTATTGCCAAAAGAGAGACAATGGAAATCTTGACAGCAAATGACCACCCACATATTTCTTGGTAGAGCGGAAGGGCAAAGGTGGTGTCATTTGGGCAGATTTCCAAGTGTTTGAAGAAAGAAAAAATAACCTCTTATAGTCAAATATTTTGAAGTGGAATATATCCCAAGGGGGATAGGAAGCTTTTAAGAATGAAATTCTGAAAACATTCAAATTCCACTGAGAAGGGGAAAATGAAATTCCCTGAGACTATGCAAGGATTCTGATAAATGCATATCAAGGACTTAAAAGTGAGTATCTTTAAAAGATGTGCACAGGATGAAAGCAAAGGCAAATAATTGAGGATGAATATAAAATTGTAGCATGATCCTCAGAGAATTGTGTCAGGAATACTTAAGTCCAGAATGAGCTAAGGCTGATGATGGAATTTTAAAGGTGACAATATGGATTGAAAAAAAAAAGGCAAGAGAATTAAAGGTTTGTTGCTTGGGAGGTGAGGAAGCTGGTTACCAGGCTGAATCACTCACCTCTTCAAATTATGTTGTCTCTTCCAAGTAGTATGATCTTTGGACTGGGAAATATAGAACACAAATGGTGAGCAGGAAGTAGAAACCTAAGATAAATGAAAATGAGAAGATGGCACCTTGATACTCAGATAAATCAACAAGGAAATCATTAACAGCAGAAAAAAGTAATGGCCTCCAGGTCCAGGAAATGAGTTCCAGCATCTATGAATACTGTGGAACAAAGGAAAATGTTCCAACATTTGATGAAGAAAGGACTCTGAAGTTTGAGGAGAACTTAAAACCAGAGCATGCTGTTCTGAGTACAAAAGAAAATTGAATATGAAAGCAGAATTTATGGCCTGCATAGCAAAAATAATGGGTAGAATAGAGAAACATTTGCATTGGCAAATCTCACCAAAGAAATGAAGGAGAATGATAGGGAATGTCCAAAAGTGAAGGACGGAATAGAAGGAGAGAAACAAAAACAACATTAAAAGAAGATAAGCTCACTGTGCAACCAGTTAACATACTGATCATGAAGACAGGAAGTATAGAGACAACCAAAAGTCTCCCAGAACAAGACAGGACAAAAAAATCTCAACACCATAATGCAGGAAATAATAGGAGACAATTCTCCAGAACCAAACATAGAAAAAAAAAGAGACCAATTGGAAGAATTTAAAGAACATCTCCAGTTTTTTGTTTTTGTTTTTTTTTTTAGTTCTCAGCTTGCAAGTTCTTAAGACACAGAGTGGTCAAATTTAACAATTCATTTCAGAAATAACATATTCTGTGAGTGATCAGGAGAAAGATCTTCAAATACAAAGGAAAAGAAGTTCAAGAAAAGAAATTCAAGATTATTCTATTCTGTACCCATCAGAAAACATAGGAGGGAGTGGAATAATGTGTTGTGAAGAGCAGTGCAGCTCAGGATGCAATTCAGGGTGACTTACCCTGCAAATACGAGCTCGACCATAAATGAGAAAAGATCGATGTTTCAGCAATAAAGAAGTATTTGAAACATTTTAGAAAGAAAACTGACCTGAAGAAATTATTTGGTTCTTGAATGCCTCAAACAACAAATACAAGAGAAGTGAATAAAAGCAGCAGCTAAGGACAGCAATACCATCAGGGTGACATCAGAGACCGATAAGAGACTTTTTCAAATTTACACAAGACAAGGGTGAAGACGGAAGTCTGGTGAAAGTAACAAAAAAAGGGAGACCTGGGGTATTATGGACAGAACCAGTTGACTCCTAGCTTACAGGCCAATAGATATTTTTTAGGAATATATTACAACATGGGAGTGTACTTGAAAGTGGAAAGGGGAGCAGGGGGACAGAGGAATGTGTGATGTCCCCAGTTCAAGGGCTAGCAATGATGGGAAGGTGATCCTTGTGGTCTCGATAAGAGAAGAGCCTTCAGGGGAGGGGAAGGAGAAAGAAGTTATTGAAAAGAAGAAGAAAGGAAGACCTTGTTTTGATGGTAGGAAGGGCACTCCACTAATGAATGATCTTATGGTTGAAGAGAGATGATATGTGAAAGGATATAGGTTCCTTGCACAGGGAGTGGTCCAGGGTATTTGGTGCTTGAAAAGTCTGATCATCCTACCTCAGAAGGGGGGAGTTGGAAACTCTGGAGGGTAAGGAGGGCAGCTGGCACCTGGGGAAGCAGAAAAGTATGGACCTGGGATGGGGTGGGGGGAGGGAGATAGATTTTAAGGCAAATGAGGACAAAAGATAACCAGGCATGAATCAATGGTTGGCTGCATACTTAAGGATGTTGTGGGGGAAGGGCTTCACTATAGAGCAGTGTCCTGTTTGACTCTTACAATTACCAGCATTGTTCTGGGAGTGAGGCAAATGTAAAAAAGGGAATGTATTGGACAAACGACAAGGCAGTGGCAGAAACTGCCTCGAGAGAAGGTCCTAGAATGGATACCTTGAAAGTTTATTGTATGAGGAATAGATAACTATAGGGTCATGAATCGGAGAATAATCAGACAGAATAGATAATGAAGGGAGGGAATTTTTTAAAGGGATGCAAAAAAAATTAAAATACAAGCAGGACCAATTGAAGAAGAGAAGTGGAAGGGGAAATCAACTTGTCTAACTGAGAGGACTGGGCAGCTGGGTGTTGCAGTGAATAGAGTGATGGGACTGGAGTCAAGAACACTCATCTTCCTGAGTTCAGATATGACCTCAGATGCTA